ATGACGAATGGCTTCATAAATGTAAATATATTTGTTTTAATTAAATTACATGATAAGCTATACCCCAGTTCACCAATTAAATATTCTATCCTCGCCCTTGTTTATTCTAAGAAATACTCGCAATATGACAAATTCACCCAACCCATGCCAGCGCTAAAAGGTCCAAAAGATCTGACGCTTCACCCGATCAAGTGCCTAAATTCTGAGCCTCACACATCTTCGGATAAAGTCGACCTTTCACCAGTAATTCCTCATGAGTTCCAGACTCCACGATCCTACCCCCATCGAACACGCAAATCATATCCGCATGACGAATAGTCGACAAGCGATGGGCAACCGCGATGGTGATTCTATCACCTTGAGAAGCGGCCTCATTCAGCGCATCTTGGACAACTCTCTCCGATTGAGTATCCAGCGCGCTTGTTGCTTCATCTAGCAGAAGTAGACGTGGATTCCGGAGTAATGCTCTGGCAATGGCGATGCGTTGACGTTGCCCACCAGAGAGCTGTGTCCCATTGGCACCACAGAGAGTCATAAGGCCATCTGGCAGGGAAGAGATGAATTCCCACGCGTTGGCAGCCCGACAGGCAGCCTCAATGTCGTTCTCGGAAACCGCCGACGGATCACCGGTCGGTGTTCCCATGGAGACGTTTTCGCGAATGGTGCCAGGGTAGAGGGTGGGTTCCTGCTGTACAAGTGCTGCTTGTGCTCGATACAGCCAAGGATTTAAGCTCTCCAATGTAAGGGCGTCGATTTTGATGTGACCGGCTACCGGGTCGTAGAAACGTTCGAGCATACTGATCATGGTACTTTTTCCACAGCCGGATGCGCCGACGAACGCGACAAATTGACCCTTTTTGATCTATACGATGTATTAGCAGCGAAAGGGGACAGGTTGTGACGATATGGGCTGGCATACATGAAGGTCAATACCACGTAGTACGCGACTGTGAGGTCTCATTGGGTAAGAGAATTGCAACTTTTCCAAATGGAGAGACTTGAAATCGCCAGGGCCAATGTCGCGGTTTTCGTCAGTCTCGAGAATTGTAGGCTGGAGCTGTTCAAGCCAAAATATGTAATTAGCAGCATTTGTTGCCTTTGTCATACCTGGATAGCTGTTAGAAACTCGCTTTTACCTCCCACACGGCCTTGGAATGCATCTTACTGCTTGAAAACCCAAAAAGGATTGAGGCTTGTTGGCCAGAAAAGAACACACTTAGAAAACTGATGAAAAAGTTTACCATGCTCAAATCTCCAAATGAGACAAGCCGACATCCATACCTATGTTGAGATGATTCGATGGTTAGCGTCCTGTCACAAACAGGAGAAGAAGGTATTTGAGCCTATGACTTACCAGAAACCGAGAGCCAGGAAAGAGTATTCAACCGTCTGAGTGAATGCGAAAGGGAGCATGATGAGAAGCAGTGGCCTCGTGGATGTGGCAATTGCTTGGTCAAGCTCACGGGTATATCGCTCCAAAACGGATGTTTCAATCGCCAAAGAAGACACCGTCCGGATAGCTGACACGGTCTCTGAGGCAATGGAAGCACTTTTCGAGAACAGCTTTGAAATCTTGTGGTCCATTGCACCCTCCATTCGGATGCGAGCGTAACCAGAAGCGAGCATGGGTGGAAGTCCTGCTAAAACGATAACAAGGCCAAGCTTCCATGCATATACTATTGCCAGGACGGAGCATGACAATACACCCGTCGTTGCAACCAGCATTAGAGCAATATTAAAGCCCATAAGCTCAAATACGGCCTGTGGATAAGAGTCGGCACGGCTGGTCAGTGCCCCTGTAGTGTTCTCGGTGCGATCGAAGAATTGCATGTCTTGCTTCATCATGTTATTGACGACTTGCTTCCGGTATTTGTGGTTCATTGTCTTGTTGGGTTAGTCGAGCCACGATTAACCACCCATCAATGAAGGAGATTTACCTGTGCAATAATATTTGATGCCCATCCTATAATAAAATAGACGACGAAAGATCCAAGCCCGAGAACGAAAAACATAAGAGCGAAAAAGTTCCCTTTCGTCCGCATAGCTGAGCCTGTGAATTGAAAGACTTCGATGAACTTGGACATCAAAATAGATTGACCGGGATATGCAGCGGCTAAAATTTGGTCAGTTTCAATCTGTGAAAATAGGGGGTTCAAAATGATAGCCTCACCTCCTGCTAAACAAGCCAGAGTCATAACCATCAATGTCCAATTGAGCTCAGGGGTAGATTTCACCAATCTCCAGACTGTATGTAGGAGACCCAATCTTTTCCAATTGTCAAAATTATCCCTACTCAACTGCTTTTCCGAAATTGATCCCGTCGTAGTTGAGTGGCGGGTCAATTCACCAGCAAGTACAACATGGTCCTCTTTGTGCGTTTCATCTTGGCTATCCGAGGCATATTCGGGGTCCTGCGTCACCACAGATAAATCCTGAGCCCGCACCAATCGTGCATACGCACCATTCGATTCCAAAAGGGAGTTATGCGTGCCTTGCTCGAGAATACGGCCATTTTCCATGACGACAATATTATCAGCATCTCTTATGGTGGCCAATTTGTGTGCGATGGTGATTGTAGTGCGTCCCTTTGAAACATTGTTCAGTGCCTGTTGAACGACTTCCTCGGCATGAGGATCAAGTGCACTCGTTGCCTCATCCAGAAGAAGAATTCGTGGTTGGGAAACAATGCTGCGAGCAATTGCAACCCGTTGCTTTTGTCCTCCGGATAATAACCCGCCTCTCTCCCCAATGACGGTATCATACCCGCTAGGCAGTTCGGTGATAAAATCGTGGGCGAAGGCAATTTTAGCAGCGTTCTGTATCCGGGCCAGTTTCTCAACTGAGGATTCATTCTCCCAAGGCGTACCCACAAGGCCATTCGCGATATTTTCAGCGACTGTCCCAGCAAACAAAATGGGCTCCTGTTGAACAAGCCTAACCTGCTGACGTAGCCATTTGAGGTTGCAAAGTTCGATTGACTGGCCATCAAGCTTGATTGTTCCAGACAAAGGGTCGTACCATCGTTCAATCAGCCCAACGATAGTGCTTTTTCCAGACCCGCTTGCCCCCACGAGCGCAGTTGTCTTGCCGGCGGGAATGTGCAGTGAGATGTCGTCCAATACCTTGGCATCAGGGCGCGTAGGGTAAGCGAACGAAATGTTACTAAAATCGAGATATCCCACCACGTCTGTCGGTCTTTCTCCGGAGTCGTCGAACGGATCGATTTTCGATTTTCGGTCCATGAGCTGGAATAGCTCTGCTGCCGCGGAGGCCGCGCGGACAAAATCAATCAAATGAGGCATTATAGTGGTCAAGCTTGTAGCTCCTACAATCACGGACATGAGCACACTGCGAGTATCATGGTTAGCATTGCCAGCTGTGAAAGGGTAAAGACTGAACAAACATAAAAACGTCACCAGATTGCTTTATCTCCCCAGTAGATATCATTTTAATACCTTGCCAAAAGCACAAGCCAAACCCTGCAAAGATGATGGTGTACTCCGTAGCAAACAGGCAACCAAAAAGGGGAGATTTCTTATTTCCGAGCTTTCTCGAAGCTTGCAAAAACTTGTCGAACTCGCATAGTAGTTGATTCCGAAGCCCGAATGCATGTACCGTCCGAGCGCTTGCTAGAATACTCTCTGCGAAAGATCCAGCTTGGGCCTGAACTTTGAGAACTTTTGTTTCAATCGCAGCTTCAAATGTGGAGGCGATTCCCATAGCTAGAAGCATTGATGGGGCAATGCAGCAGCAAATGAGAGTCAGCTTCCATTGTGTGACAAATGCCAGCACGAAGGCCGATATCAAAGTGGACAGGCCCTGGATAACAAGCCCTAGTTTTTCCGATATGCCAGTCTGGATCAGTCGTCCATTCGAGGTAGCCTGCATCGCAATCGATCCACTAGTGCCAGAATCGAAGAATGCAATTTCTTGGCTCAGGCCTGCTTTCAGGTACAGGCGGCGAATGTTTCGCGTGATCCGGTATGCGGCAAATGTATACAGTGTGCTGTATCCATAAGTGAGGAAAAATCGACAAAGGCCAATGACGAAGAAGAAGAGACTAATTTTTTTTTTTAATATTAGTTCCTTCCTGTCCATCTAGATTGAAGGGCACTGCACATACCTAAGTCTCGCAGATCCACTTCGAAACTTCGAAGCATCCGTATGACCCGCCGTGTAGTCTGTGATGAGTGTAATAAACTGGCCAAAGACCAGATTGACAAGAGCCATGCCAACACCGGACCCTAGTGCGCAGGCAGTGGCAATGGCCTGCAAGGTATACTCTGTAGATGAGCCATAGTGAAAGATCCTCTGCTTGGTGTTAGATTCTTAACCTGTGATGGAAGGGAATATTCTTACTAGATATCCACGAAGGGCACCTGTTTGCTCCTTAACCTCCTGGCCATCAATGGTATCTTTCTCGGATTCTTTCCCCATTTTAGATATTCATGGGAAACACCCTAAAGGCGAGCAGAGAGTCAAATCGGCTTTGCTCCAAACCGATTTTCGATTTGCAAAACGTGTGAATAAAAGACAATTACGGACTAGTTATGGAGATGTGTTGCTCTTTTTGAGTTTCCAATGCTGGTCCTTTGATCTGATCTCAAGGCTCGCGGGTTCCGCGGGTACCGCGGACTCCACGGGCCCCGATGCCTCCGGACTCCCATGGACACGCCACATATTGTTCTATATTAAGTCGGTATAAAGTATTAAGCCGATATAAAGTATTAAGCCAATATAAAGTATTAAGTCGGTATAAAGTATACAATTACCAATGAGAGGCACTAAGTCATGATTTAAAAATCATTCATAATGGCATTCCATAATAGCTGGAGAGACACAACAAATGTATATATAGTACCCCATCAAGGGGTAACCTCCTAAATAAAATAACATGTTCAACAGATAATCTGACTAGATATGTTGTAAGAATAGAATGCATTTCTCTATGGTTTCCTTTGATAACGTCCCTCTAACACCCTTCGAAACACATAAAATGATCACACCTCTCTTCGTTCTAATTCATCATCCGATGGCCATATCACGGGAAACCCTTGGACCTCCCTTCTTAGCAATGTCTCTTTTTTCCATTTCCAAAATCCAGATTGTCGATCATTAGTAGGTAAATGACCCATCATGGAGGTCGGATTGGTAAACCGTAGGCTGGCTAACCAAGCTGCAAGATCAAATTCATAAGATAGTTGTCCATCAACAAGCATCCGAATGGTCCCAATATGCTCATAGAGTGGTTGCCCGAACTCTGAAGTATGATAATCCATGTCAAGAAGATCATCTATCCAGCCCTTCAGATATTCACAGAGCCACTCCGGGCGCGTTGTATGTGATGATAATGTCTCTGAAGTCTCGCCCCGGTCTCCCTGATCCCGACCCCAATGCCGCTCCCAGTACTGCTTGTATGTGACATCTTCTGGTGGGAAGGAAAGTTCCAGTTCCGCAGACTGGAAGTCAAGAACGAGTGTATCGATCAGCATCCCCCGGTTCTCGAATTCCTCCGTGTTTCCAGGATATTCAGAAGGCTTGCTTTCTTCCTTGCGTTTTTTTAGTCCCACGGGACCATAGCGGAGAAATCGCTCTAATGCCGCATAGAAGGACCAGTGGAAGCCTAGCCGACCGCCGGAGCCAACTTGCTTACGGATGGTGCGCTCCTCGATAATGTGACCGAACAGACGCACATTCGCGTACAGGGTCGATATGTGGGTTGTAAGACACGGTACTGATAGCCATGTCAGGAAGAGGTGCAAGTCATCCTTGACTGATATGTCAAGAATGTACTCAACTTTCATGCGTTCGAGGATCACCTGAGTCTCGATCGAGATTTGATGATTTGTGAGGAGAAGAGGTAGACAGTTTGAAGGGTTGTACTTGTTCTGATGGTTATAATACACATTGCAACCTTCCTCCCACGCATTGTATGCAAGGTCATGGTATTCGATGCCATCTGATTTAAAAGGAGTCAGAGGCGGGCTAAGCGGAGTGTAAAGCACATCCTCGATAATGAGTATTCGGAGCTCAAACGGGAGATTAAGAAATAGAGACATAGTCAGGGGTTTAATGATGGATGGAGACTGGAGTATTTTGGAGAAGGAAAACACACATATTTATACAAAATATAGTCAACAGGGAAGTGCCTGAGGTTGAAGTGCAGAGCGGAGTCTAAACTCATTTGGGACGAAGTTATGTTTTGTCAAACGCCAAGACTCTTCTTCTTCTTAACCTCTTAGCATTTTCTAAGGATATGCTGGACAATGCCCGAACTGGCGCGGTCAATCCCTCGCTCATGGACCTCGACGTTGAAACTTCCTAAATCCTCATTCCCTCCACGCGTATCGTCTGTCGATCGAACCAAATACCTAAAGCGATGCACCGATGATCTCTACGCCTGGCAACGCCGCGAAAGGCCCGCCGACCAACCATTCGTCTTGCATGATGGTCCACCCTATGCGAACGGCGACCTCCATGTCGGACATGCGCTCAATAAGATCTTGAAGGATATCATCTGTCGCGTACAATTGAGTCGCGGGAAGAGAGTGCGGTACGTGCCGGGCTGGGACTGTCATGGACTGCCGATCGAGCTCAAAGCCCTCCAAGGCCTACGAGATGCGGACATTACAAGCGGATCGGTCAGCCCGGCCGTCATTCGCACATCCGCGCGGCAATTGGCAAGACAAACCGTGAAGGAGCAGATGAAAGTGTTCCGTGGCTGCGCGGTCATGGCCGACTGGGAGAACCACTGGAAGACCATGGACAGACAATTCGAGATGCGACAATTGGGTATCTTCCGGGGAATGGTGGACCGAGGCCTTATCTACCGAAAGTTCAAGCCGGTTTACTGGTCGCCTTCAACGGGTACCGCTCTTGCGGAAGCTGAACTGGAATACAAGGATGACCATATCTCGACCGCCGCCCTGGTCAAGTTCCCTCTTATCAATATCCCCACGTATCTCGCTGAGAATCCTCTTCTTCGTGAAAAAGAAGTGAGTGCTGTGATTTGGACTACTACCCCCCTGGACGCTGCCTGCCAATGCTGCCATTGCAGTCAGTGACTCTTTGGAATACACTATTGTCTTGTCGGAAAAACATGGCCATCTTCTTATCGCTCAGTCGCGGTTCGAATACCTCCAGAATATGTTGAAAGAAGATCTCTCTGTTATTGTGCCCTCTATCCTAGGGTCTGAGCTGGCAGAGCAAACTACGTATCGACCTCTATTCAAAGGACCTGAAGCTCAGCCACAGCCCATCTTCGCTGCGGACTTTGTTACTGCTGATTCTGGCTCTGGCATGGTTCACTGCGCGCCTGGTCATGGGATGGACGACTACGAAGCGTGTCTTGCACGTGGCATTCCTGTGTTCGCTCCCGTCAACGATGAAGGCAAATTCACAGATAAAGCCATGCCCCTCGATCCTACACGTTTAGCCGGAAAACCTGTCTTGGGCGAAGGTAACAATGCAGTGTTGGAATGGGTCGAATCGTGTGGTCAGTTGCTTGCCCAACATAAGTACGAGCACAAGTACCCTTACGATTGGCGCTCAAAGCTCCCGATCATTGTTCGGGCAACCGAGCAGTGGTTTGCCGATGTGGCCGATATCCGCAGCAGTGCTCTTCGAGCATTGGAAGATGTCCGGTTTGTGCCTGAGACTGGAAAGAACCGACTCGAGAACTTTGTGAAGAACCGGAATGAATGGTGTATCTCGCGTCAGCGCGCGTGGGGTGTTCCAATTCCTGCAATCTATCACCGGACCACTGGAGAGGCTGTCTTGACTAAAGATAGTGTTTCACATATCATGGCTACAATTGAAGAGCGGGGAATCGATTCTTGGTGGACCGACAGTGCGGATGATGCTGCATGGATTCCTCCGTCCTTGCGGGACGAGGCTGGAGCGGGGTATCGACGTGGAACGGACACCATGGACGTTTGGTTTGACAGTGGCACTAGCTGGGCTGAGATCGATGTCCCTATGGTGGACGGTCGGAGTCATCCAGCAGACGTGTATCTCGAGGGTAGTGATCAACACCGCGGTTGGTTCCAGTCTGGCCTCCTCACGTATATCTCGCACCAACTCGGCTCGGGCGAATCCACGCCTCGCGCGCCATTCAAGAATCTCATCACCCACGGTTTCACCCTGGATGAACATGGGCGGAAAATGAGTAAATCCATTGGCAATGTGATGTACCCGCAGACCATCATGGATGGAACTCTGCTGCCTCCTCTCAAACCCCGCAAAGGCAAAGGAAAGAAGCAACCGGAGAATCCAGAACCCGTGTACGACGCTCTTGGCCCCGATGCGCTTCGCATGTGGGCGGCAAGCAGCGACTACACGCGCGACGTGGTGATTGGAAAACAGGTACTCCAGACCGTCAACACCAGTCTGCACAAGTTCCGTGTCACCTTCAAGTTGTTACTGGGTGCCCTTGCCGATTTCAACCCAAAGAACGTTGTTCCATACGGGCAGCTGCAGCTGGTCGATCAAATTGCACTCAAGCATCTCTCGGACATGGTACTTACGACGCAGAGGGCATGCGACAACTTCGAGTTCTACAAGGGTGTGAGCACGATGAACCGGTGGGCCAACCTTGAGTTTTCCGCTTTCTACATGGAGGCGATCAAGGACCGACTCTACACCCTTGGTGAGGACAGCATAAGTCGCCGTGCCGCGCAAACAACCTTGTTCTACATCTACAATCATCTTCAAGAGGCACTTGGTCCCATTACCCCAGTACTTGTGGAAGAAACTTGGGAACATACTCCCGAGTCCATCCGCAACCAATCTGAGCACCCCCTGCAGCGTATTGTTTCCGCCCCGGCTCCGGAATGGCAGGATTTAGCCCTGGACACCAGCTATCAGGAGGTGACAGTGGTCCATTCCGCCATCAAAAACCTGCAGGAGCAGGCCCGTAGTAAAAAACAGCTTGGCTCTTCCCTGCAATCCTTTGTCCACATTGTGCTCCCCAGCAGTTCTGGGTTATTCCAGCAATACCTGTCCGAGCTCCCTGATCTCTTCGTTGTGTCCTCCATCACCCTGGCATCCCCCAGTGATGCTCTCCCAAATGACATCAAGGATGCTGACTGGCAATATGAGGAGACATTTGAGCTTGGTGGCCAACCAGGCAAAGTGTATGTGTACGCGCCACAAGCCTCCAAATGCCCACGGTGCTGGCGGTACGCCATTCCGGAGCCGGTGGCGATGGAAAATGCGATCTGCGACCGGTGTGAGACAGTGATACATGAGGCAAACGCCTAGATGACTGTACATGTCTGTATACTTATTTCTTTATGTATTATATCGATCATCTCCAGGCAGTGATTGGACATGACCAATTTAAGAACTGCAGTGCAACCAATAATCTAGAACATTCCAATTCAAAACCAAGCTGAATGAAATTAATTCATTCAATCTATTCAATCCATTCAATCCATGTAGTATCCATGTAGTATCCTGTAGTGAATGTTCTAATTGGTCATGACGACAAGTATTCAGTCAATGACGGTTGTCCCAAATCATCGCCCCCCAATCCTGTTTTGATGCAACATTGGGATCATCAGTCATATATTCTCTTACTTCTTCTTTTTCCTTTCTCATTTTCTCTTCGCTTCTTCTTTTACACTTCTTCATATTCAGCATGATTCAACCTCCATTTGATCAGTTTGCTACTCTCACAGCACCCGCCACCACATCCTCAGTGGCACCTATTCCTACAGTCATTCCGGGATCCGAGGTATACCAGGAACTTCATGATGTGGGAAAACGGACTCTATGGTATGCGTATATTATAGATATATACTGAAGGTCTAATATTCTAACATCCATAGGGTTGTCACTGTGTTGATGGGCATCTCCTCGCTGGTATTCTATGCTCTGGCCGCTCGTGCTCCTCTGGTGAGTTTATATCTTTTCTATATACTATATCTTCTCCTTTACTATTACTATATATCTAACACCTTTACAGTCTAAACGAATCTTCCACATTCTAACCTCCCTCATCACCACCATCTCCTTCATAATCTACCTAGCCCTTGCAACCGGCCAAGGCATAACAACCAAACACGTCAGAGTCCACGAATCCCACAAGCATGTCCCAGACACCCACACAGACTACATCCGCCAGGTCCTATGGCTGCGCTATGTAAACTGGGCATTAACAACACCCCTACTCTTCATCAACTTCGCCCTTCTGTCCGCCCTACCGGGTGCAAACCTCCTCATCGCCATTGTCGCCCACCTGACAATGCTAGCAACAGCTCTATTGGGCATATTCGCAGGCCACGGCCGCGAGCGCTGGGTTTGGCTAATCCTGACATGTATTTCCTACCTGGTCGTGATCCACCATGTAGGCTTCCATGCACAGAAAGCAGCAAGGAGCAAGGATGCTCAGACACGACGGTTCTTCGGGTCTATTTCCGGGTCGGCCATTGCAATGCTAGCGCTGTTCCCTATGTGAGTTATATATCCAAAAGAGCAGTCCAAAGTCTAGTCTGTTCAGGACAATTGCTAATGTTGAGTTAGTTCTCTTGCGGCTGGTGCTCTTGCGCTTAGATTGAGCGTTGATGCTGAGACTATCCTCTTCGCTATACAAGATATCTTTACGCAGGGCATCCTTGGGTATTGGCTTCTGTTGGCTCATGAGAGCGCCTCTGGAATGTGAGTTTCCGGTTGAACCTTGATATCCGGACGACATGCTGATTTATACAGTGAGCTCTATATGGAAGGATTCTGGTCTCGTGGTATCGGCAATGAGGGAGCTATTCGGATCTCCGACGAAGAGGGTGCGTAAGGAAATGACTTTTCATTCGCATTCACATTCACATTCAGATTGGAAATGAGATGATAGGATGATATTAGGCCTTTTTCTTTTTCTTTGGTTCACTGTCAGATTTCTCTCATTTGCGGATGAGTTTTCACTTTTTCTTTTCTCTCAGTTTTATTCAAGTTTTGGTCTTCAGATATAAGATATGAGTATGGTGATATTGATACTTTACCATTTTACATGTATTCCACTTATTCCGTATGTTGTATGTTGTACTCTACATATGTAAGAAGCAAGAATGACCCGGACAATGTTTGCTTTTTCTTTTTTTTTTTTTTTCTTTTTTTTTTTTTTTTTTTTACTCGTACACAAACACAACCGAATTATAGTATTTCCATGGCGGCACGCTCACCAGAACCCCCTCTAGAGAGGGTTCAGGTGAGCGTGCCGCCGCCGAAGGACACAGGCACCGTTCACATCCCGGAGGTCCGCAGACCTCCCACCGCAGCGGTGAGCTCGGCAAGCTCCCCCTCACCGAGCTTGTTCGAGTGACGAACTCGAACGCCTCGCTGGGCTCGAGAGAGCCAGAAACCGCAGTCGACGCAGTCCTTCTTAAAATGAACCTCTTCGAGGTTCCGGAACCACATCCCGAACGCATCCCCGTCCACCGCGAAGCCGGTCAAGGTGAGATGCTTGACCGGCAGGTAGCGGGGGACGGGGAAACCAGTGACACCGGCAAGAAGTCTTGCCTTCTCGATGCAGAACTTGTCGAGGTACTCGCCGTACCCGAGCCTGCTCGAGATCTCTCCGGTGCCGCCCTCTCCACTATAGATCAGTCAGGTTAGTATATGTCCCATTTCTCACTTTCACATCACTCTCAGTTCGGTTGTCACTTACTAGTAAACGGGGGCGCCAAACGACCCCGCATTCATCACCCATCCATCACGGATGGGCTTCCAGCCCCGTGGAACTGGCTCCTTGATCTCCAGTCCCACCGCCATCTCCAGCTCGAGGGTGACGAGCTGGGGGTTCAACCAGACCGCCTGCCAGATGGTCCTCTGGTATGATTTAAACATACCAGTCAGACGGAGGACCCGCAGGTTCCGGAACTCCACCAAGGGCCGCAACGCGTGGTCGGAGGGGATGGTGATTCTGACCTCAATCTCCTCCCCCCTTCCTCGGGGCAGTGGTGGGCTCCCTTACCGGTGGCAGTGCCAGTCACACCGGGAACATTGGCCTGAATGGCCACATCAGACACTGCACCTGTCTGATCATGATCGAACTCGACATGGCTGTTGGGCGAGCCCTTGCGAGCATCGCACAGCATGTTGAGTTCGAGGACAGACTCGGTGCGTGGGATGTTGGCCCAAGTGCCACCCTCGTTGAGGTACGCCATCAAGTTGATTTGGGCACTGCGAGATGGGCGAGGGGTAGGCACAGGTTCAGGGTGAGGATCACTCTCAACCCACTCCTCAGAACTGATAATGGTCTGAGGAATTGTGGGGAAATGGTAAGAGTTCTCGGGGCCGCTGGGGGGGTGCAATGTCCAGGTTGGGAGCGGACGGTCCTCTGTAGAGGGAACGGAAGGCAGGGCGGGGTGCGGGAGGGATGGGAGGGATAGGAGATCGAGGAGGGAAGAAAGTAGGAGATTCGGGTAGAAGGAAGGTAGGAGGAGATTGAGGTGGAAGGAAAGTAGGAGATTGGGGTGGAAGGAGAGTCGAAGCAGGTTCAGGTGGAACGAAAGTCGACGGAGGCAAGATGGAAGGCCGGGCAGGCTTCTGGAGTTCCACAATGCCTGTAGTTGATGCGAGAATTGGGGCTCGGCGCTTGTGAGTGAGAGACTTAAAGGAAGGTAGGCTTGGAAGCCGGAGACTACCTCTCTTCGAACTCTCATGGCCCTTCTCAAGACTCTTTTCAGGTGAGGTTGCAGTATGAGTCCTCACGGGGGCGGGATTAATGGTGTTGCGCAATCTGACGCTATTGAAAGAAGCCAGACGGGGGAGTTCGAAACGACTCTTCTTCTTCTGTGGACTCTTCTCGGTAGAGCTTGTCACTGTAGTCTGAACAAGACCTTTGGAAGATGACTGGGTAGGGTTTTGATGCGGCAATTGGCCAGTTAGGGCTAAACGCAGATGAGATGAGATCATTAGCATGAACTATATATGAATAGGCAGGCTTGGATGTCAAGCATGCAGCAAAAGAACATACCTTGTTCCTCATTCTCATTTGCAGCACGTTCCTGGGCATGTCTCGTCACGTCGTCCCAGAACTGCTCTCCCATGAGGCTTGACTGCCATTGCTCACGCAACGCATGATCGTACGGATTGTTCATGTTGATTTATGATCAATAATGATGGAAATTAGATGAAAGTATGTAATAAAAGGATGAAACGATATGGGATAAACGATATGGGATGGGATGAGATGAAAAGAAAAAAACAGAGAGAGCGAGACAGCCAGAAGGCACCTGGAGCGTGTTCTCCCCAAGCGTGAGTCCGTCGTATAAACAAGCACTCGGGGTAGGTACCATTCCCGCAGGGAGCGCCGAGATATAGATCGAGGGCTCCGGTTCAATTCTGCGCGCTTGCTCTTATTTTTTTCTCTGTGTCGTTAAAAACGATAGACCCTCTACAAAAATGCATACTAAACATTGCTGGTATAACTCGCATTGTCTTCATGTTATATTCCCAAACGTGGAACGAAGAAGAGCATTCCCTTTCTCCAGCTCTATTAGCCCTAATCAGTCAACGATGTGTCCATATGTCTCCGACAATGCGACAAAATGATAACCCCGAGAACGTATCCAATCAAGCAGGTAGTTAGCGGCAGTATAAGCAGTTGTTAGTTCTTTATACTAAAGTCGGCCACGATGAAATCGATGACACCACTTGGAAGGGCGATCCGAGGGTGCTGTTCATGACTATCACCAACCCAGCCTTTCAACCCAGTGACGAAAACAAACAGCCTTTCTTTCCTGGCAAGGGAACGTCAGCTGTAGTGCCGTAGCTCTCCATGAAGGTGTGGGCTATAAAGCCGATAAAATTGGTTCCATTGTTAGTAGACGTAGCAATACGGAGTGCAGGGCGCTTCAGGCGCATGTCCTCGAATGACTCGATTCCATACTTGGGATCGATGGCCAGAATCACGCGGTCATTTTGTGGCAGCACGCCAAGGGCACACAACGAGGGCATGGCCACCAGTCTTCGATGTGCCAGACATGCTCATTAAGTCCGCTCATTTAGGACTGGCTTCGATAGCGGCAACGCTATAACCTTGCTACATAGACATGGTTTGACTATTGTAGCCCGAGGTGCAGCCCTGCGGGCTGTTTATACACAGAAGAATGCCGCCATCAAGACGACCGCGCTGCTGATACAAGCCGCCTATCATGGGAACGGTGTAAGAAAGCACGCTGTGAGTGACAGTGGTGCTGGTGGGATTAATGATAGCCCTACAAGCGCAGGGAGCGATCTTCATTATCTCGGCGCAGAGGAGTGCGCCGTGGCTAACGAAGCTATAATTTGGTCCGTTCAACGGCCGTGGGATTTCTGGCGCAAAGAGGTACAGGCTTGTAGATTGTATTCGAACACTATTTAGTCATAATTCACATCTATAAGGCTGATTTGTCACCATGCCCATTTTGTTGAACGAGATCATCGGTAGTAGAAGTTTTTGCAACTGTTCCATATTGGGGATTCGAATCCAAACAGTAATAACACCAGTGTAATTGCCATAGAGTATATGTTGGAGTACAACCCTCCTCTTGTATGCTTATATATATTACGAACTCCGGAACGTACAGCTCGGCATCAGTATGCTTGGCCATTGACAACTAGACCTTGCTTTTCCGGGTACAGTAAAACCTGTTTATAACGAACCTGGTTATAACGAATACCTGGATATAACGAAGTAATACCGGCCCACCAATTAATCCGCCATAGTAATAACGAAATTACCTCCTTACTACTTTCGTTATATCGAGGTTTTATCTCCACTTTTTCAAGCATTCCCAACCAATCAAAATGCCTCGCCGATCGATCCCAACCTCCCAGAAAGCGGCACTACGAGAGCAGCGCCGAATCAACCCTTTACTCTCTAGTAAAGAGCTCGCTCAGTGGTTTTATGAAGCCTATAACCACCGTCCCTCGCCCTCTACGATCTCCGAAATCCTTTCCTCCTGATACCTTTATATATGAAGAGCAGCAGGAGCAGGGAGAAACCCAGTTAGTTAGTGCGCTTTATAGGCATGAAAGGTTACTGGAAGCGAGGAAATTGGAAGGGAAGAAGCAGAGAGATATTAGGGCTTTTTTTAGAGCATAAATTTGTATGTAAACTAGAAATATATATATTTTATATGGCACCTGGATATAACGAATACCTGGATATAACGAATATTTCATCGTGTTTCAATTAATTCGTTATAAACAGGTTTTACTGTATAATGGGTTTACCCACGACCCGCCAAGAACCCATAGGGCCGGATATTAAAGGGTTTCAAATGTAATGTATCAATATCTGACTACTCGTGAAGAGAAGAGTATCTAGCTTCAATGCTACGCGAGCCTGAGGGGTCAGCAGGGACAGTCTCGGCTAAGCTCATCGTAACCTTGATAGTTCCTATGTACCCCAGTGTGGATACATCAAACATCCATATTGGGTTTGTGATAAACCTGGGGTATAAGCTGTGAGTTGTGTATATATAAGGGTTTCTTCAAGGGCAAGTTTAGTGCTTGTTTACATATCGAGCTGCCAGGGCGAGCTATCCATGCATGATTGTCATAGCGATATCGTAGGCTGCAATATCGAAGACGAAAGCTTCAAACCCATAGGTTGGCACATTGCCAATCTAATATCGAGCAAGTAAAAAAGAAAACCCCCTACTGCCCTACTGTATACAACTACTGCTCAAAGAACAATTTGGCTGGCAAATGGCCCGTGGACTTCGCTATTTTGTGTCCCTCCCCATGATAAATACATCCAGAGCGGTGCGGAGATGTCTCTCGCACACACGAACCATCTTTTAATCGCCAAGCACAGAGGGAGAAGTTTTAAAAGAAACCCATTGGAATTGTCGAACAAAAATCATGCATCATCCATAACCTAGTACTTCTTGCCCTGGCGGAGGACATCACCGAACTCCTCCAGAGGGCTGCGGATGAGCTTGTTCTCGGCCCACAGGTTGGGGGTAAGGAAACCGTAGGTGTTGACGACAGCGACGAAGGTGGCCTTGAGGGTGTTCTCGAGGGTCTTGGTGGAGCCGGAAGAAGAGGTGTAAGCGTCCTGGACACCGGCGAGCTGGAGCAGGCGCTTGACAGCGGGGGAAGCGACAAGGCCGGTACCGCGGGGGGCGGGAATGAGCTATAGTTGATTAGAAACCATCTCGTCAAGACCATCGGTCCCTGAAAACAAGGACCAAACCACTGTAGCAAACTTACACGGACGGAGACGGAACCACACTTTCCACTCTGCTTAACGGGCAGAGAGTGAGGCTCACCAAGGTTGGTACCCCAGTAACCGCGACGGACGGGGAGGACAGCGAGCTTGGCGATGGTGATAGCGGCACGGATGGCAGTGGCGACTTCCTTGGAGGTCTTGATTCCGAGACCGATGTGGCCCTCGGAGTCACCGATGAGGACGATGGCCTTGAAACGGGTACGCTGACCGGCACGGGTCTGCTTCTGGACGGGCTTGATCTGTAGGGTTGAAATTTGACGTTAGTTTCTGGTCTTGATTTCGATGTATTCGTTTCTTTTCTCCGCTCGAGCTTCCATTGCGCAATTGTTTCAATTGTCGCATTCCAGTCGAATCCCGCTCAATCCTCCAATTTCAAAAAAAAATGTGCGTGTCGATCCGTACCTTCATAACCTCATCCTTGAGCTTGGGAAGGAAGAAGTCGACAATCTGGTACTCCTTGACGGGCAGAGAGTGGAGGTAGATCTGCTCCATGGAGGTGATCTTGCCGGCCTTGACGAGACGACCGAGCTTGGTGACGGGCTGCCACTCCTTCTCCTCCTGCTTGGGGCCACGACGGCCGCGACGGCCACCACGGCCACGTCCACGCTCACCACCACGGTCGCCGCGCGAACCGAAACCACCACGTCCACGGGGAGCAGCGTCAGCCATATTGATGTTGTTATGGGAAGCGACGGGGAGGGTTGTCGGGATTGAGTTGGTCGTCGAGATTCACGGCGCTCAGCACTGTTTGCCCGAAATTTGCGCGGGTGGGCTAAGCGAGCAAGCAGCCCTAGTGGGGACCCTATGCCCTAAGTTCCTGATTGGGGTGTGGCACGTGCACTTAAGGTTTCCAAGGCGGTGTCACCTGACGGGGCCCAGAAGTAGATCGATTGATCATCGGTGGTTTCGAGGGGTATTGAAGCTGTGGAAGAATGTATGGATTGATCTTATATTAAATGTTGAGGCTATTGGCTATAGTTATATTTAACAATGTATCGTCTTTATATACAAAATTGAGCCCTCGTAATGTTCGTTATTCTACCCCCCCTACGTCACTCCGCAAATTTGCTTCAGGCGGATGCATTTCCTATTTGAGCAATGCGACAGGGCAATCTCGACTCCGCAATTTCAAGATTGTTCCTCCCCCAGTTGCCCCCATTCAATAGTATTTCAGCATCTCTCCTCTGCGCTTTTGTTCATTCTTTTTATAATTCCATTCTTCTCTGCTTATTTCATCTTTCACAACCACTCAATTGCAGTTATGTTGCGCTGGTAAGTCTCCCTTGCTACTTATCTATCCCCTTGAATCGAAGCTCAAAACACTCTCCAACCAGGTACCAATCCAAGTTGGCCAAGAGGCCAATCCTCACCGCAAGCATCACCAGCGCCGTACGATCCTCTCCTTTTTCCCCTTTCCCCCGGACCAGTTCCTGATCCTTGTTACAATAGTTTCTATTCGGCAGCGGTGATGTTCTAGCACAGCAAGCTGTTGACCGGAAAGGTCTTCAAAAGCATGACTTTGCCCGCACTGGGCGAATGGCTCTATACGGTGGAGGTATGTTTATAAGTCTCGAGTCTCTTGTATATTGCTGATCGGCGCCTTCTTCTTTTAGCTGTCTTCGGTCCAGTTGCCACTACCTGGTTTGGTATTCTCCAGCGTCATGTCGTTCTCAAGGGCACCGCATCCACCACCGCCGCTCGTGTTGCCGCCGATCAAGTCTTCTTTGCCCCAGTCCAGCTCACCTGTTTCCTATCCTCGATGGCTATCATGGAAGGTGTTGATCCCGTGGAAAGGTGGAAGACTGCCTTTGTTCCTGCCTACAAAGCCAACCTGATGGTCTGGCCGTTTGTACAGGGTGTCAACTTTACATTTGTCCCCCTAGAGCTGCGCTTGTTGTTTGTCAACGTTATCAGTTTGGGTGAGTACTTCGCTTCCAAGTGTTGCTGGTTATACTCCTTACTTCAGGCACTAACAATTAAACAGGGTGGAACTGCTTCCTTAGCTTGATGAACAGCGGCGAAGAACTAGAATTACAAGCTGCAATCTGAGATACCCCTTTGAAGTTTTAATTATCAGCTATTCTGTGCTTTTTTTTTTTTTTTTTTTTTCACGGTTGGCGCTCGATTATATAGGATGCTCTTTTTCGTTGTTGGGTTATCCTCAGGCATCATATCATGTTCGGGAAAATTTCTATTCTAACATTTTTCGGCCATGTAGAATAGATAGTATAAATCTGAATCTTAATATTCAATTGAATTATTAGAATAAGTGAAACAAATGATAGACAAAGTAGAAATAAGAGTAAAGTGAAGATCGGATGTATATTTGTGCCCAGGAGGTGATAATTGATTATGTTACGGAAGAACCCAAAGAGGCAAGGCAAGTTTTTGTGGCTCGAACTTCAAAACTTCCACTCTTTGCAGTCGATTGTCGCCCACCTCCACTCTGATCTTACACTGCCTGGAGCAGACTATTACTGCTAACTTGATCCAGGCTCGGATTTCTCTTACCTTCTTTGTGTGAAAAGCTCCAATTTGCGCTTTCCCTGAAATTCTCGCCCCTCCAACTCTCCGACTCGAATTCCCCCTCCACATCCATTCATCATGGCTACCGTCGCAGAAAACGGTACTCCGGCTGTTGCTGATGAGAACTCTGTTCCTGTCACTGAAACTCAGACTGGTGATGCCGTCACTGTCTTCCACAACTCCGATGACTTCAACGTGAAGCACCCTCTTATGCACGAATGGACTCTGTGGTTCACCAAGCCCCCCAGTGGCAAGGTAGGGGATACCAGTTGGATATATCGACTTCATTGTACTCATTCATGGAAATTAGGGCGACAACTGGAACGATCTGCTTAAGGAGGTGGTTACCTTCAGCTCTGTGGAAGAATTCTGGGGCATCTATGTAGGTCCAATCTGAAGTCTCCACTGACCAACAATCACACTAACCTCGATCGCTGTTAGAACAACATCACGCCAACCTCCGAACTCGGCCTTAAGGCCGACTACCACCTCTTCAAGAAGGGCGTACGACCCGAGTGGGAGGACCCTCAAAACAAGCACGGTGGAAAGTGGTCATACCAGTTCAAGGACAAGCGCTCCGTGCCCATCGACGAACTCTGGCTGCACGCGCAGCTCGCCGCGATCGGTGAGACTCTCGAGAAAGATGACGACAACGAAGTTATGGGAGTGGTTGTGAATGTGCGCAAGGGCTTCTACCGTGTCGGTCTATGGACACGCACAGTCGGCAAGAGCATCCAGGGCGATAAGCACACTCGGACACAGGCGCAGGGCAAGGAGGTCCTCGAGGCAATTGGTCAGCGATTCAAGGACGTGCTGCGGTTGAACTTGGCGGATGTGGTGGAGTTCTCTGGCCACACCGACAGTGCACACAGCGGTAGCACACGCGCGAAGGCCAAGTATACCGTTTAAACGGGGTTGTCTGAGGTGGTGATTTGCAGACGAGGATGAAAATCGAAAAAAAAAAAAAAAAAAAGAACAGGGGACGGATGGCGATGCGCCGATTTCACGATTACGGACGACACGAATCGAGGGGAATTGACTCGACTCGCTGTGCGATGCTGGAAACTGGGGGTGATTCACCTAGGGACCGCTGTCCCTCCCCCTTTGATGCCCGCCCCGCTGCATAGTTCTGCAGGGACGGCCTGATTGCTTGCGACTTGTATCTTACTCTACCAACACATTTCACGAGGCTTCTGCCGTGGTTGAGGTCGAGCTCGTGCCGGTATGATGGTATTTTCCTTACATTATTCTATACAAATATGACCTGTTCATGGATGCATTCAACTTTTGGTGTTGGCGTGCTGTGTCAGTTTTGGCGAGATGAAGCACCTGAGTATAGCTGCAGTAGCTGTAGCTCAACAGCGGCCTAAATGCCTAAGCCCTGTCTTATATATATTTTGTCTGATCCGATCAGCGTCGTGAGTTGAAAGGCTTCCGGGAGGTTATGGTGGCACTCTCTAGAATGTATAGACACAGACACATTTGTAGTAAGCGTTCAGTTTCAAACATGCTCTACGACCGACATGATTCCTTGGACATATAAAACGACATCCATAGGACAGACAGTGTACCCACCACACCAATATCAAACCAAACCAAAAGATAGGTTGGGATTGGGATCAGCTTCGATTGATCAAAGTGAAAGGAACGACCAAGCCTTTTCTACCTAACGAAGATATCGAGAACTCGGCTTACGCAATTCGCCGATTACCTTTCGCACTGCAGTCTCGATAGGTCCGGAAGAGGATGAAACACTCTTTATTGAATATATTCCCTTCTTAGTTTGTCAATCGCTCGCATATTATACCTCGAAATTCGTAATCCACCCCGAAATAGATAAGCTTCTTCTCTCTAACTTTGACTTAGCCGTAACTAGAAAGGAAAACCTACTAGATAGTCGAGACGATATATCTAGTGGTTTCTTATACTACAAACGAACAGATTTTACAAGGATTCCTCAATAGGATCGAAGCATAGATATGGTGGTTATAAGCTATTCAATAGCCTTATTAGACCTCAGAATAGCCCATTTATGTGCACAAATATAGACTTGGCACGCATAAAGTAGCTGATTAATGGCTGTACTATTTTGCGCATATGCCAATGTGTATATTCAATAGTTATTATGTTATCATAGTAAGAAGTAGGAATTACGTAGATATTATACTGATTTCAGCATCACGATACCAGACTTCATATAAAATCACCCCAAAAAGATCCAATTTGACCCGTGGACTACGAATTCGCACCGAGCAGGATTACTGAGTGTCCGTATAGAGAGAGATATATAGTTATATATCTAAAGCGGATTGGTAGTTAGAAGTATCGCTTTCTCTAACTACAGTAACACTTATGCTACCTCTATTTACTATATAAATATATAAATCCCTAACAAAAATAAGTACCTCTTGTAAAAAAGTAAAGCCTTTATGAAGGAAGATTTCTATGTTGTAGCCGTGCCAACACGGTGTTGGTGCGCCCCAGAGGATGCAATGTCCTCACAGGATGTAAGATCTATAAATTAGGTATCTTTTGTATGACTTACCCATACAAAAGGTACTTAGACATAACATACATTTTTCTCAACCCTCAAACTAGCGAGGGAAGATATAAGATGATCTATATAGTGTAAAGGAAGTCTATATTATTTGACCAAACTTTGGATGAAATATTACGATACTAAAATAAAGAAAGTACCTAGTTATGTCTACCATATAGCCTTTATAAAGTGTCATTTTAAAATAATTACAATATTATATATACTTCTATCTTTATTATTAGCTAGGGTTCTCTAATATTAGGGCTGGCTATCTCCGCGTAGCTATTATTTACTATATAAGATCTATCAAATAGTGTAATGGATAAGTCCATACAAACCACAAAGTGGACTCGGATGCATTCATCACCACTCAAGGCTCATGCTTGTCAAGTTCATAGAGATCCATCCAAAAAGAAGTATCATGTAGCCTAAGCCTGCGATGAACTTCCCCAGCCGTCTTCAAGCCAAAAAAGCCAGCCATTTCCCAATCAACGAGCCCCACAATCCTGTCATCATCAACTATACAGTTAGAATCAGTCAAGTCATTATGCATGAAGCTCATGTCTGGATCGGTATTGGTATTAGAGAAGAGAATATCGCATTCAAGGGGCTGGATACGGCCGTTGCTACGAATGTTGGGATCAGGCACGACGTAAGAGCGAACCTGGCGTCTATCGGTAGGCTTGATAGTGTGTAGCTGTCGGAGTATATCGCGTGCTTGTTGTTTAAAGGACTCCATTTGAGCTTGCGAAAGATAAGGCCAAGCGACGGCCAACGCAACACCGGGAAGCCTTTCCTGGACCAGTATATGGCGGCCATTGATCTAAGGGGATAGGATATAAGTAAAATGGGCGTAACCAAGGGGTAATAACAAGTACCTTTCCAGTAAAGTATATTTTGGGTACTTTAACGTCTTCCAAGACGTTCTTTGCTATAGCAATCGCCCGGATCTCATTCGCATCAGCATACGAATAGTCAATCTCCGTATACTTGGTGCTCCGTGGCGTATGTAGGTGGCTTGATTTAATGATGATGCTACCAAGGGCAAACACGTCGCGACCACCGTCATCGGCGGGATAGATTCTAGCAGATTGGTTGCAAAGATCAATAACTGATGCCCAATAAGCTAACGAGTCTGCGGAATGAGAATTGACATGCTGACGGTCAACGCGGAAGTCGTCTGGTCTAGGATGGTACCGACCATAAAGCGGCAAATCCGCGTATAGATCAGAAGGAGGGATATCGTCTGGGTCCGTCGTATATGGGTTCATTGTTAAAGTTGAAGTAGAATATATGATCAACTATGGAGATGAAGCACAAAATATGAATACTTCGTTTGGCGAGGATTTGTCTCGGATATGAAAGGATGATGAGAGACGGCCACTCGGTCCAGCTAGAATGTCCTGGATGCTGTAACTAGCGGGTAGTAGTGGCCTTAGGCAGACATATATAACACCTATATAAAAGAGAACCTGGCATGGCGTTTGGACATTGCTCTCTTTTACATATACATTCTCTAGAGCCAGTCAATATCTCAGTCCTCGCCGTCACAAATTTATTTCACTGTCAACATAGTCAACGTGATCTGCCCCTAAGCACCGAAGGTGATCCCCCGTTATGTAGGGCAGCCAATAATACCCCCCGTTCAGCAAATTGGTCTCCATGGTGACCCAGTTACCGCCGCCCTTCCAAACAGACTATATTGAGCTTAGTTCTATAACAACCAAAGCCCCTTGTTATCTCCATCATCCACAAGAGGCGTCTCAAGCTGCAGTTTTCTACACAAACAACATTTCCGAGGTCTCGTTTTCCTCCAAAGTCAAGCAACGGTGAACCGGTAGCAGAACCAGTATGGCGACCAAAGCGCTCGAGGCTCGTTTCAAGCATTTATCTGTTCAAGATGAGAACAGTGGACAAGATGGGACCAATTTAAACCGGAATTCCAAGGTAAGTGGGCTCTATGGTACCCTTACAACACGCGTTGAGAGCACAGTTAATGACAGGGAGCAGGTCGCAAGCACCGGCACACATCCATCGGACAGACTCCAGCCACCAGAGAGCTCCAAGTCTAATATGTACAAACAACAGTGCACAATTATTGACCCTGTCGCTTCCCAAGTCAATCGAGTAAAAGGCGGAAAAGTTCTTCGGCCCTCTCGAAAGCCCCTCTCGGTTATTTCGACGCAGAGACCCGATGAAGTCGTCAAGGCCAAAGAACATAACGTCACTGATATCGACCAACAAAGCACAACCCTCAATCGTATCGCCTCCAAATTTACTCAAGCCAAAGACCAACCAGCATCTTCTCGGACTCGACACCCCCTCTCTGCCGTTATGTCGTTAGCATCGGGTGCAGAGTTCAAAACAGAACAAGACAGTACGAGTGATGCCAAGTGGCAAAGCAGAGCCGCCAATCAGCTCGTTTCCCAAGCGACTCAAGCAAAAGTCGGACAAACTCTTTCCCTACATCGACACGCCCTCTCTGTTTCTCGGTCGGTAACAGCCAATACGGCTGAAAAGACAGAAGAACGTACCGCCCAGCTTATAAAACAACCTGTCCCCAAGCTATTTCACCTAGGCATGTTCGAAATTGGCCGACCCTTAGGAAAGGGAAAGTTTGGACGAGTATACCTTGCACGAGAACGGCAGACTGGTTTTGTTTGTGCGCTGAAAGTACTCCACAAGCATGAGATCCAACAAGGAAGGGTCGAGAAACAGGTAGCTCGTGAAATCGAGATTCAGAGCAATTTGCGTCACCCCAACATCTTGCGGTTATACGGTCACTTCCACGATCGGAAACGAATATTTTTGATTCTCGAGTATGCTGGTAAAGGGGAATTATATAAGCACTTACAACGAGAAGATCGGTTCCCTGAGCGGAAAGCAGCACAATATATCGCACAAATGGCGAGTGCTTTACGGTACTTGCATCGTAAACATGTCATTCACCGGGATATCAAGCCTGAGAATGTCCTTGTTGGTCTTCACGGAGAGTTAAAGGTGTCGGATTTTGGCTGGAGTGTTCATGCGCCAAGTGGCCGTAGGCTCACGATGTGTGGAACCCTAGACTACTTGCCTCCAGAAATGGTAGATCCTAAGAGGTGCCATAATCCTTATGATGATAAAGTGGATCTATGGGCCCTAGGGGTCTTGATGTACGAATTCCTGGTTGGAAGGGCACCTTTTGAGGACACACCTGGTATGACAACCAAGCGCATTGCTAAGGGGGATATGACGATTCCTTCTTTTGTTAGCTCCGAAGCCAAGGATCTTATCAAAAAGGTGAGTTCATCTTCAAAACATAACATCAACCAAGCACTAACGATAATCAAGCTACTCGTCCTTGATTCAGATCGAAGGATTTCCTTGGAGAACGTGAGACAACACCCCTGGATTATCAAACACTGCGAGATCACCACAAAACAAGATAAGACTTGAGTGATTGCATAATGGGACAATGAATGTAGTTGTCTATGTGATGCTATACTAGTTATCCCTACCTATAGGAGCTCCCCTCTAATAATACACACTTGGAATCTAGTCCAGAACAATATGGATATGCTAGCGGCCTGCCCTTTGGATGATATCCTAGAATAAATGAAGTATGCATGCAGAAATCAGTTTACCATACAATCTGTCTTCACCATAACACGGCCAAGGTTACCAAACCCCGATGATGTGGCACAAGGCGTGCGTTCCCATATGTTGTGTTTTTACAAAGGACCAAAGCAATGCTTTGTTATACGTTGCGCAGCAACTGACCAACTGGCTGTGGCTTGCTGACATTAGCCACCTGCGACTTTTTAGAATTCAGCTGCACCACTATCGTAGAGTACATTATGGCGATGGAGAAGCCCAGCTCCTAGCTTCATATAGGTATATACATGCTGTGTCTGACAAATATATCCGCGATAGCTATCAAGGTCGCCTTAGGCATCCAATACAGAACTCTCTACTGTATGTAACTACCATTGTATTAGCGGGTCTTATTGTTTTACCAATAGCGCGATTACCATGTGTAGTAGAAACGTGCCCAGGTGGCAAAACTTAGATAATTCGAGCAACTATACATCCACTACGTATGTATATAGATAAGGATAGAGCGGAAATAATGCTTAGGTGATATAGAGCAGAACATACGATACCTTCTCGTGACGTAGAGATATGAAGTTCACAAAATAAAGTGGGGTTATCAGTATGCCTTTCGATGAAATTTGTGCTGAGCAACTATCTTGGGCTGGGAAACAATAGAGTGAAGCAGATGGAAACAAATGTCCGTATTTATCTGAGAATTGTCCGGCTGACTCTTAACAAAAGAATCTCGAGCTAGGACCAAATATCCGGTTCGCTGTCATATTGGGCGTGCTCAAGACAGAAGCGGAGGAAATCCACAATTGTAGCGGCTGATAGCCCATCTCAAGGGCAGAGATCCACTCTGATTGAAAAATACTTGAGATGAAACCATCTATTCTCTGTCTGAGAGCCTTTGAACTTGGTTTCCAGCCGACGTAGCTGCAGCATGCACAATAACAAATATGGCATGTAAAGCGGACGGGCGGCTATATACTGGCTGCCATTGGCCATAGAACAGACCAGCCAGCCACTCACGAATCTAGAACCCGTTATTTTTCAACAAACCTCAAAAACGTATGTACCAAATTTGGTGTTTCACAAAGCCAAGTGTCGCAAGCCGCTCCTCAAGCAGTAGAAGTATCAGGGAATAGGATTTCCCCTCATATCCACTGGCATTTCTTTCCAGAACCAAGGCGTTTTGAAACCCGGAGGTCCCATTCACCATTCTACTGCCCGCTCATCCGTACAGTCATCAAGGATATCATTGTTGACTTCGAGATAGCCCCGCATCATTGATACCCAGGCGTTTAGTAGCAACTGCCACGATGAAAATCCAAGCTCCTCGATATCAGAAATGACTCCTTTGACAAAGCTCTTAACCAATACTGCTTCAAGCGGATAGAATAAGTTGTCATATACTTCATATTGCTTTGATTGAGCCTTCTGGGTTGACTGATTTGTTGATTGAGCCTTCTGGTTTGACTGGTTTGAAGTCATATCGACATTGTCTAGTGGTAAATGCGCGAAGGAGTTAGGAATTAAGAAGATTTGATCCCCGCTAAACTGAAGGTGAGGCGGGAACTGGAATGACGTGTAATAACGGTCCAGGCGTTCGTAGCCCTTGTTAATCTCATTAAGGACGGCCTGCGGATCTGGGAGGGACTCCATAATTTCAGGGGCGGCCCGGCGATCAGGAGGGGCTTGACTAAATCCAGAGTCTTTGAGCTTCTGAATCGCCGTCTGATAATGTTCGTCTCGGACAACAAACATGTGATACTACTATAATAATCATAATAGTCAGTAATAATAAGACTAAATAGCAAAGGAAATATTCACGCCTGCTCCAGTTAGGACACCCAAATGATACATTGCAAGCTGTCCCCACGATATTACCGGTAGAGGCTTGAGTATTTAACTGAATGCTGAAGATACGGCGTCAGGTGCGACCTCTCGGGGATTCCTGCACATCTCGGCTGCAAATCTTCTTTTGAATATTATCTTATACGCTCCTAGTATGTTTTCTTGCGATATTGATGTCAAAATTTGACGTAAGAAGACGTGAGTTGGGTGAAAAGACCCAAGGAAAACTGTTGTGGTTGTACAGTCAAGGCCGTTTTTTGGGTTGGAGCAAAAATGCTTATGTAATCGGCTTAACTTTGCGAGGTGCCGTCTGGACCGTCACCTCAGTTTGTTTTATATTTTGTTTTCTTATAAAGTCCAGAAGTCATGCACACCAGCAGGAGAGAGTAGAGAGAACAAAGGGCGTCTAATTGCCTTGTGGTGGAAGGTTGTCCTGTGCGAGCTACCAATATGATATAGTTATTTTATAGAGATAAGCAACCTTGGAAGCTTCCGACGCGCAATATGCTCCATTGATATCTTTCCAAGTCTCAGCTGGGAATAACTGAAGCACTAGCATAGTAGTCACCGACAGAGACCCACTGTGGTATTCTAAGTGGCTGCTGATGTCGCAATATCAGAGTGACTGCTTCGAACTCTGTAGAGAGAGAGCCCTCTATTATCTCGGCCGGGAGCTGACCTGTTGCGATGTCGGAACGGTGATGTGCTTGCCCATACCGGCCCAACTACCCGTACACAAAGTAATGGTGCTAGCTTGTTCAACTGGGAAGTGGCGACGGCATCACATAGAGCTTGGACTGAGATAGCGAGAGCACTATATTGTATAACGAATTGGGCTTGGCAAGTAGGACATCGGAAGTAAGCCTATCCAGGCTACATCAGGATATAGTCCCAAGCAACCTCATGGAATCCAAGTTTGAAGTTGAGATTCAACATATTTCATTGAAAGGGACTTGATGTGTGATATATCTTTAGCGCCGGTGTCGGATTGCCAATATCTTGGAGAAGTCTTGGTGGAACTCTCTCTTAAGGTGTTGGTTGCTTGGCTGACACCCAAGAGGTTCCTCAAGGCTTGGAAGCTTACGCCATCTGAGGGTTAATGTTGATGATAAGCTCTCCTGTTGGTGGACCTGAAGTCCATTTTTGTCCATTTTTGTCCACAAGCGAAGTCGGAGCCCCCCAAAGGGCGTGTGCTAAGACTCTTGTTTCCTTGGTGTCTTGGGGTTTGTATATATTTATGAGTGATGTCCCTGTTGATCTTTTGATCTTTTGATCTTTTCTCTTTTTCCCCCTCCCCTCTCTTTCCCCTTTCACATACCAAAAATCGATCAAATTATGAGATGACTTTTGATGGCTATAGTGTCATACACCTACACATACTAATGACCAAGACTAACAGAAACACTTTCTTATCTTCTGTGGGCTTGGCAGGCACCGAGCACTCAAACACAGATCCACCTCCCATCGCCTTTCGACGAGGTTTTTACGAGAGAATAATTACCCCGGAACCATCAGACCAGACCAAACCACGATAGGAACAAAAAATGGTTTCTCTCAGGTCATTGCCTCGGCTGTCATTGAATGACATTGGTTGTTACAGGTCATTTGCCGGGGTAAGCGGGTATGGTCAAGCTTTGAGACATACGCAGCTCAGCGGGAAAACGAGGGGAAATGGGCCCCAACGTTACATTCGGAAAGGAAGACTGGAGATCTTTCTACAATCGTATGGTGATTGAGTACGGAGGACTTTGACCTGGCAATCAAAGGATTCCCCTACTTCGACGAAAACGGATGAACCCCCGATCTGAACCTTTGCCGCCTCACCCGAAAGGCGTCCACAACGTTGAAAAGGTCGACAATATACAATTCAGATTCCCGGTCAATGATATTACCCGAATATATTCATCAAAAGATCGGAGTATCGACTTGACTCCGGCCATTGAAAAAAAAAAAAAAAAAAAAATTCAAAGAAAAAAAAATCACACACAAAACGATAATTTGCCCTCGTGGCGAACTCCGGAAACGTTCTCAATTGGGAATTTTTCAACTTCACCGGCCATCTCCGACTGGACACATCAAATGTGATTCGACGACATAAAGTGGACTTGGACTTAGCTCTTCCAGAAATCCCCAGATGCCAAAATGGTAAGACAAGCTCATTCGCTGCTCTGATTGATCCGACCCTGAGCGCAAAGTCCACCCGATGCTCGGTCTTTTGTTGCTTTAGTACTATACATTCCGTGTGCCGTCTGGTTACATTGGATCAATTTCGCCTTTCAGCCATTCGCCGTTGGACGATAACATTGCCGATCGCGTCCATGGTCGTGCGAACAATAGGCCATGTCTGACCTTCTCAGATAAGCCTTAGTGGTATGGGGGCATGGGGGATGGCGTGCAACCTGGTATTTTTTTATTATATTCTTTTATATTCTTTTCTGTTTTTTTCTTTTATTTCGAGATAAGACTCTCCTCCGGTCCCACTCAGAGTCGGATGTTGAGTAATGAAAAATTGCATATATATTATTCACGCCCGTTTTCTTGATTCTCTTTTTCTACTCCGATTTGTGATTTTTCCTTGCCTTGAAAAAAAAGGCATAATCTGGTCTCGTAGCCATGGCGTCCACAGACCGTGAGATCGATACTGTTGCGTATGTATCTTTCTGTCTGGAAGCTCCCAGAGTGCAACTAACCATATCTTTAGAGCTCCGTGCGATAACGAGGTCACCCAGCATGCCGTCCTAAATGAAAAGGCTATGGATTCCGATTTGGACAAGGAGAACCAGATCACTCCCGATGGCGGCGAACCCACTCTCTCAGAAAAGACTTCCTTACGCCATATCGCAGAGAACCTGCCCCTCTCCGCCTGGTTGGTGGCTGTTGTCGAGCTGAGCGAGCGTTTCACCTACTACGGAATGTCTGGTCTGTTCCAGAACTACGTCCAGCGACCTCGGGATGGTAGTGAGGGACGTGGTGCGCTCGGTATGGATCACCAGGGTGCTACCGGTCTCACCACCTTCTTCCAGTTCTGGTGTTATGTTACCCCCATCATCGGTGCCATCATCGCCGATCAGTATCTCGGCAAGTACAAGACCATTGTGCTGTTCTGTATCGTCTACATGGTTGGTCTGCTCGTCCTCGTCTGTACCTCCATCCCCACGGCCCTGGATCACGGCTCGGGTATCGGTGGTTTCATTGTTGCCATCTTGATCATCGGTCTGGGTACCGGTGGTATCAAGAGTAACGTGGCTCCTTTGATTGCGGATCAGTACAAGCGGAAGAAGATGGCCATCACTACGACCAAGAAGGGCGAGCGCGTGATCATCGACCCCGCCCTGACCATTCAGCGTATCTACATGATCTTCTACGGATGCATCAACGTCGGTTCGCTCTCCCTTCTCGCCACTCCCTACATGGAGCTGTACATCGACTTCTGGCCCGCCTACCTTCTCTGTCTCTGCATGTTCATGGTTGGTACCCTGGTGATTGTTCTCGGCCGCAAGTTTTACGTTGTTCGCCCGCCCCAAGGCTCCATCATCACGGACGCTTTCCGCGCCCTCTGGATCATGGTCAAGAACCGCAACATGGATGCCCCCAAGCCCTCATGGCAAAACGAGCACAATGGTGTCTCGGCCGTCAAATGGGACGACCACTTCATCGACGAGCTGAAGCGCGCCCTGGTCGCCTGTCGCGTGTTCGCCTTCTACCCGATCTACTGGGTTGTCTACGGACAGTTCTCCGGCAACTTCGTCACCCAAGCCGGCCAGATGGAAGGCCACGGCATTCCTAACGATCTGATGCAGAATTTCGACCCGATCTCCGTCATTGTTTTCATTCCCCTTCTGGAAACCTGCGTCTACCCCCTGATGCGCCGCATGAAGATCCCCTTCCCCCCATCACCCGTATCGCACTTGGCTTCATCGTCGCCTCGCTTGCCATGATGTACGCCGCCATCGTGCAGCACCTGATCTACTCCGCCGGACCCTGCTACGGCCACCCTTTGTGCGCAGCCTCGGAGGTCGACGGCGCCGCCCAAGGCAACAGAGTGCACATCGCCATCCAAACCCCAGCCTACATGTTCATCGGTGTATCTGAGATTTTCGCCTCGGTTTCCGGTCTCGAATACGCCTACACCAAGGCACCTCCCAGCATGAAGTCCTTTGTGCAGTCGATGTACCTCCTCACGAACGCCTTCGGATCTGCTATCGCCGAGGCCCTCACTCCCGCCGCTTTCGACCCCGCCATCATGTGGATGTTCACCGGTCTTGCCTGTGCGTCCTTTGTGGCTGGTCTTATCTTCTACACCATCTTCCATCACCTGAACGCGAAGGAAGATGATATGAACGCCCTCGATGCCGACGACGATATTCTCGAAGCGGAACGGCGCCAGTCCAAGGAGTAATATGCCTTAACTGGTGTGTTTCTTTGTAATATTTTTTTTTTTTGTTCTTTTGGCATTGGCATTGGCATTCGCATTGACATTCGCATTGCAAGTATCTCTACGCTGGGATCGTACTTTTTTCTTTTTCATTGCTTGCATCATCGAAGCAGGACCCTCTTGTGTGTTCTAAAACTGCTGTGCAGATCGTGAGACGTGGTATGATATGATGCTTCTAATTTAGTAGATACAACTCATAAATTTAAATAAAAATAATCAATATACAATATATATATGAAAGAAACTTACTCTATATCTTATTCTCATTCTATGAACTATTAATATGGACTACTACATTCCATTTCCTCGTGGTATAGGTGAATTTAGTGTAGTCCCTTTTGGAGAAGGCAAAAGTCAAGATTTCCCCTGTGGGTAAAAACAGCTCCTGTTCCAGAAATACGCTAAGTACACCCTGGCTAACGTTAATATACTACAGCTACGGTATACTAAAACTTGTTCCATGGACTCCATTGTAGTCGAACTGGTATGGTAACACGGTCCTCGCGCAACAATTATGGTGGCGACTCACTATACATATAGCTTGTCCGCACCCGAATCGGAAGCCCGAGCTCCTTTCATGTTTCCTCTTGTATCTTGCCGTGCTTACAGTAATTGTGCAAGGGCTTGCTGTTTGTTTTGGGGTGTGATGTTTCTCAAACAAAAAGACAAGACATCAGATGTGCCATGTGGTGGTGGACCTCAACGATTTGCCTTGGTTGTCGGCGATTGGGATATGATGGCTTTCATCCTGTCCCACGATTAAAACAAGGAATCATGGTTATGGTTTGGATCGGAGCTGCCACATTCCAGTGCTATAAATGAAATGAGAATGATCGGATGTCCTTGGAGTATGTTGGACATGGGTAAATATATATAGGCAGTGTTCAATCAACTGGAAGGAGCAATGAGTGTCCTAGTACAACAGGCACCCCACAACAAGAAGGGCCGTTGATAGAGTTCCCTTGTCGTGCAATCTTAGGATATCCCTAGGGACTGACTTACCTAGGTACATGGTAGATGTTGTCCGAGCGGCTGTGGAGAAGAGCGAGTTGGTGAAAAGGAGGGGTATTTGTGTCCACGTGAAGTGTCCACGTGAACAAATTATAGAAGGAACGAGTTACCGTTTTAGGCAACAAGGCCATTTAGTAGCTCTTTAGTTGGTCTTCAGTAGCTGTTTAGTAGCTCCTGCTATGATCTTCCATAATATGTTCCCTATATGAACTTGACTAGCCTATTAGCGGTGATATATACCTGGATCAGGCAGCCATACTTATGCAAAGGCATCAGTATTATAGATCTGGCGTCTTAGTTCTATACAATAACTAGTTAGTTAACTATACCAACGGCTAACTTAGTTGATGCCTGGAATGAGGCTCATGGACTCTCCAATCGTCCTGAAAATCCTGATTGGTCAAGTTTCACAAGTTCCAGTTTTTTTGTTCAGTTCCCTTAAGTTCCCTACGCAGACTATTTCCGACTGCCCAGGTGGCGTCCTGGACTGACAGGTAACAGCAATTGATGTCCTGAGTGGATTATATTCCTATTGGAATCTGTCATTTACATACATACAACAATGTTGTATGTCTTTCATCAAGTCGATACATCATAATCATGATGTGCAGACTCACGTTGCCACAGCAGACCCTTGAATAAGTACTGGGTACATTTTCAAAGGTGGATATTACCTATCAAACTCAAGTACCCAGTACCTTGGAAAATATATCCCACCCTCCATACCGATCCACTTCTGACTATCAAATCACAATCTGCAACAAATGTCTTAAATAGAACAGGCTCAGCCACACAGGGTGAATGGTCAATCTCAACTCCACATAGACTGTTATCCTGTACGAATAGGTAGGAAATAACGGTGCACTGTCCGCTCTGTAAGAAATTGTTAAAAATAGGGGGACCCTTAAAAAAAGAAATAGTAAATTCGAAGCCGATTGAAATTTATGAAATCTATGAACTCCATGAAACTCATGAAACCATTTATTTCCCAAATTAATACTTAATTTCGCTATTCAGCGCGACTAACACCCGGTCCTTATTGGCTTTTACTGTCCTGACACCGCCAGCGCTTCTGCCGCAACCTCCACTTCTCCCGTCTCACCCTTCCCTCCTTCATCTCTCCCCCCTAACTATTATTGTCTTGTTTCACGCATTTAAGAACCTGAGAATCTGAACATCATGAGTGTGAGTGAACCCAATGTCAACCTCCTTGATTATCTGAATGTGCTTCTGACGCGACTTTCCCTAGTACCAGAGCTTAGGGGATAACAACTCAGGCGGCTACGGCCAGTACAACCCGTACGGAAGTCAGCAACAGAGCAATCCCTATGGAGGCCAGGAACAACAGCAGAGCTATGGATATGGTGGTGGTTACAACCAGGCTGGTGCCGCAGAGCAAGGAAACGGTGGTTATGGTATGCTGACCCCGATAAATCGAGTACCTTGCGACGACTCTAATTACCCGACAGAGATGTCCAACATCAACCAGGCCTCATCTGGTGGCCCCACTGCGATTCTGAACAAGTGCAAGGAGATGAACGAGGGCATCACCGAGCTGACCAAGAAGCGCGAGACTCAATTGGTTGCCGCTCAAAAGGCCCTTTTGGACTCCAGCACCGGCAAGGAAGACCAGGCCTCGCGCCAAACGCTCGACTACATTGAGGATGAGATCAATACTGCGTTGCGCTACCTGCGCGATCAGTTCAAGCGCATCAAGGAGACCCCCGGATCCGGTGACTCGCGCGTGCAGGGCCAGGTCGAGAACGTCAGCCGCAACCTGCGTCGTGAGATTGAGCAGTACCAGCGCACACAGAGTGACTTCCAGAAGCGCCTGGAGGAGCAAGTGCGCCGCCGATACGAGATTGCCAACCCCGAGGCTAGCCCCGAGGAGTTGGAGCAGGGTGTGCAGAATGTCCTCATGGGACAGGAGCAGAGCTTTGTTGTATGTTTTGTCCGAGTCGAGTACATCTTTTTTTTTTTTAGTTGGTCAGTCGCTAATATTTGAGGAATAGGTCCCCGGTACTCGCACTCGCCAGGCCAATGATGCCCGTCAGGCTACTCTCCAGCGTTCCGCCGCCATCCGCAAGATCGAGCAGGATTTGATCGAACTGAGCCACCTGTACAATGAGGTCGCAGAGCTGGTGCACCAGCAGGAGCCTGCAGTTCAGCAGATTCAACAGGGAGCCGAGGAGACACACCGCAACGTCGAGCAGGCCAACACCAAGTTGGACACCGCTATTCAGAGCGCGAAGAACGCTCGCCGCTGGAAGTGGTATGCACTGATTATCATTAGTGAGTATTTACCTGTCTGCACGGCAAGATCTGGCCAACCCGCTAACCTAGTTCTCCAGTCATCATCATTATTATTGTCGTCGGTGTGGCCGTCGGTGTCACGCAGGCCAACAAGAGCAGCAAGGAGTGATCTTTCCGTTGCACTACGTCCCCTTCCTATCTTCTCCATGTACGACCTTTCCCGGGGATCCGACGCATCTCCGCATCTTCCCATTTGTTCTTTGTCCCCTCGTTATACCACCCATTCGCATTTCCTTCTTGTGTAAAAGCAATCTCTTTTAACCCCCTCTTTTCTTTGTCTTTGCCTCCTAGCTGTACCTGCTTGTTTGTGTACAGCTGCTCCGCGCCTAACATGCGATGGCCCTTGATGATTATCGCTTCGGGGCTCGTGATGTCGCGGCGCATGGATGTATATACTAGATTGTTGCTTTCCTTGGCCCCCTGTTTGGCGCTAGAACCTATGTAATACTCTCTAATAATCGACCACTTCACGCATGAGTTTGATGTATACCGCCCGTAGTTGAGTTCCGAAATCGTAGGTGATTTATGCAGTATAATGTAATGCATTTCGAGTCATGGTCTGGGGGTATCCGACTCGACATGACTCTTTCAGAATAAGGAGCACCTGAACGCCGAATCAATCGGCTATCTATGCCTTCTGCTTCTTCTCTTTCCTCTCCTGTTCCTTCCTCTCCTTCTCGCGCTGCTCCTCAGCTGGTGTCTTTGTCTTCAATTGCAGTGCATGTAGTCCGCCCTCGCGAGCCATCTCTTCCTTGAGCAATGCGTAGACCATACGGTGCCGAGCGGGTTGCATCTTCGACTCGAAGGAATCAGAGACAATTGTTACACTGTGAGAAATTAGACATTCGCTAGTGCACCGTGTGTGTTTGGAGGTGGAGGAACGAACTGGAAATGCGTCTCCTTCGATACCGACCCTTCCATTGCAGCGTGGTGCGCATGGAGGTGAGAGTCATTCCGGATCTCGAGTTTCGAAGGTGTGAATGCGTGAGCGATCTATAAAGAAAAAAGTGAGGAGATATTAGCAATGTACTCAATGACAACGCGGAGGAGTGGCTCACCTTGTCGCGCATGACATCCTCCAGCGGGGTACTTGAGGCCATCCTAGCAGAAACAGAGAACAGACGGCGAGGGATCAGACCCGGAAGACTGCGAGGAAGCATTTAGAAGAAAAGAAGGAAAAGAAACGATCACCAGAGAGGAGGGAGGAGGAGAGAAACGTCCGTAATTGAAGCCAATCGGATGTTTTCGATTTCGGAACTTCAACTCCCATGACATCGATGTCAACTTGTCTTTTGCTTCGACATCTCAATTGCTCCTCTTTTTCCATATGGGGTATATATGCTGTGAGATGAATTTCTAATATTGCAAAATCTGAAATTCAAAATCCAAAATGTCCAGTTTACTCTCCCTGCTTTCGCGTTCCAATGCGCGTGTCTGCTTCACTCCGCGGCGAACGCCTCTCAGCGCGAGACTCTTGTCGACTCTCCCCAACACACATATCTTCCGCGCACTCCAGAACCATGATCCTGAAAGTCTGGCGGTTGTGCATAGTGTCTCTTCCCGATCATTCACCTACGGTAGTCTAATTGCCGATATCGTTCGTGCTAAGGATGACCTGGAACAGAAGGCTGCGAAAGCGCAGGGCCGATTGGCTGGCGAGCGGATCGCCTTCCTCGCGGAGAACAGCTATGACTACGTAGGTACTGTTGTCTTGAACTCCAATGATACATTTAGAATACTAATAGGCATATATAGTAACGCTGCTGGCGATCTTTGCTAGTGATGCCATTGCGCTCCCGCTCTCGCCGTCTTTCCCGACTGGGGAGCTGAAGTATATCCTGGATAATTCCCAGGCTAAGATGCTGCTGACAACTGAAAAGTATGCCGATAAAGGCATGGAAATCCTGCGAGAGGGATTGGAACATGAGCCGCTGTTTACTATCCGCAATAAGCTGACAGAAGGCGCATCGAACCGCGAGAGCGTAACCCTGCATGATCTGAAGCAGCCTTCGTCTGGTGGGATGATGTTGTATACATCTGGGACGACGAATCGACCGGTAAGTTCAGTTAGGTTCACTGTACTCAAGGACCCATTACTAAGTCGAAGCAGAAAGGTGTTCTCATCCCACAATTGGCACTGGCCGCACAAGCATCTTCACTACTAGAAGCGTGGAAGTATACACCGGATGACCGGCTTCTTCACCTGCTCCCACTTCACCACATCCACGGCGTGGTGAATGCAATCGTGGCACCGATAGTAGCAGGCTCCTCAATCGAGTTCATGTACCCCTTCAACCCGGACAAAGTCTGGAAACGACTAGCAGCACCCTTCCTCCCATCCAACACCTCAAAGCCACCCATCACATTCCTCACTGCCGTGCCAACAATCTACAACCGCCTCATGGCCACCTTCCCCAAACTAACCCCAGAACTCCAAAAAGCCGCAAAAGAAGGAATCTCCCCACAAAACCTCCGCTTGAACATCTCCGGGTCCGCCGCCCTGCCAACCCCAACAAAGACCGCCTGGACAAACCTCAGCAACGGCAACGTCCTCCTCGAACGCTTCGGCATGACCGAAGTCGGCATGGCGATTAGCTGCGGTCTCGACGGCGCAGACCGCGTCGACGGCAGCGTCGGCTGGCCACTCCCAGGAGTCGAGGCGCGACTCGCGGATCTCGAGACGGGAGCAGTCATCCCAATCGAAGAAAAGAATCCCAATGGCCGAGAACGCGAAGGCGAGATCCAGCTTCGCGGCGAAACAATCTTTGACCATTACTGGGGAAACGAGAAAGCCACGCGCGAGAGCTTCGCGCAGAGTGACGACGGAGGCCGGGCGTGGTTCTGTACCGGCGATGTCGCGACTCGGAGGGTAGTTGATGGAGCTGGTAGTGGAGCCAGCGGAGCTTGGGCTCAGGGACCGATGTATTTCATCCAGGGACGGAAGAGTGTTGATATCCTCAAGACTGGAGGTGAGAAGGTTAGCGCGTTGGAGGTTGAGAGGGAGTTACTTTCTCTGTATGTTTTCATTTTTTTGGGATTTGCACTTGGAATATCTATACTGATGATGATGTTGCTCTAGTCCCCAAGTCACCGAAGCTGCGGTCGTTGGTCTCCCCTCTCAACAGTGGGGTCAGAAGATCGCTGCTGTGGTTGTCCTTGCTCCTGACGCGGCTGCTTCGGGTCGGAATGGTCAGTCTTGGGGTCCGATGGATATGCGGCGTGCATTGAAGGGTTCTCTTGCTTCTTTTAAGATTCCACAGGAGATGAAGGTTTTGGAGGCTATTCCGAGGAATGCGATGGGGAAGGTTAATAAGAAGACACTTGTGAAAGAGGTCTTTGGTATTTAAATATTTAAGAAAACAACCACACTGTAGATGGGGTTGAGGTGAGTGATGGAGATCTGTTGGCTTAATACTCTCTACTCGGGAAAAAGAACATGTACAATACTATCCAGCAAAATAGATTGAATTAAATCATTTCTCATATTAAACAACCAAAATGCATTCTCCAAATTTCAAATTCATAGCATCATGTCAAGCCTCTTACTCGATCCTTCCCCATAGGAAAGAAAAAAGGGAAATCAAAGTCAAGTCTCCAATACTAGATCTGACGGTGAAGACCCTCACTCTTCGCACGGACAGAATCCGAGTCGACGCTGGGGTCAAGCTTGTCGACACAATAACCAGCTGTACTGGTATTACCAGTATCAGTCGCACCAGTGGTAGTTCCAGTGGGAGTATTGTAAATACTACCAGCAGTACCAAGACCAAAGCCCCCAATCGCCGAGCCAACAGTAGCACCACGAGTGTGGGGTTCGTAGGTCGTAGTACCAGGACCAGTACCGACGAGGGTAGATTGCTGCGGAGGACGGGTAGCACTGTACATGTCAACGCCGATGGTAGAGCTGTGAGGTCCAACATTCGTGCTGCTGCTGCTGCCGCTACCGGGGGTAGCAATGGGAGTGATGTGAGGAGTTCCAGTTCCAGTGGCCAGGATAGAGCTGAGGGGTCCTGTAGCGGTGGTTGTGGCATGGGTAGATCCAAGACCAGCACCAGCACCAGCACCAGCACCAGTCACACCAGAGGTACCTGTGCCGTGGGTAGAACCAAGACCAGCACCGGTGAAGCTTTCATGGCGAGCACGGTTGTCACGGTCAGAGTCGACGCGGAGGTCGAGCTTGTTGGCGATGGTCGAGCTGTGAGGACCGACATCGGTGCTACCAGTAGTGCCAGTAGTGCCAGTAGTGCGCTGGGTAGATCCAAGACCAGCACTGGTACCAGTCACACCTGAAATGCCGTGTGTAGTGCCAGAACCTAGGGCCGAGCCTTGAGTACCCGTGGCGGTGGTAGCATGGGTTGATGCAAGAGCTGCACCGGTTCCAGCGGCAGTGAGACCTGCTTCGTGGCGAGCGCGGTTGTCGTGATTGGAGTCAACGGCGGGATTAGCCTTGTTGGCGATGTGGGGACTGTGGGGGACGACATTGGTGCTGCTAGTGGCACCAGTAGCACTCAGGCTTGGGGTTCCTTGAGTAGTGCCGTGGGTGGTGGTGCCCTGGGTGCCATGAGTCCCTGTAGAGATTGTGGTATCGTGGGATGCTCCAACAGCACCAGTCGCATCGGTGTGATCTTCTGGGGTAGTTAGTATCATTGAATACCCTGAGGGATGGGAGATAAAAGGTGAAGTGAAGAATGACAAACCCTTATCACTTTCGACACGGGGGTCAAGCTTGTTGGCCAAGTTGGAATGAGGTCCATGGCTGGAGGACTTGGTCGACTCGTGCGACTCGTCCTTCTTCCCAGTTATGGCCTCTTCGGCCTTGCGTACAAACTGCATGTTGATATTGATGGTATTGATGAAAGTTGAAGTTGTTATCAAGTAAATGATGGGATGTAGTTGATGAAGGTAAGAAGTGATATCCCTAGACTAGGGAAAGAAGAGGGTATTTATATGTCATTTACACATAAACAGGACTCAGACAAACATTTGAATTCATGATGTTCGTATTTTCAATGTGATGGTGTACAGACATTCCCAAAGTATAGCAAACGCCTTCTGGTGTCACGATCTACTATTTCGTTTGATGTACATGGAATAGGTTTCCTATGAGCTGCATAGTCAACCACTTAATCAAAGTATTGCCATTAAAAGGGCTAAACTGGCTATTCTCGTTGATCTGCCAAACGGCCATAGACCCAAATCCCAAACAATTGTTGCCAAGAAGGATGCCAACTCTATGCACCTGGCCAGTGTTGTACTGAATACTCAGTATATCCTGGTCAATTCTACATCCAACCAGCATAAACTGGAATGAGGTCACTGTGGCTCTTCGTATTTTGTTCTTACACCGTCTCATCTCTGTTGTACATTATCTTGTACTCCGGGCTTGTGATAGGGAAGTAAACGCAACCAAGACAGGTCACTTTATTTGTTTGTTGGTGGAGTTAAAACTCAGCCAATGGATCAAGAGACAGACATGAATCTTTTTATTCATAAAATATAATCTCAAACTGCCAGTTTGGTGGTCTGAGATTGTAGTTGCGTGGCTACGCCAAAATATATAGTTCCCAGTCACATGACCAGAGATCATCCTCTCTGTGCTTTACTTTCTCCTTCATCAAAGTGACATTGACCATAATATTCCAAAAAAATACAAAATCCTCAAATCCTTCATCTGTGGTATTATGTTCAACATGGACCATGTGGGATGAATCTCTCGAATCTCTTGGTGTTCATACCAGGCCCAGCAAACACCAAATTGAGCTTCGGGATTTGGTGAGCCTCAATTCTTCGTGAGACCAATAGGAGACCTTGGACTTGGTTATCTAGACTGGTAGTATAAAGCCACTCTATTCTTGACTGACGAGCAGCGAAGTGCCAGGTCTGCCAGTACTCGAATCAGATCTGCATCGACACGGGCTCCAGGCGAGATCAGTAGCGCTGGCAGTTCTAGTTATTGCAGTGCAAAGCTAAGATCTGTAAGGCCTTGCGGGCGATATTATCTCTCAGGCCACCACTGAGAATATTTCGATCCAGAATGTTCTCAATGTTTCTCACCCAGCGACTACACAAACGTCTCTAGCTAACTCGTCTACAGACTCATTCCACAGAACTTCTTGAGTTCTCGCTGTATAGTCTTCCAAGAAGCATCATGTACCAATGCCAAGATCAAGGATCTCATAACTATCTCATCTAGTCACATGTTCTTCATCCTGCTGGATTAGCCAAGCAGCTAGACTCGATAAAATGATATATCAAATCGACTGGGATTCGTGTTTGAGAGTCCTGTTTCCCAAACTATTACGCCACCTTCCAATTAAGAAGTGCACTTGCAGTCATCGTGCACCAGATCGCCTCCTTCACTTTGAAAATTCCTGGCCCAGCTATGAGCGGCGATGATGACTATTACTGCCACCAAAAATCATCAAAGGTCTCTCCGTTGGAAATGATCTGGACGAAATACAGACTCCTTGGAGATTATACCCCTGGTCAATCGGGAATGAGGTTGAAAATGACTGGACGAAATCTGCTGATGTCAGCATCCGGTCCGATCCGGGACCCGTCCGAGATAGAAGAAGCTGTCCGCGAAGTTACATGGACAATCTGAATCCGGCAATTCAGATCTGTAGAGTTGCAATTCCAGTTTCCTGGGGATCTGTGCTGTCAGGCGTGGTAGATCTGGCATTTTTCCCCCTTGCTTGCGACCCCTGACCTTTTCACATTCATGTTTCGGAGCGATATTTACATGGAAATCGTGGAAAGGAGTATCCCTTGCAACCAATCATAAATACAAGCTTCTCCCAGGCACGATCTTTCGAGCTGAAGATTCCGGTACCCCACGGGTCGCATAAGCGCCACCATGTGGATTCTCTCGTTCTGGATTTTCCCTATCATATCTGGGTGCATGTGGATAGGTAAGGGTAAACACACGAGGGATTGAGCTTACTTTACTAACAGCCTCGTAGCTACACTAGTAGCCTTGCTATCCACCTGGGCGGCAGATGGAAAACCAAGATATACCACCATGAGCGATGGGCTCACCATTCCGTGAGTCTAACCAATGAACCTGCCCACAACATAGACTGAGTCAATTGAACAACCAGTTACATTTCCCATATCGGAGCCGAGGGACTCAAACCGCTGTTCATCGCAGGCAGTGTAGTAACAGTCGTATTCATGGATCTCGGTCTCCTCTCTGAACGATGGCTTCGCCATGCCGGCCAACTTGCCCGAAACAAAGGGAGGTTCGACAAGACCTGTGCTGTGGGATCCATTCTTTTCTCAATCGCCGGGGCTTTAGGTCTCATTCTTCTGTCCATCTTCGACACAAAACGCCACAACAACCTCCACAACGGGTTTTTGGGTATGTTCATAGCGAGCTACGTGGTTTGCGCCATCCTGGTGTGTCTGGAATACATCCAAATCGGTCGATTCTACCATCCCCAAGCCCGGATCTTAATAGTCAGTTTCGCGATCAAAGCTCTTTTCGTTATCTGCGAACTCGGTGTCGCAATTGCATTTGGCGTCTGCATGAATTCTGGAAATAAGAAGAACGCAGCAGCTGTTTGTGAATGGGGTAAGATTTCCGCTGTTGGATTGTAGGAAGAGAAGCTAACTTGAGGAACAGTTGCCGCGCTTATATTCGCGTTCTTTGTCTTTTCTTTTGTCATTGATCTCCTACCGTCTGTTCGTACCAAGAGACGCGTTCCTCAGGGTGAAAAGTATGCTCGGCCAGGTGTGGCGGATCGTCCAGTTGACTTTTAGGTGGTACAGTTGTCTGATTCAACATTTGATACTTAATCTTTATATATATATAGTTATACCCGTGGATGTTAGAATAGCCCTTTGCCAATAAGAGACCAGTCTTGGACATTGGCCACATGTGGTGATATCATCCGTTGTGGGGGGAAAGGGGAAAACCCCGAGTCTCTCGCGAAAACAACTGAAAACAATTCATTCCATTGATTTCAAGAGAGATTGATAAATTAAACATGGGCTTCTTCAAACATCCCTGTGGTGCAATCTCAACAACTGCCCATATCATCCAATGCATCAGTTCATTAATCGTCCTGGGGATCACAGCCTGGGCAGCCCGAGGGACCAAAACCCTTACAGTGATCTTCTCCTTGGTGATGGTAACATCTCTCCATCCAGCTCTTAATATCTTAATATTGTAGAAATTCTAAAATCCGGACAGGCGGTTCTGACTCCAATCGTCTACGGTATAACACTAAGCACCAGCTGCATTACCCGACGTCGCAGATGGCACGTTCTCCCTCTGCTAGTGACGGACGCAGCAATTTCTTACCTGTAAGCATGACAATACGTTCATTATAGGATAGTAGTAAATGCTCATCTCCCATCTAGCTGGCTCACTGCATTCATCTTCCTGGCTCTGAATTTCAACAACGTCAGCTGCACTGTGCACCTCTGGAACAGACAGACGGTATGTAGCCGGAAGTATTCAGCCGAAGCATTCAGTTTCATTGCATTGTAAGTGCCATTTGTTCGAATATTCGAATACGATGGATCCCATTGGCTGATCGCATCGCAGCTTTGCTACACTCATAGCTCTGGCATTCGAGATTTTGTATACTTACCTCCCGAAGAACGATATCCCAGTGCGGGAGAAGCGAAATGGGGTGACGCACTTGGAGGATAATCTCCGGGGTGCCGGGGTGATGAGTCCTTGAACAGAAAGTGACTGTGAATGCTTCGTCGCGATGTTCTTCAAGGCGTGAGACGTGAAACCTGAAACCCTTCAATTATATAAAGATTGGCGATACCTATTGAAGATGCATATAATACAGTTTAACTATTGTACAAGTAGTCATTCAAACTCACGCTCAAGCCCATTCGCCCTTCCTCTCAAACGGCTTCACAAATCCAGTCGCCTCCATGGTAACCTGTAGAGATGCCATATCGACGGCGGTGATATGAGCTTCGACCATACAGAAGATATCCAGCTTATCTTTATCTGGGAAATCCTGGGGGATGGTGACGGAGCAGTTCACGCCGAGACTGGTGATGACGCCGGCATACTCCTGGTCCAGATGTCTAGGCTTGGTGCGTGGGGTGCGTAGCAGACATGGGAATGTGACGGGGAGATTGCACTCGGAGAAGTAGAATGCGCGGAAGAGGAGCATACACGCCCAGTGCTGTGCGGAGTATTTGTCAAGATTTCTGAGATGTGTGCGTAGGGGCAGGGAGTAGATTAGGTGGGCGTCGATGTCGGATTTTGAGAAGGGGAGGAGAGAGGTGGGAGTGGTGGTTGTGTCATTGGTGATTTCAGTGATTGTCTCCGCTGGAACATTCTCTGCTGGATCTTTCTCTGCTGGATCGGTCTCTGCTAGATCGGTCTCTGCCGGATCCGTCTCCACTACATCGATCTCTGCAGGTTCAGGACTATCAACAAGAGCGTCAAACTGTCGGCCATGTTCATGCTCGAAACGCAATGCCGCCTCGATCTGGTAATGCGCAATAACATCCGTGTATCGACGCAGCGGACTAGTGCTCTTGACGTACGTATCCAAGCCCATGGTGTGATGCTTCGTTGGGGTTGTGGAAGAGTAGGCCAGCGGCACGCTGAGTTCATAGAAGCCCTCACCGCCGAAATTGGCCAAGTTTTTGTTGGTAACACGTCCGTACTCTGGGTCATACCAAGTGCCGTCGTAGACAACGGGGATATTGCGTGCGGCGCAGAATTGGCCAGAGATGTGCCCGGCCAAATTCATGACCAGGGAGACCAAATTGTCCCGCGATTGGTCGCGAACGTCGTATGGGTCATAGGAATGCACATTCAGCCGGATGACTGGGTCACCGAGATAGTGGCGTCCGGTTGTGGATTGTAAATCGTACGGCGGCATCGGGGCGTCGCCTGACTGGACTGAGACAGAAAGCTCTGGGCTAAGAGGTGTGAGGTCCATGGCGCCGTTCTTTCTACGGGTTTGGCGGAATGCGAGCATGAGTTGACGCATGATGTGGAATCTATCTTTATCCTCGGGCCGCAGGTCTCCTTGGATTGTTTTACCATGTGGCACTGGTGGTTCGGTGAACTCGCCACCTATGGTGAATGATTCCAACTGTTCTTCGGAATCCGGGTCGAAGAAGTCGCGCAGTGTTTTGTGAGTGAGATTGATGACATTGTGGATTGTCCCGTTCTTGATCTCACTATCCAAGATCTCTCCTCGAAGATTCATCTTCGCACTGAATGTGAGTACTGGCCGGCCAGCCGCCAAACTGAAGTGGGGCTCAGTGAGAGTCTTGGGAAGCATAGGATAAGTGCGTTCCGGGATATAGGAGGTGAAGAGCCGGGAGGCTGCATACTGGATGATAGGGTTGTCATGCCCAATAAAGGCTGTTGGGTTGGCAACGTGGACATGCACCCAGAATGTATTACGGGATCCTGGAATAGACTCGAGCGATATACCGTCATCAATTTCTTGCGCGGTCACATCGTCGATACAGTAGACGGGCATATCTCCCCAATCCTTTCTCAAGTGTTGCATGGAATCCTGCAACTGATCGACAGTGAGCTTACTGCAAGATTCCTCAATCTCTTCCAACTCCATGTCCCTTGAGAGAGATATGCCATGCCCAGGCAGCATCAGATACTGGTCAAGGGGTAGAAGGTTCTCCCAAGGCGCTATGATGCCGATTTCCTGCAACAAAAGACGCGTTGAGGCCTCACTCAGACCAAGTGTATTGTACATCCCCGTGGCACGCATAATATGTGTTGCTGTTGATCTCAAAGTGCCTGACGGCATGACAATAGCGGGGACCGAGTACAGCTGCAGATATTCAATGATCATTTGATCATCTGCAGTGAACTTTTCGGTGGGGAGTTCGCGGAACACCAGTGGGTTTCCATCCTGACCGGGCGAATACCTGTTGGAGGACGGACCGACACTGGACATAATAGTCGGTGAACGGAGCCTTCTGCTAAGGCGAATCAACCGCTGTGCTTTGGAGATAAACAGGTGCATAGGGTGGTCTTTGGACCCCTGGGTGTCTTTGCGCATTGTGGCACGAACACAATGTTCTTGGTGTTCATGAGTCCAGTCGACGACCTGTTTGACAATGTTGGCGATCCGCTTTGGCTGCACAATATACATCCGACTGAACAAGGAACTGCCATCTTTTTCGATGAGGAAAGCATGTCGGCGGACAGCTTGATGAACAGCAAACATGTTCACACTGGTCAGCTCAGATTCCTGAATGCCAAGGGCAGTCATTGTCAATTTTTCAAGACTTAAGCAGAGAACTTCGGTATCGTCTGCCACCTTATCATGAAGATTATCCAGTATCTGGGAATTTTCTCTATAGAATTTCAAGATATGAGTCTTGAAGTTGCCCATCATCCTCATAAGAGGAGCACCCAGTGGCCTTGGAAGACCTCCCTCGGGGGTCAGCTGAATATCTTGGCTTGCGACAGCCTCGCCATCCGGGAACCATGGGGTGAGAGGCTCGACAAGTTCAGTAGGTGCAAACCCTTTGATAACGTAGTCGAGCTCCGCGTTGGAGCAAATGCGCCAGTTCCCGTTACCATTGTAGAACTGTTTCTGTTTGTGAACAGACCGCACGTAAATTCCATAATTGAACACTCCGTCTGCGTTCAACCGGGCGATTAAGTCGCCCTGCTCGAGGTGTTCACCTTCAAATTCATCTTTATCCATAGCCTCCTGGTTCCGGTATGGGTCACCCCAAGCATCGATTGTGTCACGGCCATTAGGCATTGTGCCAATGGATTTACCTGGTGGTTCCAATGGTCGGTGCTCAGAGTCGGATCGGCGCACCGGGTCCAAATCATTGGGGTTGGTATCCTGCCATTTCTGTAGATATGTTCGAATGTCTCCATGCAATTCTAATTGTGACCTGAGAAGGATATTGCCATCGATGGGAACTCTCGGGGGCTCGTCTAGCTCGGATGTTTCCTGTTGAGAAAACACAAAGATTAGCTGTGAATATCAGCCTCTTCCTTAGTATAGCATACCTCATTATTGGCTGGAACGGTTTGAGCTGACCCAAATGTTCTTGTGGTAGACAAAAAGCGTCGTCCCCCAGTCAACACCGGAAGGTGAGTGGTGGACGCGATCAACGTACATCCTGTGCGGTTCTGTCGCCATGTGCAGAGCACAGGTGACAAATTTCCACTAGTCAGCTTCTGCAAAGCCCTTATTCTCGTAAGTGCCATTGCCAAAACTTGCGCAGAATGAACGGTGGCACGAAAACTAAGTATATTCTGCCTGAATTTGGCTATACCGCCAAGGGCGGTATAAAATTATCCCGTGACTTCGGAGTTCATTTTGACCAATCATATCGAGCACAGAGGATAAGATGGCGTTTATATGGGGAGGTCCTTATTTCTTTTATGAACGCTGGATGAATAATAGTCTTGTGTTCTCACATTTAGATTGAGGTATAGTTAGAAATCTTTCTCCACTACCATATCCGTCACCAAAGAGTCATAAAGCTATAACCTACTACTGGGCTACTCTGCAGATAGCACTACTTTCTTATGCGCCAGATAAGCGTAGCAAGGTACACATCCGAGTCTGTCTGTGTTTTTCCGGCGTGGATTAGAGCATTGCTTGCCATGAGTCAAAGGCGGCCATGGCAGTCCTCAAAACTCCATGACGGGCCGAGCCGCGCATAACTAGTGTAAGCCATTTGACGACAGTACGGACCATTACTGTCGCGCTGAAAGCTCCTCATTTTTCTTCCTTAAGGGGCCCGTCAGATGCAGTCCGAGACAGTAACCTCGTTCTGCCCCGGTGTTGTGAGACAAAAAGATTGGATCAGTCAAACCGCTATGCGATTGTATACGGATGTGTCATAACATGTTTCTATACAAGCGTGCATAGTCGTGGTCTTGGCCTGCAGGGTACGATGCAGCATGGTGTTCTCCGGATAACAGTATAAGATCCAACATTCCAGTCTCCTCTCCCCGAGAAATCGCTGGAGTCACATCTCCTATATTGCGTGTTGTAGAGACAACACATACTACCAAGGTACAATACTCTCCGGAACACGGGCCTCGAACTATTGCAATCCCGGTGAACTCCTCCGAAGCTGCGGCACAAGGGTATACGAAGATGTCAGTGAGTTGACTCGTGCGTTGACCCATATTCTTGGTTCAGCCTATCGGACTGGCTACTCTGCCCAGGGTTTCCAGTTATTACACGAAACTTCGTACCTTGCTCTCCTGCTCCGAAAGTACCAATGTCCGACCTCTTCAACCTCGTAAACAGACTATCTTCAGTATGACCCTGTCGATCTAATTCCCCATGATCTCCAATTGTTTTTCCTCCATCCGAAAAAGTTGACGAAGATCATGAATTAGCGGGGAAGATGTATTCGTTATCGTTTACACCGTATTCTCCTTATCTCCTTGGACTCACCTCGGCCCCCGGTTCGGAGCGAACTGCATCCTTCATATGATAATTACCATATCGATTGAGCCAAAGTCCACAAGTCCACAAAAAAAAAACTTGACAGGTCGCGAGTATCATTTCCTACTTGGTTTAAGCGAGACCAGACAACTTCAGGGTTTCAGAGCCGAAGGTGTTCAGTTCCACTTGCTGATCTTCTTTTGTTTCACTTGATCGACTTTTTTTGTCTCAGTTTTTGTGAATGTCAACCAATGATATACTTCGTACTTTGTCCCATCTGTCGGGGCTGATTGGGTTAATGCCACTAACTTCCAACTAGTGAAGCCCCTTTCGTCCAGGAATAGCGATTGACTCTAGAGTCTATGTTGTAGTGGCACGCCAACGCCTAATACCCTGTACCTGTTTGGACAAGTCGAACTGTCGGGGGTGATATGGCGATCACTGGACAAGGTTATTACCTTCCCACTCAATTCATATTGCAGATTGCGCCGTTTAGCTGATTGACGCGTGAATTGGCCGATCGGGGCCCACTACTGCATGATTAACCCTATCGGGCTTGGAAATGGGGTGTCTAAATATACGATGCTTGTATATTTCGAGATCTGCACAAGATCGGAATTCGGCTATGCCAAGTTCAACCCAAGCATAGATACAATTGACTCGGACGACCTATCCAACATAGACATGCACAGAGCATCCGAGGTTTTGCTTTTGCCCGTTTCGCTGCCATGTACTCCGTACATCGTACCTCGATTTTATCTGCGAAGTGTGGGCGTACTCCGCAGCTGCATCCACCGAGTCCGGTAAGGAACTGTCGCAGATTGATGTTCAATTTGTGAGCTCTCCCAGAGTAGATAAGCAGGGGCACCTACCCAATTGAGGATCGCGTGATCCGACCCTGGTTAGGATGGAATGGAGTCCTTGAACAGTGAGGATTCTTCATTCTTCGGTTGGCTCTTGTAGTTCCCGTGGTTCCCGTTCTTGTCCACCCCACTATCCAAAAGGAGTGCGGTCAGTAGCTTGAGGAATATCCTCCGATTATAGAGCCTCCCGAAGTGTTATATAAACTAAAGTCATGGGCCGCACCGTGGAACTGATTCGGAGGGTGTATATTTATCTGTTAGGGCATTCATCCTGACCCTGGATCACCTATATATTCCTTTCTTTTGTGTATTTGTGTATTTTTGATTATATTGCCTACTTTTCTTTGGCAACATGCTCTCAAGCAACGGATGGCGCGCCCTGGTGCTGTCTCTGGCTCTTGTCCCTCGGGCAATGGCAGATATCTGCGCAACACTCAAGGCCGGCGGCATCGATATCGAATACCATATTTCATTGGACTACAAAACCGATCTGCTCAAGTATTGGTCCACGGCATGCGGTGATCTCAAGCCAACATGCATTGCAGCTCCGTCCAGTGCAGCGGAGATGTCGCAGGTTATCAGGAACCTTCACGACGTGGATACACTCTTGTCTGTTCTCTCCTTGAAACAGCAATGATGTCGGCTAACCTTTAACAGTGCCATCAAGAGCGGAGGACATAACCCCAACAGTGGCTTCGCTAGTATTCAGGACGGATTGCTAGTTTCAACTAAGAATCTGAATCAGGTTGACTATAATCGCAATGACCACACTGCTGTTATCGGTCCTGGTCTTTCATGGGAAGAGGCCCAGAAAGGACTTGAAGGAACTGGTCGGACTATCGTTGGAGGTAGAATGGGAGGAGTTGGAATCGGTGGATATATGCTCGGAGGTATGTGGTTCAGCCATCAGCGCTGAGTTTATCTCTAATGGTTTATAGGGGGCATGAGTTTCCTGAGCACCCAATACGGCTGGGCTGCAAACAATGTCTTGGATTACGAAGTTGTCCTAGCCAATGGCACTATTGTCCATGCAACCGAAAGCGAAAACTCAGGTGAGTGACAATATACCAACATTGTAATTGTCGAAAAGCTAACACTCGACAGACCTCTTCAAAAGCTTGAAAGGAGGCGGCAACAACTTCGGAGTTGTTACTGCATACACCATGCAGACGCATCCTCAAGACCACAAGGTCTGGGGTGGCAACTATGTTTTCACAGGCGACAAAGCCCCCGAGATTCTCACGGCACTCCGCAACTTCACTGACGAGTATCCTGATGACAAGGCGGCAATAATCGTGACATTCGAGCGCGGTCTCGTGCTTGACCTCTGTATTTTGTTTCTCTTCTACGACGGCCCCGAACCCCCCTCTGGAGTCTTCGATGAGTTCACTGTTATCAAACACACCTCAAAGGCCAAGACCTACGACAGCTACTACGACCTGCTGAAGCACAACGACTTCTTCATTCTTAAGTAGGATGAACAATTCCCAACCCTTGGATCGCTTGCTAACTGACTCTTAGGGGGCAACGCTACACCATCGCCACTGAGACCACGCCCCTTCCCAATAAAACTGTGGGAATAGCCCCGCTCCAGGATTACTATGATCATTTCCGCGACGTGGCCGGGTCGGTACTAGGAGTGACCGGGGTCATAGCCTCAATTGCCTTCCAGCCCGTACCGAAGACGTTCTCTCAAAAAGCCAAGGACCGCGGCGGAGTAAGCATTCCATTCCCAATGGAAATCGAAGGAGATCGCATTACTGAACAAACCCCCAGGACCTCCTCGACATTCCATCCGATCAACCGTACATTATCATTGAACTCGATCTCTCCCACGGCCTGTCCATCGACGACAGCAAGATCGATGCAGCCACAGTCGAACTCTACCAGGGAATAGACAACCTGGTGCAGAAGAATATCGACGAGGGTCTGCTTCCCGACGTGTATCGACCATTGTTTATGAACGATGCATACTACCGCCAGGATTACTGGGGACGTATTAGTCCCGAGTCCAAGGCGCTTGCTCTGAAGACGAGAAAGGCGTATGATCCCCAAGGGTTCTTCCAGAAGCGGACCAGTGGAGGCTGGAGGCTAGGCTAAAGTTCAAGAGTGGTCTAGGCATCGGATATATCTATCTTATCTGTAATTGTATTCACGTAGACTTAATCAATTTTTATAATTACGACTCGAAAGGATAGTGTTTGGGAAGTCGATGCGTTGGCGATCCGCTGATGATATATTTCGTAGTATAGACTTCCCGTTACTAAAAGTACCTACCAAGCGAGGTTTGCCTAGATTCAATACCCTAAAACATGATCTACTATGCATTTCCCACCGTAGTCAATAATTAGATCAAAAGTAGGCGCCTGCTTCAGGTTTGCAGATGCCCAGCCCAGGTACGGGCGACTAAGTATGCCATCTGGACACAACTCTCTTATTGGATAATATTGCCAGCAGTAATTCGATCATCCAAAGGTCAAATGTCTGATTCTGCAGGGTTTATGCCTGAATATGCCTGGATTCTGTCTCTAAATTAAAATACCTGAGAAATCTGTCTGTATTGCATCGTATGGGACAATTGGTATAGTGACAGGACATAAGTTTTTGCACCGAATTAAATACAACCGAGAACGGTGACTAATTATTTCAAAGCAGCATACACGGCCCTCTCGAATTCAGTCAGAAGCTCGATAGCTGTCTGATCGCCCGTTGGAAGGAGTTGGGACAAATACACTCCAGCGACACCCTTTTCAATATCCATCCACTATCAAGATGTCAGTGATCTATGTATACAGCTGGAAAATCGGGGACAATACTGACCCAGTAGCAATTAGGCATTCCAGACCAAGAGAGAGAATACTGACTGCGGCGACCAGGCACCTCGACAGTATTGATCAAACCACTAAGCCCATAGTCGGCGGGGACATTGGTAGGGACAGCGTTGTAAAGCGCATTACGACTTGCCAGATCGTAGTCTTCTGGGATATCCAGATTTTTGCGGTTCTCGAGGTGTGGCTTAAACATCAGTTCCAGAGTCTCGGGCCGTAGCAACTTTCCCTGCATAATACCAAGGTATATTTTCAGGAGCTCGGGCACATTTGTGTAGATGCCACCGCCTCCAATATCGTCAATAACTGGCTCAGGCCACCAGAAGTCTGTGGCCTCTTTTAGTCCGTCGTTGTGTCGTTCCCACAGCTTCACCTTTCGTACGCGGAGGTCTGGTCTCTCATTCAGATGAAAAGTAACGTCCCGAGCTCCCACAGGTTCAAATATATACTGTCTCATATACTCTCCTAGTTTGAGGCCCGTCACATGCTCGACCTAATGACTCCCTTATCAGCATAGCTCAGCCATCTACTCTGCCGGGATGGTTACTCACCATCAGTCCAGCCCACTCCAGCCCAGGGCCATACAACCATTGTTCTCCAGGCTCAAATACAAGGAACGTTTGGAAAGATTCCCTCTAAAAGGCTTAGTTAATTGCGTCTAGTTCCGCCGGCGTATAAGAACGTACGATAGTCTGAAGTACCAGAGGTCGGTCGCCTTGTAACTTCTGGTAGCGGATAGACAAGGGATGCATGAATGTATAGGCAAGTCCACCCGAATGAGTCATAAGAAGTCTTGGGAAATGCGTTACTTAGTATATGGGAAGAAACCTGAGTAATACGATCACAGTAACGTACCGAAGAGTAAGGGTCCGTTTCGCTGGTCGAAACTGGGGCTCATTTTTCTCATCGAACCCAATCAATATCCGGGGATCTTTCCACTCTGGCAAAATGCTGGATATATCTGCGTCTAGGTCTAGAAGACCCCTTTCGACACATTGCATAACAGCGATGCTCGTGATAAGTTTGGTTACGGATGCAATCCAGTGAACATCATCAGCTCTGGAAGATTCCACCGAGTTACCATTGAAACACTTCGTATAGTGGAAGGACCCTAAAAATTATCAGCGAAATGGTATCCATTTACGGGTTTCGCATAGGAGATTACCATCACGACTCACAGCGCCAAGTGTGACGCGTGGTAAGGGTTGTCCTTTCTGATCGAGGTAGGTTTTAACAACGTGGTTAATAGACTGCATTATAAGAGTAGATGGTTTTCCTTAGAGCGTTATATTGAGTAGGTAAGGAGGAGTTCGGTGTTAACGGGGAATGCTGCTGTTTTTTATAAGGGTAGATCATATATAAGACCCAGATTTCTTCCCTTTCCAACCCTAAGCCCAATGTCGCTCATTGCCAGTATCCACTTGGTTGGGTTAATACATCAACTTGCTGTTCCGAAGAATGCAGAAATTGCGCAGAAAGACCAGTTATCGAAAGCCAGTTCGTATCCACTGGTCTGTTTCCCCTTACGGAGATTCGATGCTTCTATATCAAAGAAACAATTCCGAAATTTTTCCAGGGCCATGTTACGGGAGTATCGACAGCTTGTACTGAGGAGTCGTACCTACCTACAACATACATACCTAGGTAGGTAGAAAGGTATGCTGACAAACCGAGGCGGTGATCTCAGGACTATATCGGGCTCTGATAATATACCGGGGGTATGTTTCGGCGTTTGTTCACGTCATTGACTTGTTGATCACATGCTAGTATATAAGAATTCTACTAACCAGTAAAAGGAAGTGACGAGAGTGCCATATTTTCTATTTTGGAGATTATTACTCAAAGAATAATAAGAGATTGAATGATTTTGTCTATTGTAAGGACGATTTTGGAGAAACAAGTGTTTGTCCTATGTACATCCAGGACATTGTGAAAGCGCTAGGAACCTAGAAAACTAGATGGGACATTTTATTTGCTTACACAACTACGTACGGGCCTGTCGAACGGTTCCTCTATACCTCTTGATACGTCATACATCGTCAGAGACTGTAATACCTACGGTGAATTAGCCAGGTTGTTAAGACTGACGGTGTTCAGACGCAAAACATTCCCCAAAGCAGACAGTGCTTCGTCAGCGCCACCCCGGATTTCACCTCGGCGTTTGATATAGTGAATAGTTTGCTCTTTGTCACCCACTATGTGGTTTCGGTGATTACAGTTTAGGTATTGCTATGACTACTCCACCCAGAGCAACCCCATTTTGGCATTGCTGACATATTCGGGGATTGAAACAGTCCCAAGTGGGGTTATCATAATGACAAACCTTGGAATATTGTTTATAAATCAGTCCATGGTTCAACTTGACTTTATCGTAGGAACGGTATAAATAACTAGCAAGCGATACACAGCATCATCAATCGCCTAGAAAGTGCATACACGCTTTCATTTACTTCCAACAATGACGCAGCCAGGCAATCAGAAAGTCCCTGGATCGTCTCGGATCACTGACCATTTTTCAGAACGGTAGGTTGCATTTGTTTAATTGGCTTCTGCGCTCTGTTCCTATCAGCTACTTCCTGGAGACTTGGATTTTGACAATTTATAGAGCATTGCAGGATCACGGCTCGGGATGGAGTGCCCTCTGGGACACAAAAGATAACGTCCTCTGGGACCGGGGAAAGCCTTCGCCAGCGCTGATTGATCTTATCGAACAACGAAAGGATCTATTCCAGCCTCTGACGGCTAATGGCCGCCGTAAGAAAGTACTTGTACCGGTATGTTTTCCGGATATATGAGACTCTATTATAGATTTAATTGTTCATTGGTTTACTAATTTTCGTAAAGGGATGCGGACAAGGTTACGATGTTGTTATGTTGGCATTACATGGTTTCGACGTTTATGGTTTAGATATATCCAAGACCGGAATATCAGCGGCCCAGGGTTACGCGTATAATGAACTACAAAAACCGCAGGAATACAACTTCGGAGAACAGAAAAGCGGTCCGACGGCTCAAGGCAGTACCACCTTTATAAAAGGTGATTTTTTCAAGTCGGATTGGGAACAAACAGCTCTGGAAGGCGGAGAAGTTCAGTTTGATATAATTTATGATTATACGGTTAGTGGCTGACTTATCGCGTGTTTATAAGATAAACGAAACTAATTTTATACAGTTCCTCTGCGCCCTTCACCCCGATATGCGCCAGCAATGGTCCAAGCGCATGTCGGAGCTTCTGCGGTCTGATGGCTACCTAGTTTGTCTTGAATTTCCGTTATACAAGGATCCAACGCTTCCTGGTCCCCCCTGGGGCTTGCAGGGGGTACACTGGGACCTGCTAGCGCGGGGTGGTGACGGCATCGCCAATATTCATATAGCACCCGAAATCGCGCATGAGGATCAGCTTATGGGTCAGTTCAAAAGGGTGCTGCATACAAAGCCAGCTCGGACATATGAGAGTGGGATAGGGACAGATATGCTCAGCATTTATGCTCGAAAGTAGCCCTGCTACAGCTGACTGTACTCATGCGAGAACTTTAAAGTCGAACTTGGATTACAATATCATTGTTAAGAGAGGTCTACGTGGACGTCAAAGTGCATGGTGCAATGTGAGGTTGATTGAGTGGAGAGTTAAGCTACAGAAGCTAAGAAAGAGACTAAGAAATCTGACAATCATATTCGTTTTCGAATTAGAAAGGCAACACTCCCCTATGTACTGGATGTATAGTATGCTAGGTGACCGTGTAAGTATCAACAGTCGTAGCGATTGCCTCAGTAATTGTTCTATGAATATTGCATTATCTTGATTTAGCCGCAGCTAGACCCAAATTTGCTTATTCCAATTGTCTGGTTAGAACGAGGAAAGAACAGATGGTTTTGAGCCCTGGCTCCTATAAGTCTTCGTAGTATGATCCCCGGGGGTTCTTCCAGAAGCGGACCAGTGGAGGCCAAGAGCGGTCTAGGCATTGGATAGTTATATTTATCTCATCTATAATCATATCCACGAAGACTTAATCAATTGTTTATAATTACGACTCGAAAGGATACGTTGGCGATCCGCTTATGATATATTTCGTAGTATGGACTTCCCGTTACTAAAGTACCTACCAAGCGATCCCAAATCGGAAAAAAAAAACCTTGCTAGTAATTGAGCCTAGATTCAATACCCTGAAACATGATCTACTGTGCATTTCCCACCGTAGTCAATAATTAGAACAAAAGTAGGCGCCTGCTTCAGATTTGCAGACGCCCAGGGAACGAGTGGCTGAGAGCGACCTGCGGCGAGTTAGGGTTTTCCTCCAAGCGCCAGGGTGGATTCGTCAATCGGACCTATTTTTTATATTTTTATATTATTGTAAGTATTCTTCCAATCGTATATCATCTTTAGCAAAGAGCTATGAGCTCCTGTACTATCTTAAGCTACTATTCATGCCGATCGCTGTACACGGCAGAGAGCTCAATGAAAGCCAACTCGTCCAATTAAGTAGCGCTTCTCCAATCTGTAACACACAAAGACATAGCCCGGCTTGGGGGAGAGTCTAGATTCGATGCTAATTTGATTTGGTCTAGGCATCGGACAATTGATGTCTTTGAAAGACCTTTGTTGGTATCTATATAAAGAGCCGGACCAGTCTAGTCTTCAATCTCACAATCAGCTACTCCCTTTGTTCTTGGTTATTTTCTATATTCTTCTTCTCTTTCTCCTATTATTCAAAGCCTTTCACTTGATATATATCTACGGCATCGTTACTTGAATACTATCCTCGACTCTCGATACATCGACACATACACAACGAGCCCAGCCAGTCGACCCTCCATACCCTCCACATCCATCCCATTCATTACTCCAATCCAACATATCCCAAAATGTCTCCGCGCTACGGTGCCCTCGGCGCAACCTTCCAACTATCCCGCCTCTTCCAAGCCTGCTCCCTAATCGCCATCATCGGCATGACAGCCAAGTTCATCAGCGTAATAATAAACAGCAACGCCACACCCCCAAACATCCTAATTGGAACCATCAGCGTGGTAAGTGCAAGCGTCCTCCAATACACAACTACATACTCCCTACTTTACATACTCCCTTCAAGCCATCATCCCCTTATCAAAACCAAAAGTATTACTCAACCAACTAACAATCCCAACCACAGACCTGCATCGCAGCAATCTACTGCATAATCACCGCAATCCTGTACACAGATGACATCCTCCCATTCCTACCGTGCGCTGTGCTCGACACTTTGCTACTAATCGCACTGATTGTCGTTACCGTCATCGTCGGCAAGCCACTTTCGTACTTGAAGTGTACGACGCTGGCGGAGCTGGGCGATAAGGATGCCACCGCGTATGCGTTTGCATCGAGGCTTTCGAGTTATATTGCTAGTGTCAGTGGGAAGATTGATTATGTTTCGTGGATTGGGGCTTCGAAGGCGATTTGTGTTGAGGCGAAGGCTATTTGGGGGTTGAGTATTGCGCTTTGGTGAGTTCTGATTGTGATTCTGATTCTGATTCTGATTCTAGGTTTTGGGTTTTGGGTTTTGCTGACTTTAGCGTTTAGTATTCTCTTTTTCTTTTCTGTTATCTGTAATGTATGTTTGTGGTTGCAGAAGAGGAAGGCTGTTGCTGTGAAGAGTTTGGAGTAATGGATCTATGAGGGTATATGATTGGAAAAGAATATATTGGGGTTTTGGAAACGGAATGAAGTGGACAGGTTGGATCAATTGGGGATTTTTATGTCTTTCTTTATGATAATTCTTATAGCACATGCATTAATAATCCATTTCAGATGAAACCAAACCAAGTCAAATCAAGATTCATAAAGTGCATCCAACATCAAAGGAAAAAGAAGTATTCAAGTGAATAAATAACCTCTACCCCGAACTCACAGGCGGAATAATAGCCACCTCACTCCCAGCCTGGATGACAGTCTCGACATCCTCCTCAACATCAACATACTCCCCGTTCAGGCTAACACCACAGGTAGACAGGACCTTGTGCGCAATGCCGGGGTATCGCTGCTCGAGTTCGCCAAACAGAGCGGATAGTTTCAGGGGTGCGGGGAGCAATTCTGTGTTTTTGGATGTGTATTGGGATGCTGTTGCGAAATAGTGGATTGTGAATGTTTCCGGCATGATGGGTGTGAGGATTGAAGAGAATGGGAAGGAGGAGGGTGAGAGTTGAAAGTGTAGGTCTGGAGGTAAGTGAGGTAAAGGTATAAGAGAGGAAGTTTGATAAGAGATTGAGATGACCAATAGAATTGCCCAATGCGGGGTAAATAGATAGAAAGAAAGATATAAGGATATAAGGATATAAAGATATAAAGTAAAGATATAAGGGTGGTATAACTAGTCTATAATCTTATAACAGTCTCTAGGAATTCATTACATGTAGTTAACACTACTTCAAACTATCTACTTCGCAAGCTCACGAAATGCCCTCGCCATATCAGCCTTCAAATCCTCCCAATTCTCCAACCCAATACTAATCCTCAACAACTTCCGATCAACCGTCGCATCCGTCATAGTCCTCCACTCAATAAGTGTCTCAACACCACCCAGACTAGTAGCATGCTGAAAGAAATGCAATTTACTCGGCAACTCGCGAGCGAAGCGCATCTCCTTCATAACGATCGAGAAAACAGGCCCGAACCCATTAGGCATCTGCTTCTTCAACCAGTCACCCTCAACCTTCTGCAGACTAGCATGGAAAACCTCACCAAGAACAGCCTGCACAGCGGCCTCGTCACTGTCAGACGGGGGACTAGACGCATGCAAAGCAGCATCGAGCCAGGAAATGAGACGGGCGGCATTCTCGCTCTGGCGCTGGACGCGGATCTCGAGGGTACGCAGACTGCGGACACCGAGCCAGCCCTCCATGCTACCCATGACAGTTCCGATGAAGAGACGGTCGGATTTCAGTTGTGCGGCCCAGTCGTCGCGGTTTGTAGCGAGGACACCGCACAGCATATCGCTGTGGCCGCCGAAGTACTTGGTGCCTGAGTGCATGATAATATCTGCGCCGAACTGGAATGGCTCTTGCAGGCCGGGTGGGGCGAAGGTGCTGTCGACGATAAGGTATGCGCCGCGGGCGTGGGCTTTGGCGGCGTAGGAGGCGATATCGAAGGCGGTGCCTTGGGGGTTGACGGGTGTTTCGAGGAGGATTACGTCTCCCTTTTCGAGTTGGTCGGGTGAGCAGTCTAGGGGCAGCTTTTGCAGGCCTGTTAGGCGGGTGAAGAGGGCGATGACGCCGTGACAGCCGTGGTAACCATCGCCGACGGAAATGCGGCGGGGGTTGAGGAGCGTAAGGGCGCCGTGTAGGGCTGATAGGCCGGAGGAATAGCTTATAACTTGACCGTGGAGGAGAGAGGAGAGGATTGTCTCGAAACGGGTAGGATTTGGTGCGGACATGCGCGAGTAGATATGGGAGGTTGGATCAAAGTCGGCCTACATTGGATGTGTTAGGTTATGGGGCATGGAATGTTGAGTCGCGATGCATACAGGGGTGGCATCAGTAGCCGGTACTAGCTGGTTTGGATCATTGGAATAACGAAATGTAGTAGAGAGATGCATAGGAGGAGCGACATCCTTAACAAGGTTCAAGGCATCATCGGCATGCAGGGAGCGCGTGGACGCGCCAATGGCTTCGCTAGAATGAGACATGATAAAAAATGCTATGTTTGGTTCTTGAATTGTATGCACAGAAAGGGCCCATCAAGCAAGTTATAATACACCAGAAAATACGGGATCCGGTCTCGGGAGGGGGAAAGAGGGGAGCGGGGAAGTCACGGAGTGAGTCAGATCACGTGTCGTCTTATCAGGAGAAATGAGTTTATCGACGGATAGAGCCCATGCGAGATGGTTCTCGCACTGACCCAGGAAGAGCTGCCTTGAAGCTTGCGCGTGCTATCGAACATAGTTAGTGAAGAGCAGCACAGGAGAGACAGGTGTAAACTCACAAGCCTCTGTATCGAAGGTAACGGTGAGATCGTCGTGTTCGATGGGATACTCAGGCATGTCAAGGCACACAAAGTTGGAAGCTGGATCATCATCCTTCTTAGGCAGTGCGAATTTGGCATCTACCATACGAATGCCGAACTTGCCGGACCGGCCAAAGGACTCCATGATATCAGTGCCCTTTAGAACAAAGTTCATACATGTGCCATGCTGGAAGTCCCCAAAGAAAGCAAGCATTTGAACGACCTTTTCTTGTCGAACGATCTGGACGCGTGCCAGGGCAGCTTCCCATTTCTTGTAAATGGGCACCATACTCCGTCGGCGGGAGATGGTGAATGATGTAGCCATACTAGTTTGGTCAGCAAGATCCCCACTAGAAAGAAGGCTAGATATTATAGACTTACCCATCGTAAAGCACCTGGAACCCAGTAACGGCTGCCTCGAAGGCATGAAGATCTACAATGGGATTAGCAAAGCCAACAAAATGTTCGAAGTAGACATACCCTGCATGGTAGGGAACTCCAGTCGGCGGACCATAGGCTTCGCCGTAAGTTTCTCAAGGAAGCCGGTTAATTGTCCTGCCAGTTCAGGGCGAATGAGGTTATCAGCAAGCGAAAGGGTCAAATCCTGCTGCGCGGAGCGGAACAAGCTCATGCTCGTCTTGCTCTGGACATCCAATCCAATTTTCAATTCACCGGGGCCTAGACAAAATTAGCATCCCGTCTTCGTGTGAGGAGAAAGAGAAAACCCACCCAAGTTGATGCGATCGGTGACAGAGCCCCATTCAGTGGCAACAAATGCCCTCAAATGTTCCGATAGAATAGTCGGTCCATAACCGTGGTCGACGTAAGCATGCTCCTGATCAATAACGGAAACGCTTCCAGCAGGGAACTGGAGGTATTTGACCGCGGGCTGGCCGGTAAATGGATCTTCGGGCTGCTCAATGCAATAAGACTGAATGGCGAATTCAGGCGATTTGATCTCTCCCTCCCGTGGAATCATTCCGAGTAGGATGGAGTGGATTTTCGTACGCTCGGCGGCCTCGTGGAAAGTCATCAGCATGGATCTCGTACGGCCGTCCTCGGTAACTTTAAGAAGAAGAGCGGGAGCACCGTCCTCTCCTCGCAAGAGACCGAATACTATCGGTGACCCGTTGCCCAAAGTATGGCGGATGCTGCTCAAAGTCTTGACCTTCGGGCTAGTCAGGACAGCTAGTCGGAATCCCCGATGCGCATTGCGAGTACCAGTGCCTTCTGTCACGGTGACAGATCGCTCGAACAAACGGAGTCGACATCTTTCTGTCGGGTCTGAAGGGAATGCCTTTGGTGTGCCCGGATCCATATATTGGAAAACCTTGACAGTATTCTCAAATACCACAGTCTCGCCTGCCTCCGGATGGAGACTGTTCTCCGATTTCTGGGTGTATTTGACGATATTCCAAAGGGTCTTGAAATCGTCTTCCTTGAACATGACGTCCAACTCGAATCCTCGGGGAGCTTGACTCGCATAGAATGGGACCGGACTTGCCAATCCACATCCTCCCAAGTTGGTCCTTGCTTGCGGTCGGACTGAATCAAAATGTTCACAAGTTGGCTTTGGCTAGTGATTGCCGCAAAGACATACCAATCCGCTCGTTCGCGGACGATGGTCAATGCGCAGGGCATGGCATATTGCTGTTGCCCGTCATCATCACTGGAGCTAACGCAGACCTGCACAAACATGCTACCATAGCTGAAGTATCGAGCTGTGTCAGCCAAAGGCATCATGTGGACCAAACTTGGTATCTTGCCCGCGTTATCTACCAGCATTGATCTCGTCGCCGCGCCAGATAAGACCGCTGAGACATCGGGCGCATAGAAAGGGTAACGCAGCCAGATACTAGTATCCAGCTGAGTGGGAGAGCCTTCGTCTGAGACAACCGAGGCGAGGATATTATTTCGTTTGATGGACATGGATAGCGACCGGAGGTGATTGATGAGGGTATGATGTATGCTCAGAAGATCAGCCAACTCCTTGTCCCCCGTGGTACTCGCAACAGCCAGTACGGCATCAACGCTTTTGGCACCGTATCGAGAGAGTTCATGATGACTAGGCACAATATTTTCATTAATCCATAATGCCTTTCCAAGATCGACCACAGCCTGTTTGGCGTAAGTAGGGGGCAATGTCGAACGAGAACGGGCATATGCTTCCAATCGTGTCTTTCCTCGCAAAAACCACCAGACCGCAGCCCGAATCCATTCTGCTAGCGACGTTTCTGCCAATGGCTTAACATCCTCTGCTGCAAGTTTAATAGAACCCTCATATCGTGCATTATACTCTTTGAATTCAGAAAATGCGGTATCGCCAACTTGGTTGGCAATATTTCGAAGGGAGAACTTGGGGGTTGGGCGCTGCGTGGCGGCTCTTGGCCTTCGCGACTGGGAGGTAACGGCTGGTTTGATGCAGGCAGGTCCTGGGGTGGCGGTTTGGCGTGGGTCGGTGAAACCTTGCCGGGACTACCTGGGATGAGATTCGTGGGCATTCGTGGGTCAATGGGACTGAGATTCGTTGGTGCGCGTTGTGTAGAGGGGCTTGGGGGTTCCGAATCGAATCAACAATGGACCTCATCGACAAAGAAATTGACGGTGCATGCGGGAGTCCCGCCGTTTGGGCTGTCTCGCTGGCCAATGGAGGATTGTAAGCTTTTATCGGCGGTTCCGGGCTGACAGGGCTGGCGGGACTGGGAGGACTGGGGGAGGTGAGACATCATCGTCTTCAGCTCCGGGAGACAATGTCTCTTCCTCATAGCGATGATGTAAAGCGCGACCTTCCTCGGCTTGCATCTTGTCGCGGACGCGTTGGGCGAACGAACTCGCCTCGCTATCGCCACGGAATGACAATCGAGAGCCGCTGTCGCTCGAAGGCATCGTCCTCAGGAAGTCTGCATCCTGTGTATTTTGTATCAATGGGGGTTTCCAGTCCGATATATTACGCTGAGGCGAATAAGCCGCCTGTTGAGATCGCGCATCGTCATCGCCCAGTGATGTGTCAAGTCGGAGATTTGGCAGATGCAATCGCGAAGGGTCCGAGAGGGGGATACTGCCAGACTGGGTTCCCCTACTGTCCGACCTTTCACGAGCCCGCGAGATCTCAATTGTGGGCGATTCCGTCTCGTCACCTCCTTCGCCAATCACTTCTGGGGTTTGTGGGCTGAACCCCACCCGTAGCCCTTTGCCTTTGCGACCACCGGGCTTAACAGAGGGAGGAGTTGGGGGTACCGTAGAAGATTGGTCGGAGGGATTGTAAGGGGCATAGTTCTCACGAGGCAAGGCTGGCGCTGGTGCTGGCACTGGCTTGGAGGGTGGGTATCCGGAGATGTCTTGTGAGGAAGGAAAGGGATGGGCAACGTTTTGCGGAGGAATGTACCTCGGGTCGATAGGCGGGGGAGCTGGGATCGATTCTGGGGTGCGAGAGCTCAGGAAGTCTGCGATTTCTTGATTTTGATGCGGCGCAGCTTTATTCTTATCTTTGGAGAACAATTTAGTTTTCCAATGAGTCTTTTTCGCGGGTTTGGCCTGCTCCGCGGGCAGAAAGGAGAACGGGTCATCGGCAGACATGACAAGAAAGAGGGCGAGTAGACACAGTCCACATCGCACTCAATCACACACACACACCAAGGATACCAGTCCTCGTGAAATATCCCCTCTCTTTTTTTTGGGTTGAAGGATCGACAGGGGCTTTAGGCCTGATAAGAATTGAGATCGAATAGCGGGGGGAAAGGGAGGGAGAGACAAAGGGAGAATAAGAGGGAGAGGTGGAGGTTAAAGTGAAGAGTGGAAGAAGAGTATTAGAGTGTTGAAAGGTGTCTCAAAATAGTCCCCCAGTGTCAAATGTCAAGTGTCAGGATCAAGTGTCAGGAAGGAGGGGTGGCTAATCGAAGCGCCCGTGCTCGAAAAGACTATAAAAAGGAAGATTAGCTCATTTCAAAAGTCTCAAAATATCCCAAAAAAAAAAATAAAGCCACTTACAATCGGACTATAGAGATTAAATTGACATTGTAGCTGGACCAGCAGCCTGAGACAGAAAGAAGAAAACAAAAGATCAACACACCGGGGGGAGAGAAGCCCTGGAGATACTCCGCAGGTACCAATTGCCGCAGTGGAGACGGGGGGCTTCTGTGGATCTATTAAACGTGTACGGAGTAATAAGGGTATGGTAGTAATGGATATACAGCGAACATTAATAGATTAATAGATTAATAGGGTAAATAAGTATATTAATAGGGCATATTAAGAGACATTTAATATGGGAGTATTCAGAACATAGTTAGTTAATATATAACATGTGCTCCAATTCCACATCTACACATCTATGCATACCTCAAACCCCCCATCGAACGCCTTTTTCAAGCCACCAAGGGCTATATATAATCCAATCAGCATACTCCAACTTACTCCGTAGACAAAGCGCTCGTCTCATAACTGAAACTCCACTAGGCCCAATCGGAACGGGGGATCCACCGCTGACGAGTTTTGAGAGCTTTGAAGATCAATGATATTCCTAAATCACACCATTTTGACATGTATTCATATATAATTCGATGGGTTATCCCCTACGATCGACTACTTCATTGTCCTTCTGACTCCATACTAATTAATATAATTAATGTTAAGGGGAAAGAAAAAAAAAATAGAAAAAAAACAGTCAAATATTCTTAATCTCATCTAGGGGCTTCTTAGCGCCCGAAATTTGGGACTAATCTACTCCGTAGTTAATGGATACTACATTAACTAGTTGACTGGTTCATTTGATAATATGTTCTAGTTATTTCATGACCTTCGTAACTTGTCTCTACAACATAGATTGGAGGCCTGACTGTAATATGTCTCCCTCAATTTGGCATTTGATTAGATGCCCGTTTGTCGGCTTCCCCCTTTGGTCCTCCCGTCGCCATAGAGAAGCATGCAAGATCCCTACATATGTACTTTGCTCGAGTCTAATTTGCTACCTCGTTCATATATATATTTTCATAAATATTCCATAATCTTGAATGTCTGCAAGCAAGTATCATATCCTTTTGCTTGTCACCGCTATATGTCTTGCTCTTATCCAGTGGATTCTATAGCCAAATCCCTTGGACCTTAAAATAATGCCACCCGGAGATCTTTCGTCTGCAAACTCACGCCATATGCAAAGAACAAGGAACAAAGAAATTTGAGATCAACGGTACCTCGGACCACCCCGCATATAGACAATTAAGATCCGTCTGTGAGACCCAGGGTTCATACTCACCTACACCCTGAAGTAGATCGTCCCGGTCTTGGGACCTCGGTCACAAAACAGCTTACTCACTATATTATAGTCTTCGGTGGAGCTTACAGGGTTGAAGTACAGCCAATCTCATCGCTGCGTCGGACAAATGTATGACAATGTAATGAAAACGGTAGTGGCTTGGCATACCAAAATCCGGGGTTCTAGTTATTCATCAGTTCTTAGAAGCATGGGGAAAGGCCTTGCAGCAAGTAGAAGGTGTTAAGTTCGAGCTTTACATTCCAACACTAATTGATATACGTATCACACCGTATTGTGGGTTATATTTAATTAAGGTACTCATATAATTTCGGGAAACTAAGAACCTTTGTGTTGGTAAATATGTCACGTGAATATTGTTGATGCTTGGTTCCATACGCTATCTATTGCTTGTTTATGTGGATTGAAGGCTTATCTTTCTTTGTTCTCTCCTCTGGTTCTCTGTTGGTTTGCAATGTGACTGTCCGATTCATTGCATTTTCTGTCTCTTGCCTGTGGTGGTGGGGACGACCTTGTCTTTGGTTGTGTTGGACAGATCTGAAACACAGCGATATATCATCACGATAGCGCCACTAAAAGTGAATAAATCAAGTCTTCTAAAAATTTTCAAAAGGCATCTGAGTACTATTAGTGAGTACGTAATTCCATAAGAATAAGACAATACAACAGTTTTATAGGATAGTTGAGAACCAAATAGAGACTGCCTATTAGGGTAGGAGATCATGTGACCAGAGAGACCTTCATACACCAGAAAGGATATTATCCTGTTTGAAGTCAGTCAGATTCACTGTGAACCCTTTCATACTAAGCCTCCAGGGCTACAGCAAGATATTGGCCATCATCTATACTGTGATCTATAATAGTAGTATTCATTGCCCTCATCTCACAGCAGCGGTATAGAGACGCATGGAGCTATTACAGACACAGACACATAGAGACAGTCAAAGCCATAACTCGGAAGACCACGGGGAAACACGCAGCAGCCTGCGCAGGCATCGAAACCAATAACTACAAGTGCCAGATAGGAGCAACGTTAGATCCTGATTTGATGATTGAACATGTTAATTTGTTCAGGACGGCAATGCCGAAGATTGAGGAGAGTAACAAAGGAATTTTGAGTCGGCACACGTGGAAAATGTACTGGATTAGGTAAGTGGCTTTTGGTCGACGGGGGTGGGTTGGTTCAGGTTGTTCGACTTGTGGGATGAAAATGAGACTATTGAATGAGGAACTCCATGTGGCGTTAAACTTTGGGTATTTTTGCCTGGTTTAAGGGAGTGAAACATTAGGCCATGTCGTATAGCCCTACAGGATGTTGTATCGCCCTACGAAGTACTCCGTACACATCGGTTATTTCATGACTCAGTATGCTTCCAAGATTCTAGAACTATATGTCTTAACCATTCCAAGATGAATATGTAACTATCGTGTGTATTCAGTACCACTACATGATATAAACAACTGGGATCTAAACAGCAGTTTCCATACCCATTCCATACCGGCACCTATATACAAGTAGGGCCTAAAGCCACCGTACTTGTCTCACTACAAACCTCCGCCGCTGAAACCTTCAGTGGAGTGAGTTAGAGAGCTAGTGCAGGGTACTAGACCCTGAAAGGGTTGCAATTACGGTTTACCTGTATGGAGTCGCTTCGTTGTCACCCAACTGACTCTGTCCGATTGGGTTGAAATATCGACCATGCTCACCTCGTTTTGTAGCATCAGCACCCAACACAATATCACCATAGTAACCTTCCAAATACTTCCACGGCATAGCCGACGTCAGGTCTTGCCGGAATCTGCTTGGCACGAATTAAGGCCTTCAGCTTCGGGAACACTGATCAGTAAGTGAGACATTGTGCCTTGAGCGACTATTTTAAGTCGGCCAAAGTCATATGAGAAAGAATGGTTTTGGAACACATGCTCATCAGGAGATAAAAGAAAACATATAAAGACATGCTTCCCTGATAATTGAAGCCGATAGTTCTGTCCATGGGTATGATAATAGAATAGTAGTAGATTTCATGTCGAAAGACTCAGCATACAAGGGTCTCTCAGTTATTTTATTTCCGTGGGTGTCGGCTTTAGCCGACATAGTGGGTGCAGTTATGTGAAATTGGGAATAGTACGGAGAAAAGCAGTGATAATTTTTCTATTTATGATATGTATGTTGTATTTAGTTCATCCGACTTTTTTATTTTTATTTTTATTGTTTTTAGTTTTTTTATTTTTTAAACGAGAAGTAAGAAAAAAGTAACTATAGTTAGACCTATTATTAGCCGTAGTCGAGTAGTCAGCCATCAAACTCCACCAGGGCCAGACCAAACAAGGCGCAGCAACAACAACAGACCAACCCACTGCACAAATTGAGCCACTTTTTCCAACTCTCCTTGCGTTTTGCTCTGTTTGTGACTTCCGATCTTCCTCCGGGATATGCCGTGTTTGACGACTTAGCGGCCGACTTACAACGCACGCAGGTTTACGTACCTCCAGGCACCGGCCTAACTTCGAAACTCTCCCCACCCCAACCCCATTACGCAAGACTTCAGTATCCTTGGTTCATTCTCTGCGGTGAGATTATTATCAAATCTCGAGTGAATATCGACCCTGAGAAGGGGTGCATACGGTGGACGAGACCCCGACACCGACCCATTGTCAATACAACGTGGATTCGATCATTTACGCCGGGGGTTGACCTCCCCGAGGAGGTCATCCCGGATGCCCGAAGTGGACATGTACAACTCGGCGGAGATCGACCTGGATGGCTATTCATCCTTCTCTCGACGGAAAGGAACCAGGCGGCCGCGACGCAGTGGATTACACATTTTGCAAGGTCGGCCATTGTGGTGGATTGCACTGCTTTGTCTATTGAGCTTTGCATCACCGGCCGCTGCTGTTCTATTGGACTTTGAAAATTGTCTATCGAAAACCATCCTCGAGTCCGACCCTCTACAACTTCAATTCGTTCCCACCAACGTGTCCGTCAAATTCAACCTTACCAACTCTCTACACCCGCTCGCCATCACGGTCTATGGCAATGTGTCGGGAACCACGTCTCGAACTGCAGATTACCCGCCACCGGAGTCTCCCGTCTGGGGAAATGACACCTGGACCGATGGCAAGATTCAGGACGTGTACAGTACTAACAACAAGTACAGCACGCTGATGACACATCTCAATGTGCTCAGCTTCACGACCTATGACAATCCCTCCCGTTTCCGTGACTCGGTCACGCAAGGTACCCTCCCGTTAGGACCGGTCTTCAACAACTACAACCTGTAAGCTATTCCCGAAACAGAAAGCTCTCTGTGCTGTTTAACTAATCCGTTTGTGTTTTGCAGGAGTCAATTGGACACATTACGAGCGTTCACTATTGAACATGACATGCTTTCAACGTACCGTTTCGGGACAATCATCCCGTTATTGAAGGTTCGCTCTGGAGATGCATCCGCGGCTGACCTCGCCTGTGTTTCAGTGAGTGCCACACCGGACTTCGGAGGATCCCTCAAAAATGCCATCGCCTACGTGCCTCTTATAATTTTGATACTCGTGGGGATTGCGACCATCACTGCCGCCATGTATAGCCCTTGGGGCACAACTGATCTGTTTCGGTGGACAAGCAACTATGGCCGCGATGAGGACGTTCTCCGGCTCGTCACTCCTGGGTTCGCAGATTGCCTGCAATACCTTCAATTCGTCGTCTTGACAGGCTCGCTTTCTTTGAATTACCCAGGCTTCTTCCAGCCTGCAGTGAGCCAGGGAGCATGGTCGACTCTCATGTTCAACCAGAGTTTCGTCAGCACTGACATGGGCCGCGATCCTGTTGTTGATGGTTTATACGCCGTCAACGGAAGTTATGGCCTCGACCGATTGAACCACCTGGTTGGCATGGCCTCATCCCAGGATATCTGGCCCGGTATGATGATATGGGTGCTGGTAATCCTGGCCTGTGTGACAGTGGTCTTCCAGATCGCATTCGCGCTTCGATGGTTGTATCGTGAGTTGGCAAACAACACCGATCAGGATCTGCGTGCCAGGAACATGCCGTTTACCTTAGGCAACCTCATTCGCATTGTCTTTAATTTCCTTCTCTTGCCAATCGTTTCCCTTTCCTTCTTCCAACTGGTTATTGCTCGTGAATCAACCGCTTACTGTGTTGCTTTGGCAGCCGTGGTGCTTGTCATTGTCGCTTGTTTCTCTATCTGGGTCATCCGAGTGATCCTCACCACCCGACCCAAGTCTCACCTTTTCGATGATCTTCCTACGGTATTATTGTATGGACCGCTATATAATACATACTGCGACGATGCAGCAGCCTTCGGTATCGTCCCGATCGTCTTGAACATCGCTCGCGGGGTAGCCATTGGTGCTTTGCAGCCATCTGGCATTGCCCAGGTGGTAATGCTGGCCATTTGCGAAGTCGTCTCCGTACTAACCCTGCTGGCTTTCCGACCTTTTTCAGGCCCGACTCACATGAACCTGTACCACTGCCTCTTCTCCATTGTGCGTTTCTTGACAGTTATCTTGAGCGTCATATTTGTGCCGTCATTGACGGTTTCGGATGCGGCACGAGGCTGGATTGGATATTTGATCCTTGTGCTGCATGCCATGGTTCTTATATTCGGGTTCTTCCTCAACGCCATGCAGACATTAATCGAGGTCTTGGCGAGACTGGCTGGTGCGGGTGGTGCCACTCGTGGTGGCTTGACCAAGGTGCTTGGCATGCGCCAGCTCTCTAGGCGGACTCCGCGCCGTGATCTTACTCGCCAGAGCATGGGTTCGGAGGCTGCTATGCTCGGCCACGGTGACGACCGTATGTCTTCTCAGTTTGATGGATCGCGCCCCCGTAGTCTGTCTGGGAGCTCCGGTCTGCTGCTGAACCGTGCCACGGCCAGTGATGGCAGAGCTAGCGCTATCTATGATTATCCTAGTTCGCAAGGGGGCACCCACAGTCGTGCTCCCAGTGGAGGGTTCCCCACACCTACCTCGACCGCCTATCAAGGAGCCGGCTTCCCTAGCTCGCCTAGTAGTGGTACGATGATGGGAACAAACCCTCGTGATCCCTACTATCGACCACCCCGCCCAGGGCGCAAAACCCCCCGGGAAGTGCTGCTCTTGAGAAAGGGAAGAGCCCGTCAAGGGGCTTCCTGAAATCAAGAGCAAGCCGCCGAACAGTCAAAACTGAAGACGACCTGGGAGATGGCACTATGTCTGGCCGGGCCACACCTGTCCCAGCATATCTAGCAGCACCGAAGGATGATATGGAGCTCGATGCCCCACGAAAGCCGAAGGATTATGCTGTTCGTGAGGTTGATTTCTACTACGGTGTTCGAGGCCCACCGCTCTCCCACAGCGGCACTCGAAAGTTGAAAACTGGGCCAGCCGACCCCACAGGCCCAGTCTCGTCTGCCACGGGCTGGTTCCGAGGCTTGCTCCAAGGGAAGACCAAGGACAACGCCAAAGGATTTGAGGTTGTTCGAAGTGCTCGTGCGCCTCCTCCAGGTCTATTCCCACGAGGAGGAGACTATAACGAGCAGTACCAGGATGGTACAGGCACGCCATCCGCCAGCCATTCTCGGAATGTGTCCACTAGTAATGTTCCTTATCAGGATTCAGATAATGACCAAGACCTGGAGCGGTCAAGTGAAACACGCCCACCAGTACTGCCACCACTCAATACGTCAGTTGGCGGTGGTATTGAGTTGCCTAGTCGAATGGGTTCACGGCACACACAGGCGCCCGCGGAACAAGATGCAGGCGGAACTGTGGCTGGCCTTCCACTTGTGACCGAGACCCTGTCGCACCAGTCTGAGGTGGGCCAGCGCTCTGAGCACTCCGAGCACCATCTCCAACCAGAAGGCGCCACCACCGCGCGCCTGCCTTTCAGCGGGAGTAGCTCGCCATCTCGTGAACGAGGTCTGTCTATGACCTCTACTTCAAGGTCAAGGTCAAACGCCTCGAGCCAGCAAACAGGGCCTCGAGCGGAACGGCCCTCGAGTATGGGCTATGTACCTCAACATCGCGCACACGACCACATCCACGAGGCGAGTCCCGACGAGCCATCGTTCACAGGCAGCTCAGCAGAGCTTGTTGATGAAGCTGCGCTAGGTGGGCACGGACGCTAGAAAGACGACAAAAAGCAATCACATGTATTTTGAATCAGTATATTCCTCTTCTTCGATATCTATCTCTCTCTCTCTCTCTGTGTGTCTCGGTTCCTATCCATGGATCTTCCCCCCCACCTATTTCCCATTTACCTCTATCGATATCGTCACCACATCTCCCCGAAATACTGGCGAATTGATGCCGCTATCACGAATTTCCTTGCTGTCTGTCCGTCTATTCTTTGCTTTGTGCGTCTACATAAAATCGATGCGACGGCGTTCTATCTCTTACCCCGAGGTACACTTAATGGGGAGTGAGCTCATTGGCTTTTTTTTATTCTTCTGGCTGTCGCTCAATTCAAGCGACATGCTGTTTGCTTTTTTGGAGGCTTTGCTTCTTTTTGTCCCTGTCTCTTTTCGCTCTTCTTGTATCAATCTTAGGACACAGTAGTACCAAGATCATAATTAATGAGGGTTGTTAATAAGTGCTCTTTTCTAGCAGTGGTGCTAAGGTCTCGATATACCTTGAAAAAAACAATACAAGGTGATCTCACACATGCACAAGCAGCGTATGTCTCCTATTGCATTGTCATGCAGGGCTCGCTGTCTAGTCACGATATCATGCAAGGATCCTGCGGCCATGCTTATGCATTAGAAAACCTCCTTAATCTATGACATCTATATCTAGACATAGTAATTTGTTTGAGGATACTGTACAATAACTGAATGTTTATTATCATTTGAATATGAGACCCAATCAGAGCACTAAGGCTTCAAGAGCATCGACTACAAACAACCGAGGCCACTGATACGCGGGCAGATCGGGCCGATACTGTCAATCGCCACCGCCCCTGACCGCCCCACGATAACGGTCGTATCTGGGCCCAAACACGCAATGCTTTGCATCATTTCCTCTTTCTCTCCGGGTCAACTGTTACTCTGCTAGATTTACTCTTTCTCATCGTTTTCATCTGCTGCTGGTACTCGCTACTGTGTTGCTGGCATCCGAGAACATAGTCACGAGATTCTCAGCCTCATCCATCTCCTAAATCCGATCCAATCAGCCTTGGCTCCATGATAAGCATCATCCTGTCACTCCTTGATGTGATCTTCGGCAAAAAGCGTCAACGTCATTGAGGCTGAGCCCAAGATTGCAAAAAAGACACTCTCCGTCCTCTAAATTGATATCTCCGACTTCCCCACCATCTATTTCCCCTCTCCATCGCCACCTAGTTCATGAAGACTGTCACCCCAACGGCCGAGATCGATCTCGTTGCCTGTGTTGAACAGAACCCCACAGTGGGCCCATACCATTCGACCCAGCAATAACAATGCCTGGATCAAGTACGGCATCATCCAGCCCGATTCCGTCCAGCCCCCTGTCGAGGATGCGGCCAGGCACGAGACCAGTCGAAAGGCTAGAGGGACGAGGCACAACTCAACCAGCTCAACCTGGAAGCTACAGCGGCCATGAAGGAGGCAGCTCCAGGACGAGACCCTTCCCCATTCGCGCCGGTTCAGAGCGTAAAAGACGGTTGACTAATACTGGCGAGGATGCGAGGTCACAATGGGGACGATCCGGAGGCACGGCTGGACCGGCCCGAGACAATGGGGGATCCTCTAGGAGTATCCTGCCGCATAGATCTGTTTCGATGGTATTGCCTTCGTCCCGCACCAGGACTTCTATTTCCGCAGCACCTGGCTCGTCAGTTGCAACAGCAATTGACATCTCTTCCTCTCCACCAGGGGCGCCTCGTGCTTCTACTTCTGGCGAACAAGTGCCGGGGCTCTCTCGACGGGAGAACCCAATACCCTGGGTTGATCACTCCCGCTCCATTACACCTCTTCCCAATCATATACCCCCACCACTTACGGACATGGCTCTCCCGAAATGGCAGGCAGATTCGGATGTGTCAGAATGTCCGATCTGTGGGATAGTCTTCAGCTTCTGGCATAGAAAGCACCATTGTCGAAAGTGTGGGAGAGTTGTATGTGCATCATGTTCCCCACATCGGATCACGATTCCCAGACAGTATATTGTCCGCCCTCCTGAGTTTGTTGACTTACTTCCCGATTCCCCGGCAATGCCTTCCCACCCTCCACCGGTCGTCGATCTCACAGGCGACGACCCTGTTCTATCATCACCACCATCAACATCAGCAACAGCAACAGCAACGGCAACGACACTCAATCCTGCTCTTGGTGGAGGTGAAGAAGTACGACTTTGCAATCCCTGTGTGCCAGATCCAAACCCGAACCCCCTTGGCTACAGTGCCGTGCGGGCACAAAGCCATCGACCTACTCATTCCCTTTCATCTACTATGGCCAACACATACAATGCCTCATCGGTTAGTTCTCTCCTATCACACTACCCAATACTTATGAACTGACATGAATGCGCCAGGGTCCAAGCCATAATTCCGAAGCTCGTCAGGAACGACGGACCGTGGGCGCAAATGACCGGCCACAGTTCTTGAGCGGACTAAATTCGCAACCCGGTCTAGTTCCCTCGGCCATTGGCATAGCCCGACCACGTCGTTCATTTTCCAGTCGCGAGGGGAATCCGCCCCGCAGGCCTGCACCGGACGAGGGTGATTTCTGCCCCGTATGCAGACGTCAATTTCTTCCACTTAGTCACGAGCAGCCTCTTGAGGCGCGCCAAGCTCACACCCGCGCGTGCATCGAGGGTTATTTGAGACCGACTGCCTCGCCCCGGGCATCGCCTGTGCAACAGGGTCCTCCGCTGCCGCATCCTCCGCCGGCAGCCCGCATGCTTCCATTTGTGGCTACGGAGAAGGACTGCCTTGGTGAGGATGGCCAGGCAGCAGAGTGCACGATCTGTATGGAGGACTACGAGGTTGGGCAGACACTGGCCCGTCTTGAATGCCTATGTAAGTTCCATAAGCACTGCATTGTTGATTGGTTTGAGAGGAAGATGGAGTGCCCCGTCCACAAGCTTTCGTAATAAGGGGCACACCTATTTAGTGTGAATTTCGAGAGATCTTTTTGTTGGTTTAGCTTAGCTTTTTGCTTTTTCCACCTTTTTGGTTCTTGGCGTCTGGGAATTTTGTTTCTGATATCCCCCGCTCAGCATACGGACCTCGATTGAGATCCAATGATCAACGAATCTAATCAAATCTCAACATAAAAGTCAATTAGATGTGGATGTACGGAGTAGATGCCGACGGATATATGGTAAGATTATGGTCACGTGGCCCCTAAGATGTCAGTTGGAACTCAAAAATCAAAAAGCACTTCACTTCACTTCTGGCCCCAAAGTGACGAGTCAAACAGGACTAAGTGATATATATTCTACAAGATAGAGAGAGAGAGAGAGGTAAGCATTATTTATACTTGTATCCACTCCCCTTCCAAGACAGAACCAACCCCGCAGAGGCATGTTGATCCTCCACACATCGGTGATCGGTGTTTGTGATCACCGTTCTCCGTGTATTTCTCCTATCGCAAAGCCACACGAGCTGTGAGCGATCACGACATTGAAACAATGGCAAAAACCAATAATTACACTAACTGTGAATTGACGCTAATGTGTAACAGCGATCTGGTCGTCAAACTGGTATTACAACGCCCCGCACTGAATGGAAATCGACCCGCAGCTGCAACACACCCGCGACGGGGACTCTGAACGGCCCTTTTACACGCCGACCCGACCGACAATGAGCACAGGCCCGGAATACCCGGAGCCACCTTCCCACGCACCCCTAAACTACCAAAGCCGGGATATACATAGTGATGGGCACGGGCATGGGCACAGGCATGGACATGGGGACACGCACCCATCATTCGGGATGGGCCCAGACAGCAACAAATCCCCCGAGCCGCATGACGGACTAGGCGACGCCAAACGGTCGCGGGCGTGCGAGCCCTGCCGACAGCTGAAAGTGCGCTGCGACCCTGATCCGGCGCACCCGGAGGGGTCATGCAAACGGTGCGCGAAAGCGCGGCGGACGTGCGTTGTGACTGCGCCGACGCGCAAGCGACAGAAAAAAACCGACAGCCGGGTTGCGGAGTTGGAGCGGAAAATTGATGCTCTGACGGCGACGCTGCAGGCGTCGAATTCAACTGGTGCGCTGTTCTCTGGTGGGGCGGGACGTCAACCGTCGCCGACCGGACAGCGGAATGAGCAGCCGGCTGGTCGGAGGTGGATGGGTGGGGAGTCGAAGATAGCCGGGAGCAAACGGCAGCATGGCGGCGAAGTTAAGGATTGTTCTGGTGGGTTGCTAGCGCCGCGGTATTCGCGGCCGGGTAGTCCATCTGCGGAACAGATTCCTAGCTATGCATCGAAGTATTGGCGCAGACCTGTTGGTGGTGATTCTGCGCCGCCGAAATCTGAGGCTGGGAATGAGTTTGCTGATATGATCGACCGAGGGATTATAGATTACACCACTGCCAACACGGCGTTTGAGCGGTATATCTACCAGATGGCACCAGAGATGCCTTTTGTTGTTTTCCCGCCGGGGACTACGATGGGCGAGGTTCGACGCAACAAACCTCATTTGTTCCTTGCGATCATCGCCGCTGCCGTTGGCGTCTTTAGTCCCGACGCACAGCCGATCCTCGTGAATGAGACATATCGTTTGATTGCCGAGCATGTTGTTATCAAAGGCCAAAAGTCACTTGAGCTGGTTCAGACTATCATGGTCTGTTCTATCTGGTATTTGCCACCAGATAACTTCGACGAGATCAAGTTCTATTCTTTGACGCATATGGCTTCGGTCATGGCAATGGAACTTGGATTGAACCGTCCCACGTCTGGAGATCGACGGAGTTTCAATATGATCCGCGAGCTGATCATGAAAAAGCCAACGGGTCCCGCATTTGATCCGGATGGACCGGAGGCAAGGCGGACTTGGGTTGGCTGTTATTACTTACCTGTCCAGTGAGTTTCAAAATCTGGGTTGTTCTGGCGTGGGAACCGGTAACTAACCTTTGACAGGATGTCAGCGGCTCTGAGGAGAGTACACTTGGTCACCTGGCAGCCGTACATGGACGAATGCCTTGAAATTCTCGAAAACCACCCGGATGCCCTACCCTCCGACCGGAAATTGAAATGGTGGGCAAAGCTGGGGTCGATAATGGAGGATGCTGGACATCGCTTTTCTGTGGATGATCCTGGGTCCATTGCTACCTTCGCGGACAGTAAGGCGTGGTATAATATAAGATTACTTGAGGATCGATTGGCACAGTGGAGAGAAGAGGTCCCACGGGAACTTTACACTGGTAAGCGCTGGTCTTGAGAATAGCCCTTAATCTTCTGGCTAACATTCCTCCAGGGCCAATGGTTCACACAGAAAGTGTCTTGAATCTCTTCGTGCATGAATCCGCAATGAGTGTGGACTACAAAACTGGCAGCAATGCTCCATCCCAGAATGAGTTGCACACGGCATCGATTGCGGCGGTTATGGATGCGTTGACTACGGCCATCCGCTGCATTCACGAGAGTTTGGATATCATTTGCGCCGTTGAGGTTGACCGACTTATATCCTTGCCTACGACGTCATTAGCGCGGACGACGTATCCCGTGGTCAGTTTGATAAAGATATATTCACTGTTCATGTCACCGGACAGTCGAATCGGGCAGATTCTCGACGTGCAGAGTCTCAAATTGGATTACTATCTAGACAAAGTCATCGCACATTACCGTGCCGCCGCCGCGCGTGACGGTGGCCGTGGAGCAGCGAAATTTGGGAACATCATGGTGCTGTTACGCAATTGGTTTATCAAAAAGCGTGACCAGGGAGATCATGGCCGGGAATTGAATGAGGTCTTTTCAAACGATCAGAAACCCTCCGGTCGCCGGCAGGCACATCGGGCCCATGATACCCCGATTGCGGCATCTGCCAATCCAAGAACGCATATGGCATCGGGCATGACACCCCTCCATTTCCTCAGCGAAGTGGCCATGGGCGACCCAGCGCACCGAGCGAACAATCCGAATCCCCAACGTTCAATCACCGTACAAAGTTATCCCTCGAGCCACAGTCCCAGCTCAACAGTCAACCCAATAACAACGCCAGGCACTTCCAGTTTCGGGCCAGACCCACCCCAACCCAGCTGGTCTGGCGCATCATACTCAACCAGTTCAGACAACCAGATGGAGTCAAGGGATTACTACCAACCCTATCCATCTACCGAACTCACGCAGGAGTACCCAGATCTACCATCGAGTGCGCAGACTCAGGGATACCCGGACATGCCCACCGGGGCTGGGATGCAACTTGCTCCTCCGATGGGAATGGCACTTGATGTAGGCATGGATCCGAATGGCAATGATCCTTGGTTTACGTTGGGGAATATGATGGACGAGGGACTGTTTACGCTCCCGCTTTCTTTTGATGGGAATCTCGGATTGTTTTAAGAGCCAGTCTAGCCTGCGTTGTGGTTTAGTTGGGTGTTTTATCTTCTCCTCTATTGTTCTATTATACCCGTTGCTATTTTACATGTATACCAACTTTACTCATCTTGCAAAATGTATTATGTCCGCAAATAAAAATATGAAAAATAATTGGACACTTGGAGAGAAGCCGTGCCTTTTCGCATTCAGGTGTCGTAGCCAAGGCAAACCACGAACCACCATGGATGTCAATTGATCATGAGTACAATACCATGAGCTCATAAAGATAGCTTATTGCTCTAGTCCATACATATATCCCAAACCTATGCATCTATGCATCTATGTTTGATATGTGTTGTATTTGATCGGCAATGGACTTTGCTTCCCCCGCATTTTCGGGGAATGTTTCCCGATTTCGAGATATTTGGTGGAGGGAAATTTACCCCGTCTCTGAACGCAGAAGACAACAAATCAGAATTGATTATTGGATGCTTGGATCTGCAGTTTGGACCTTGATGCTGTCAATATAGGGAACCAAACATGTCATTCCCTTCGGGTATATTTGCTCCCAATCCACAAGGCAAGTCGAGATGGAGGGTACGAAGACACATGGATGATATATAAATCAGCGCCATCCTGCGTGTCAACACCCCAAGCATTTTCACTTTCTCAAATCTCTTTCGCTCGAGACGAACTAATTCGGACAAAGACTTGTTGCTTCTAGACCGTGGCATTCCACTGCTTTGCACAGTCTATAATCCCCGTTCAACCTCCTATCATCTTCCCACACACCATGATCACTATATTGACAGCCATCTCGGCTGCACCCTATGCAGCTGGGCTAGGCTTGTTCCTTCTTGGATATTTCCTCGTCTTCCCTTATATTGAATATCTTCGGGATCCAAAAGGTATTTCCAATGCTTTGCTTGAACATATTAGGACAACTACTGACTAATTCATGCAGGCCTGAGGAGATACCCAAATCTCACCCCCTTCTCCGGGTTCTCAGCAGTTCCATTCATGATCATGGCTTCACGGGGTTTCCGGTCAATGGAATTGACTGAGTTGCACAAGAAGAACCCCGTCATTCGAACAGGGCCAAACCAGCTGTCTTATGGTCATGTCAAGGCCATAAAAGACATCTATGGCCACAGCACCAAGTGTACCAAGGATGAATCTTATGTGATCACCTCTGGAACCCACTACAATCTAGCAGATGTTGTGGATAAGCCTGACCATGCCCGAAAGCGCAAGGTCCTCTCTGCCGCATATGCCCTCAAGAACCTCGAGACGTGGGAATACAAAGTGACCGACAAGGTGCAAAGGATGTTCAAGCATTTTGATCAAGTCTGCACCGCACCCGCCTCTGCGGATGTGTCATCTGGAAAAGTCGCACCAGACCAGAAGGACCTCACGCTTGACCTCCGAGCGTGGACCAACTTCTTCACCCTTGATGCAATTGCCGACATTGGTCTCTCGGAGAAACTGGGCTTCTTGGATTCCGGTACTGATGTCTGCATTGCCGAAAGGAAAGATGGTTCTACTTACGAGACCAACTTGCGCGAAGCCCTCTACCCAACCGCTCGAAAGCAATCTCTCATCGTCTGGAACTACCAATGGTACCCCGTTGTCAACAAACTAGTCAACGTGATTCCATTCTTTAAGCGAATGCAAACCTCCGCGGACAACTGGGAAAACATCATGTGGCGCCGGGGCAGTGAAAGACTACGACGGTATGAAGCCGGCGAAAAGCTGGAGGACTTCTTCCAGGCTCTGATGGAAGACAAGAACGGAAATGCCAATAACCTCGAATGGGGCGAGGTGGTTGCCGAGTGCAACATCATGATGAACGCCGGCAGTGTGACGACGGCCGTTGCCATCGCCAACGTGATGTACCAGCTCCTCCGCAACCCCCGAACGCTATCTAAGCTCCGGTCGGAGCTTGACGCGATTCTGGACGAAGACGAGGTTGTGGCCGATTACGACAAAGTCAAACATCTACCCTATCTCCGAGCATGCTTAGATGAATCTCTACGCATCTTCCCACCGACATCCCACGGTCTCCCGCGCGAAACACCCGCCGAAGGCACGAATATTCTCGGGGAATGGGTAGCCGGTAAGACAACAGTGAGCATGTCTGCTCTCGTGGCACACCGAGACGAGAGCGTATTCCCGAATGCAGACGAGTATATCCCCGAACGCTGGCTCGGAGAAGAAGGTAAGGCATTGCAGCCGTACTTGATTGCATTCTCTGCTGGTGCTCGGTCTTGTATTGGTCGCAATATCTCGTATCTGGAGCAGACTAAGGCTGTTGCTTCCATGGTTCATCGGTATGATTTTGCTCTTGCTCATCCTGGTTGGGAATTGAAGCGGTTGGAGACGATGAATTTGATTTTGGGGGATATGCCGGTGAAAATTTGGCGTCGGGATTTGGGGGGCTGAAGCATAGAGATGATCATGAAATTTATATTTTTTTTACTAGACCTTGTTTGATGAATACATTTCCTATATGAAGAATCTTACAACTATTTGTACGGGAAGTGATCCGCGGAGTGCAGCACCAATGCTCGCGCCGCTTCCGCATCGTTATTAGATACCTTTAGATACCCCCCGGCCATACAATCGGCTCCGAGGTCCCAATTTTGTCTACTGCTCCCATAGGAAGTAGTCGACTGGCATTGACCCGTTCAACGATCCAATCATTTGAACCGATGGCTGAACTGTTCGGCCCGCAGGGTACTAATTTATATAAGGTGGACCCGATAACACATGTTCGAAAGCCCGAGATTTACCCTCAACGGTTTGCTTAGTGGAAATTTGGTCAATCAGGGACTGCAAGCGTTTCCACGTGTCTGAAAGGATCGTCACTCGAGGTTGTATCACTGAATCCTTCCAATGTAGGCCCACCAAGTTCTGTCCATCACCCGTACTTTGTATCTATGGGTGATTGTTGGATAGCGCTTTATTCAAGTGAGCAGAACTGTCAGAACGGAGTTGACGAGAACCAACGTTATGCAAATAGAGCATGTGACGTGCAAGTACCATAGTTTGTTTCCATTTGTTTCCACTTTCAACTCTTTTATTTCCAATTCACCTTTCTTCTACTTTCTAACCTTCTCGTTTATTTCGTACTTTTATCTCTCATCGAATTAATCATGGACGACGACGACCACGTCCTACGCTCATGGTTCCCTAAGGGGCTAGATCCAGGCGACAAGGTCACCCTCGACATACCCACGTCGGAATGGGTAATCGACAGACTAGTCAATAAGCACAGCTACCAATGCGCAGACCGGTCTCTCGACTCTTACGCATGTGTTCTGTTCGAATGCCATAATGCTGCAGATAGACAACGGGCTTTTATGCGCGTTTACGCCCAAGTTCCACACACTTGTTATGAGGATGCGGACCGAGCTACCCGCGCCCGAGAAGCGACTGAATTCACACCTCCCGAGCTAAAGGCATATAAGTTTCTTAAAGAAAAACGCTCGCAAAATACACCTCTACTTCTAGCATATAAGCAAGGTTCTCAGGATAGTAACTCAGGGGCAGTTCCTAGAGGACATCTTACATGGATTGTATGGGAGAAGGTCCCCGGAGAACACCTAGGAGATTTTAAATCCGCTTTTTTGTACTGGGATATGAACAGTGAGGAACGAAAGCGTATCCGTGAGGTCTTCCTTCGAGAGTTTCCGTGAGTCGAACACCTTTCAATTGCCGAAGATAATGCTAATGTGGAATCACTATTATTAGGAAGGCCAAGAACATGGGGTATTTCCCTGAAAGGGCTAGGCCTCGTAATCTAGTCTGGGATTCGAATACCGGTGCTTTGTATTTTGTTGGTTTCCGGGATGCAGAGCGATTCGAGGCTAAAGGCACTTTCGGCGAAGAATGGTTGCCACGTTTTGATCTTGCCAGGCCCCCTCGACCTTACAGATGGGACAAAGATTACAATGGTGATATCTCGAACTGGAAAATCTGATTTGATCATTGCTTCATGTAATTGTCTTAACTCATTACTAACAGAAACGAAGGGCAGGGGGGGAAGGGGGGTGCGAGGAGAGTGGACAATATGACATATTTGCTGTCGAGCACTGGGACAGGGAGTAGAGGAAGCTCAAGGAGTACACTATGTAGCTACATACTCTTAATCACACTCCTGGCAAACAATCCCAACAATTACTCTAGTCTAAGTCTTCTCCTCCCGTCTACCAATCTCTCAGCCTTCTCTTCTTTTCTATCTATCAGCTCCTTAGCCTTCCTTCACTTCCTGTTCAACAATCTGGCTCTCGGCCTTCTCATCTGATTGCTTCTCAGCTTGTAAGATCCTACCACTCGAACAAAGTATTACTGAGACTAATATATCCATCTCATTAGGCCATCACGTTTATTGACCAACACACTCGAATCGAGAAAGCAATGGCTCATATCATCACTCTAGCTGCCCGAGAACTTCTCCTCGTGACGCCCCCCCTCTCCGGGTAGGGCCCAACCATACTAACAGCAGCGCGATCCATAAGGTCGATTTGGTTGGCAGATTGATACCGTGGCCCAACTTCGAACGGGAGGTCATTGCCGTCTCCTCCTCGTCAAACTCAGCTACTTTAGATCAATGATACCCTCGTTGTGACTATTATTGGCCAAGGACCATACAACTAACTCCCTTAATGAGAATGAGCCTATCTCGCCGGATTATGTTTGGGATTATTATGAGATTTGGGGTTGCTAAATGACTCCTACTCAGAGTCCAATCTCATGCTGTGAGATTTGGTATGTTATTTGGGGGGTTTCGTGTTTTCTTACGTTGTCTCTTGTCAACTATAGCGAAGCAGTTAGTCTCACATTGAATTGATCAGCTCGCTCAGGAATCAGGATAGAGGGTGCCATTTTCCAGCAGTGAATATAGTATTTAGATCGTTAGCTGTGAGTGCCTGGAAGTGAATATAACCCGTTACTTCAAGTGTAATCAATAAATGGAGGATATAAAATATGACTCGGAAGGAGTAAATGCAACTGATCGAAGGTAGTCCCAACGTGTTTGATTACATAAGAGCTTTGATGTGACTTGGTGATATCCATGGATATATTTGTTAGGGATACCATATTCTTGGGCTCATTGATCTTCTTTTTCGACGAGAGATATCATTCTCTCCCGTCAGCTTAGGACTAAGTCTGCAATGAAGACTATAAGGTCGCTGAGTTCTTGTTTCTCTACCTTACTTCGCAAGAAACCGTTCCCCATGCCTTCTCCCGGGCCACCTTTACCCCCTGGCATACTCATTGATGAAGAGATCTCGCCAGTATACGATTCCAAGCACTTCTACCCAGTGAAGCCTGGAGAGGTACTCGCCGATCGTTACCAAACCTTGGTCAAGGTTGGTTGGGGCGTGTCTTCAACAGTATGGCTCGCACGTGATTTGCAAGGGTAGGCTTCAATCACTTTCTCAATCCGAAGCTCTCTCTCTTCTCTAACAAATATACAGACATATCGAAACGCCCGAGAAGGTCGTGGTGTTGAAAATTGCCAATAATAATACGCGTTCCGCTAGTCATGAGCGCGAAGTTGAAGAGCATATTTCCACAGCAGACCCATCACATCGCGGTCGCTCACTTATCCGAACATCACTAGACTCCTTTGAAGCTAAAGGTCCAGAAGGTTCTCATTCGTGTCTTGTGTATCCGCCTATGAGAGAGCCACTGTTGATATATCAGTCGCGCTTTGAGGATAGAAAGATGCCACTGCCTCTTATCAAAACATACATTCGGGCTCTTCTCACGGGGCTTGATTATCTACACAGAGAATGCAGGACAGTTCATACAGGTTAGTTCATCTTCGGCCTTGCTTCCCATCGGCAATACTGAACCCAGGTGCTGCCTAGATCTAAAGCTTGAGAACATCATGGTGTCATGCGAAGATCCAGCCGTGCTTGCTGATTTCATAGATTCTCAGCTTGAAAAGCCGATGGCTTTCAAGATTGATTCAGCGGGACGGCCAGTGTATCAGTCCCGTAATGACTTCGGACCACTTAAAAGCCTAAGAAGTATACCCCAGCTTGTCGACTTCGGCTTGGCGACCAGACTGGCAGAAGACGACGACTGGGGCGTTTGGCCCATTCAGCCAGACCACTACCGGGCGCCAGAGGTGATATTGGGTATTGGATGGCAAATGTCTGTGGATATCTGGAATCTTGGTGTTCTGGTACGTCCCGTTGTTCTCCAGCGTTGTTGCATCTAGTAATTCCAGACCAGTTGTGGGATATGATCGAAGGCAAAGAGTTATTTCAGCATATTCATGATCAAGAAGGTCGCTACGATGCTAAACTACACATCGCTGAAATGATCGCCTTACTCGGCCCACCCCCTCCAGCGATCATACAAAGGTATCAAGACATGCGAGAGTACTCGTGGCCGCAACATGTCGGACGAGAAGACGGCAGAGTATGCGAGACCGCGGAGGAGTACTTCTGTGGGCCATTTTTTGACAATAATGGTATTATTAAGTTTCCGATCTCGAATGAATTATTCTCAAACTCACGAAACATCATAGGTTGCTTCCTCTACGAAGACCTTATCCCGGACCGCAAACTAGATGCCACGGCTTCCTTTCTTGGGGATGAGGAGAGGGAAGCGTTTTTGGATTTGGCCAAGGGAATGCTTACCTGGCATCCATATGCGCGAAAGAGAGCAGGCGAACTGGCGGGGCATCCTTTTCTTCAACCAAGGGAAACAAGCACCTGATTTCTGCGAGGGTTTACGAGCAGAATGACTCGACTTGGTGGTCGATCCCAGTTCGGCAATACCATGAGGGGCATATTCTAAAGATTGCTACCGATGCGGGTGGTATATATCATTGTGTTTTCTTGATATGTCGAACTAGGAATATGGCCACCCTAGGCCCTAAACGGTGAAGCTTGGTTCGTGTTAGTATACATAATAAATGGCCTTGCATTGATGAATGGGTGCTAAGTGGGAGTGCTAATGGTGAAATCACCATGCTTTACGTTTTTGGATATCTCCCCCTTATTGGTGTAGCTAGAATATAGGTGGAACAACTTTCTTCGCACTCCAAGCTGAAGAGCTAAAGTGACGAGAAAGGATATAATCCCCCGCCTTAGCTTGGAGGGGTAGACTTTCGGGCAATACTCCCACTTCGGGATCTTCTCGTTAGGGTTATGATGTTCATCCCAAAGTGGATTGCCCCGCGATATTCTCCCCCGCAATTTTCAGCTGAATTCTCGTCGGATTAGCCATTGTTTCTTATTGTCTGTCCACGTGGATCTGACCAGCTGCGGCGAATATAGCCTGATTCGTTATATCTTCACCTACATCCAAGTTGTGCACTTTTGCCCGGGATCCATGTTCCATATTGAGAATTAGACATCTTAGACATAATCATTATTTGGTTTTAAAAACCTATTTCATGGCCATGATTCCCCGAGTCCCCAACCTGACTCGTTTAATACATCTACTATAAAAAGCCGGGTGTTCCCTCTGTGCATAATTGATATCCCCCTCACAATATCCACAAGCCTGTCCTCGACCATGGCGACTTTCCCACTAAATATCCCACCAGAGCTCTTGCAAGAGCTCTCAAAATACACCACACCTACCGGATTAGCCGATTATGCCACCCTAGCCCTGTTAGGTGGAATTGGAGCCACATACATTACGAAAGGACGATTATGGGACAAACCAGATCCATTACACCATCTCTGGTACGAACAACCTCAGCTAAAGAATGGCGGACAAGCTGGATCAGCCAACAAGGAGACACGCAACATTGCACAGAAGCTGGAAGAGACAAACAAGAATATAGTGGTTTTCTGGGGATCTCAGTCCGGCACAGCAGAGGGTTTCGCCCACCGTCTTGCAAGGGAGATCTCCATCCGCTGGGGTCAGGAAGCCATGACTGCCGACCTCTCAGACTATGACCCGATCACCATCAGTGAAATTCCCAACACCAAGTTGGCTATTTTTATTGTTTCTACATACGGTGAAGGAGACCCCAGTGACAATACAGCGGAATTTTGGGGCTGGATCTCCAAAGTCACCGATGTCTCGCTGGCCAACTTGCGATATGCTGCCTTCGGTTTGGGAAACACCAACTACAAGTTCTACAACAGAGTTGTCGATTTTATAGTTGAAGGTCTAGACAAATTCGGCGCTCAAACTCTTCTTCCTGTTGGGAAGGCAAATGATGCAGAGGGAGCAACCGAGGAAGACTTCATGTCATGGAAAGAGGATCTTTTCACGGTCTTCAAAGACAAGTTGGGATTCCAAGAGGCGGAAGCCAAATACATCCCGAGCTTGAAAGTCGAGGAAGACGAATCCCTTGAGCCTATCGATCTGCATCACGGTGAGCCCAACAACCGTGTGGAAGCTCCAAAGGCAGCGGCCCAATCCTCAGCTATCCGTACTTTGAGCATTTCGGACTCTAGGGAACTCTTCACCTCATCCAACCGCAACTGTCTACACATGGACATAGACCTAACCAGTCAGCCAGAGCTGAGCTACAAGACCGGTGACCACCTTGCTATCTGGCCCGGAAATCCGGATATTGAAGTTGAACGGCTACTCGATGTCCTGGGAATATCCTCGCGCCGCGATATCCCACTTGGTATCACGGCACTCGACTCGGCAACCAAAATCACGATCCTAACCCCGACCAGCTCCATTGCCATTTTCCGTTACTACCTGGAGATCTGCGCACCCGTCAACCGCGATACCGTTCGCGACCTGGCACAGTTCGCACCGACCCCAGAAGCAAAGGCCTACCTTCTCGCACTTGGCCAAGACAAGGATGCATACGGCAGATTTATCAGCCAAACACATATCAACCTGGGTCGACTATTGCAACTGGCGTGCCCGGACAAACCCTGGGATAATCTTCCACTCTCATACCTTGTCGAAACACTACCTCACATCCGACCGCGATTCTATTCCATCTCATCCAGCAGCGTAGTCTCGCCCCGCAAACCATCCATCACAGCGATCGTATCAACAACACCACTCACAGAGAACCCCAACGAGCTCATCCACGGCGTGACGTCCAATTACCTTCTCGCCATCTCCCAGCAAGCCCGCTCCCAATCCCACCCCAGTGGAATCACTTACCATCTAAACGGTCCGGGTGACGCACTCCAAGGCGGAAAGGTCTTCGCTCATATCCGACGAAGCAAATTCAAACTCCCAGCTCTTGGTAAGACGCCGTTGGTTATGGTCGGTGCTGGAACGGGGATCGCGCCTTTCCGGGCATTCTTATCGGAGCGGTGTCAACTTCTGAAGATGGGCAAGGAAGTTGGCGAAATGATTCTCTTCTTTGGATGTCGGAATCCGAATGAAGATTACATCTATCGCGAGGAATTGGAAGAAATGCAAGCGGTGTTGAGGGATCGGTTGCGTATTGTGACTGCTTTCTCTCGGTTGGAGGGGACGCCTCGTCGGTATGTGCAGGACCGGGTTGGCGAGTTTGGGGAAGATGTGATTCGGGTTATTGATGAGGGTGGTAATATCTATGTCTGTGGACGGGCTGGTATGGCTCGTGAAGTTGAGAAGGTTGTTGGACAGAGTATGAAGGGGGCTAAGGGGTGGAGTGGTGATGAAGTGAATGGTTGGAGTAAGACGATTAAGAAGAAGAATAAGTGGCAGGAGGATGTTTGGGGATAGGGTTTACATCTACGCTGTTTAGTCTAGTGAAGATAATGGCAAGTTACTTTCTCTACTGATGTGATATACTGAGTATACAGGTAGTTACAGCTACCTAAGTGACTAGCTATACAACCAAAGAGGAGTGAGTAAACACCCCCCATGTATTCCGTGGGACTCGACAAGTGAGCTATGATGCCCAAATGCGTAGCGACTTGTTGGAGAACACTCACGAGAAAGACTCGTTTTATTTGGGTGCGGATCTGCGTGGGCCTCAACGATGTTGATGTCTCATGCATAGGCACCCGGGTTGCTACGGGACCCTTATCTCATGGGGGCTACGGTGAGATGATGGTCGAGAGGAGAAGGCTGGAAGAAGAAGAGAAGAGAAGAAGAAGAGGAAAAAAGGTGGGAGGGGTCCTTTTATATGGTCACATCCCAGGTGCCTTCCTAAAATGGACACTCTCCAACGCACCTTCTTTCATAGTCCCATGTCACATGTCACCAACATCACCTAAAAATACAAAGAGACCACCTACAAACACTTCCAAGATTATATCAACTTAGATCAACATCTCATTGGAATCTATATGATCTTCTCGGATAATTCCATTCTCCGCAGTTCCGTAGCCACGATTTGAACAGCTTCGCAATCCAGATCCACTATACATCTCACGTCCCAAAACAGGACAATAATATCCAAGAACATATCACTCTCTTAGCCTGCAGTCATTAATTTGACCTGCCTGCAGTGATAATGGCCGCTCACGACCCCAACCGCGTCGCGAGCATCATGCTCTCAAAGCACTCACTCGACCTCGTCTCATGCACCAAGCTACAGACTCTATGGGCTGGCTACGGTCAAATATGCGCCCTCACAGCGCGAGCAACCACCGCCAAAGCAGCCGAACATCTCAGCAATCTGTACGGTGTAGAACCAGGGATTGCGGGGACGACATACCCACTCATCCTGAAGCTCATCTCACCGCCCCGAAAAAGCGGCAACACTGCAGACGAGGGCCACCTACGAAAAATGCTGAGCTACGAGGTAGAGCAGTACTTCTATAGCGAGGTAGTCCCGCGACTGGGCGATGACATAGGTATCGCGCAATGCCTTGCCTCGACGCGCGACATGGACGACGCGGAAGGGTCATCAGAGCTAAAAGGTCTCATGGCTACGATTATGATTGATCTGCGTCCTGGATTCCCTGTCGCGGGCGAGAAAAGGGGCGCGCTGAATCGCGCACAGGTGCGCGCGGCGCTGGACTGGTTAGCTGGTTTTCACAGTCGCTCGCGGGGACTGCTGCCAGCTAGTCTTGATGGATATGTTCTACCGCCGCTTGAAGAAAGCAATAGAAGACATAGCTCAGGCAAGGATGTTGGCAATGGGTTGTGGCTTAATGGGGGATATACGTATCTCGCGACACGGGGGAAAGAGTATGCTTCTCTTGCGCGGGACACGGACTCGGAGTGGTCAGATGTTCTATGTCGGGTCTCGGAAGGAAACTCGCTGTCCGTGGCGGAAATGGTTGCGTTATTCTTAACGCCGTGTGGAAGGGCGATTGAGTCTTATATCCATGGCGATGTCAAGTCGGAGAATCTGTTCACGACGGCTGATGGAGACAATGTGGCGTTCTTTGATTTCCAGTACGTCGGGCTCGGTTTGGGGGTCTGTGATCTTGCCAAATTGTTTACCTGCTCGGTCCCTCTACATATGCTGGTTGATGGCAATGGAAGTGTGCCCGGGCAGCTGTCGATGTGTGATGGTGAGAGGGGACTGTTGGAGCGGTATCGTATGAGTCTCCTCCAGGATGAGGAGTCGGAGGAACCGGAACTATATGAATGGGAAGCATTCAAACGACACTGGGAGACGGCTTTGGTTGACTGGTGTAGATTCCAGGCTTCGTGGGGATTTTGGGGGAATACAGAGTGGCTTGAGGCTCGTGTAAGATCTATCGTGAATGACCAGGAGTGGAGGGATTGGCTGTATCAGAATATCCAGAGTCGGATATAGGATCATTATGTATAGATTAAAAAAGAATAGACTGTTACTATCACTTCAACTACAGCTTTTAACAAATTATAAAGTCACTGCACTTAGTGTATAGTTTGCGTGGCTGCTACCTCTGAATACAGAGATAAGTAAGTAGTCAGATCAGATTTGTGTAGCTGCCTGAGCCTCACAGCACGATCGGCACCCAAGAAGGGCCATTCTAATTGGTCTATATCATGGTATATGCAAAGAAACTGGGTATATAACTACATCGGCCTCCACGCTTGCACAACTTGGTTGCGCACAAATCCCCACGGCCAGCCGTTTTCCCTTTCCGTTCGGCGAAGGAGATCAATCAGCAAACCCTGTACAACATGGTCTTCCACCCATAAGCCGCCTGTGTTCATATTTAGTAAAGTAAACTCTCAACCATCAAATTTGAAGAAAACCTACAAGCAAAAAGAGCGTGGCAAGCCGTGATACGCAGCGAAGGATCGTCGTCGGCAGATATGGCGATTCCGAACATATAATTAAGTGTTTCGGCAAGATCATTCTGTCGGGGTCAGTAGGGAACGAGATGTGTTGGAGAAAAGAAACGAACCCTTAATTTGACAGGCTGTTCTAAATTCAACATGCTCCGATCATAAAACTCGAGTTCGCGAATGAGCATCAGCGATTTAGTGAGACAGATGTGTTGAATCGCAGTAGCTAAACAACCGTAATCAGTATATTATCACCCCCCCTCCCCACACACGGGGATATGTCACATACCATGCCACAAGCTCGTATACCAAGCTACAGGGAAAGGCTTCCCGTTCCCAGGATCCGGCGGCGAAACATGCAATGGCACAAAGGTATCAGGGCGACCAAGCTCCCACTCCAGAATGCGATGTCTGAGGGCCGTCTCCCCCGGACTTCCGAGTCTACCATCATGGCTTCGGCCGGAGATATTATAACAAAAATCGATAGTCTCGGCCAAGAGCCAAATGGCCCTGTTTGTCCAGTCTCCGTCGTTCAGAGCGGGTTTAGCGGCCCACCATCGTCGCAGACGGTCATCGAATGGGGCAAATGTTAAGCGAAGGCATTTCTGATAGGTGAGGGCGAATTGAATATCTTGAATGACGTATGCCCAGAAGGAAGCTGACGCTAGTCCGCCGGAGATAGCGGAGTCGATGTGGGAGCTGATATACACCGAACCGGCCAGGAGATGATGTTGTTGGTCGTTTGGGGGACTATGGGCTGTTTTCGTGGATTAGCCGGGGGGTAATTCCTTTGCGGTGAAGACAGATTGATGATTGGTTATTCACGCACATGAGATTGATTCGAAAAATCGTAGAATCACTGTTGATGAGAGGAGGATGTCGATTCCTATTTCGAACTCGGGCTTGTCGAGGACCGGGAGCATGATTGTGATACAGCGCTCATGGTATCCGTGTGCGACGTCGCCGGCGATGGAGTTTGTTGTTCGGGACAGGTGACATGCTGAGACTGCTAGACATGCATACAGTAGTAATGGGGATTGAGTGGCGCGCTCGATGACATCTGTCGAGAAGTGTCGTTCAGGGTTGAATGCGTCGAGCTGGGGTTCTTAGTTAAAGGATGGAGAATGTTGATCAAAAGGTCAACTTACCCAGGGCGCTAGGTACTTTTGAAAATGCCGCAATAGAAAGGCTTCGGTGACATTTGATAGTCTCGGCTGACCAATGGGCGTGGTAGGTGCACGTGGGGAATTCACCGAATTCGATCTTGACCCCGATTGAGATCCTGCGGCGTAAGCAGGAATGACGAGATTTGGAGTTGTCAAAGAAGAATCCATCGTAGATGGAGGTGTCGAACGTTCAGATGACGACCTTGAAGTTGACAACTGCCTTGGTACAGGTATCACATAGTATTCAGCTGCCGTCTGATCTGTTTCATCCTTGAAGTCGACTATGGAGAAAATTAGTATACAACTAAACACTAAGTGGTCGTTTCACATACAGTCAGAAGATGTTTCAACCCAAATCTGGTCATCCGGAAAAGCAAGATCACTCTCGCCGTATCTCGGGGGCCCCTTTCCACGCAGGGAGGGGTTTTGGCCATGCCGGAAAGAGACCTCTTCAGATTTGCCGGGAGCCGGCACACATTCGCGGCCAGAGCGTTGACAGCGGAGACATTTCGAGCCAGATTTATCACCTATTTATGTTAGTGTGGAAGTGAAGAGATTATAGAATCCATCGACATACATTTCAGATGGCGCAGACGACATGTGAGGCTGAAAAGGCGGGATTAGTCGAGTGTGTCTGTCGAATATAATTCAAAAAAAAAATAAAAAATAACTAACCATCCCCTCATTACGCAGTCAAAAGTACAATCGGAAAAAAAAGAAACCTTCCAGAAAGCATATTCGGACTATCCGAGGATATGTAGATATGTAAATAAAGGCAAGTCACTCAAGTCCGACTATTAAACTCATCCATGGCGATGACCAAACGCCCATACAGAGCCGAAGATGGGGTGGGTACAGAAATAAATTGGCAGATCACTAACGGATTGCGTATCTTTTGTTTTTGGGGTATATCCAGCGGGTACTCTCCGTATATTGGAGATTAGTTCGAGAAGGAAGGGAAGCTAACAGTGGTTGAAATGTAGAATAGTGGGTTTCAAATGTACAAAAATATACAAATATACTGGAAATTAGTTCAAATCTCATAGGGATAACCCGAATTGGAAAACGTCCAATACCCTAGCTCAACACGCCAGGTCTCAAAAGGTTTAACAATTTCCACTATGTTGTATACCAGAGTCTAGGCAAACCTCTGCTGGTTCTGGTTGGATGAACAGCTCCCCCACGTATCCCACTAAAGTTTGATCGAAAGGCTCTGATCGGTTCACCCAACCAGGAAGATCCTGGGACATGTCACTCCTATGGGAGTTCCGGCTTGGATCGGGTTCTCGGCATGGGACTTTGCCGATGTGCGAGTATCTTGGCCGAGACCCCCTTTTTCCTCTTTAGTCTTTCCATTCTCTCTGCAACATAAAGGGGTGTATATGTTTTAAGGAGATTCCTGGTTCATTCCCTGGTTCAGATGAGGATTGTCCGCCAATAGAACGAAATTGGAAACGGGATGGTCTCCATCCACACCGGGAGGTATATCCATTCCGGTTTGTCAGCTCAACTTAAAAGATGTGAAAGGCGTTCAACAAGCTTCGGAACGAAATTAGGAACGAAATTAGCGTTGAAGTTATTCGGGTTTGGGGGTTTCTTTGCCGGTTGGTCTCACCGGGCTTGGGTCAGGAACCCGTGAGAAGAAAAAAACAAAAAAAAAAAAGGTTGCTCGGTCCCCCCAGTGAGGCATATGGGGGCAACATTGATCTTTCATAGGGGACTTTTGTTCATAATTTGCCCCGTGACAATTGTACCGGGAATATACACGTGGATTGGCTTGAATCACCTGGCTTTGTGGGTCAGCTTTCGCCGATGAAAATGAGATTTGGCTTTTTGTTTAATTTCAAAACCATCCAAACCAAGTACAACACGTACTACAATTGTAGTCGAACCCTGTCGATCTTGGTACTTCCCCGAAGTTGTACTCCATAGAATGCCGAAGAGGCGAGACCAGTCCCGATGTTATAGAGTTAAAAATTCGGCATATCCAAACACTAAACAAATGGAGATTTGCATCTGGATATGTGTGGGGGGGAGGGGCGGCACTTTTCGTTATCAGCTGCCTCTTTAGGCCAAATTCTCCGGGGGAACGAAAACCCGAGTGGATTATCCTTCAATTAATAATCAGCAACGTTTCAATCTATGGTTGCAGCGAAGAACGAAAATAATAAATTGTGGGGAAAGGTCGAAGAGAGGAGAGAGAGGACAGAGGAGAAAGGGAAAAGGGGGAAAAGGAGAGGTTGTGATATTGATGCCTATTGATGCCTAGTGATGCCTGAAGCTAAGAACATTTAGAAGCCTTGAATATAAGGCACCTATGCATATCGTGAAGCTCTTCCAACTTCCAAGTTCCTTATCCTGGGAGCTCCTTGCTGGCCACGTAGCTCCTGGAGAGCTTTGAATTATACAGCTTCTCTACTTATTACTATTGTGAACCCCAGTTCCCAGTATCCAATTATAATGCCATAATCATGTCCTTAAACCGCATCTCCTTCCTTGAAGGATGGGAGCGCAACCCCGCAGCCTTTTTCAGCCACCCCGAATCAGAGGATTCGGAGCCGGACTCCTACCAAGATCTGCCCGAAGGATCCATATCATCTTCATTTCCCTCCACATACAGCAGACTGAATTTCAACCCGTATGCGGGGCCAGGCTGGAATGAAAACCCAGAGGATCCACATGACAATCAATCCTCGTTTTTCGGGTCCTCGTTTCTAGGTCTCTCACCGACGACCACCCGCGAAGGAGGTCCGGGTTCGGGTCCAGCACAGGGACTGGGATCTGCGGAGCGGACTGTGCACGAGGATCCAGGGACAGCCGTTGCTCGGACTCCTTGGGCGGATACCACTGGTGCTTATGAAGTAAGCGCTGCTAGGAGGATTGGTAGGTTAATAGAACCAACATTTAACTTCCTTTAAATATATGTTGTACAGGGATATGCTAACTTGTAAAAGCCCAGGTTTGCACAGCAGTTGTATACTGCTTTCTGGCTGCTGGAGTCGTTTTCGGCTTCGCAGCTCTCAAGCCCGTCCTTATTCGAGAGAAAGTGTATCGCAACCTCTGCTCCCAGGCGGAGCTAGAGGAAAATGTCGATGTCTGCTATAGGCAAGAGATTCGGTATGCATTTTCCTAACCCTGGTTCAAGCTCTCTCATACTTACATATACCAGGCTGAACTTGATGTTCACTATCGCCGCTGTAGTAACTAATGTCTCAGCCCTACCCGTAGGAACCATCCTAGACGCGTATGGACCACGAATGAGTGGAATCATTGGCAGTATCTGTCTCGCCATAGGCGCAGTGCTCTTCGGGACAGCTAGCAAGCTTCCATTCGATGGATACATCCCAGGTTACTTATTCCTAGCACTGGGTGGACCATTCGTATTCATTCCGTCCTTCCATCTGTCAAATACCTTCCCCACACGATCGGGCCTGATCCTATCAATGCTGACAGGCGCCTTCGATGCCTCGAGTGCTTTGTTCCTGCTTTTCAGGCTGTTAAGCGAACATACGCATGGCCTGGTATCAATCCACAATTTCTTCGTGGTATATCTCATCGTACCGGTATTCATCATTGCAGCACAGATCTTCATAATGCCCCCAACTTCCTACAAAACCGCCGGCGAGCTCGTGCAACACGCCGCGGAGCAGGTCTCGGACGAGATGCACGATCGCATAGACGACACCGTCAACGACCGCAGCGAGAGCGAGCGCAAGCGCATGAACAGACGACTCCGTCGTCAAAGTATAGTCAGCCACATCCAGGGTCTACTAGAGGACGGCACGTCATCCGTGATGACAGGCACCACGATCAACGGCGCCGTCTTCCACACCAACATCGACACCTCGCTCGATGTGAATACCCCAACCAGGGGAACCAACGGCACTACAACACCGCACTCCCACACGCACCACCAACAACAACAACAACAACAACAAAAACCAACCAGCCCGGACCCCACCCCGGGAGGAATCTGGGGCGTTCTCCACGGCCACAGCGCACTGTACCAACTCCGCACACCATGGTTCGCTCTAATAACAGCCTTCACTGTCCTAATGATGCTACGAATAAACTACTTCGTCGCAACATTGCGATTACAATACACCTACCTACTCTCGGCAGCCGAAGCCGCCCAAATAAACACAACATTCGACATCCTCCTACCGGTCGGCGGACTCATTTCCGTGCCGTTCATCGGCACGTTCCTCGACACATTCCATACGCGCACTGTGTTATTCATCCTCGTGGCGTTGGCGACTACCATCGGCGTGCTGGGTTGTATACCACATCCGAGCGCGGCATATGGGAATATCATTCTATTCGTGGTATACCGACCATTCTATTACACTGCGGTATCGGACTACGCGGCTAAGGTGTTTGGATTTGCGACGTTTGGGAAGGTGTACGGGCTTATTATTTGTCTTGCTGGTGTTGGGAATTTCGCGCAGGCGGGTCTTGATGCGCTTACCTTACGAGTTTGGAGGGGGATCCTGTTCCTGTTAATGTCGGGCTTACGGTTCTTGTTGCTGTGGTTGGCGGTGGGCTTGTTGGGTTTGTTGCTTATCAGACGGGTGTTTTGGATAAGAGGAGGGATGGTGTAGATCACGGCCAAGTTGTCAGGGAGAGGGAGCCGTTGTTGGGGAATGAAGAATCACGGAGAGGGTATGGGGCTTAAGGGTGTAGGTTTATTGACGCGGCGAGTATATGTGTTTAGGTTGTGATTTGCTTGCATTGTGTAGTTATATAAGAATGAACAGGACATGAACATGGATTTCATTGGACAGTTGGTTATGAGAATGATACATTGTAGGGGTATCCCTACAGCTACTACCATTAGACAGACATAGCAAGGAAAGGTGGAATATCCCAGCTTGCAAGTCGGGTGAGAACATTGGAACGTTATGTATTATATATGTAGCTCTAATGGCTCCAATCCAAACAGAGATGTACTATATACGGATGTATACCAAACATCCAAAGGTGACAACAAGACATGAGAAAGCCACATCCTATGTCGGGGGATATTATAATCGAAATGCAGACCCAAAAGCAGATCCATTATATTCAGTGCAATCCAAAAAAAGTAAAAATAAAAAATAAAAAAAATAACACCCTGCCAAAGGTGTGTGGTGTGTGTCGGGTCAGGTGGCAATGTTCGGGTTTCACAGCACGGCGAGTTTAGGCAAGTATATGCAAAACGGATATCCGGCGTGGTCCAAAGTAACGGTGGATATATCTATATATGCCCCATGGCCAAGTTCCAGCATGTTGCTGGTGACTGAGATGGTATGTATCCCAGAGAAAGAAATCCCAATAATTATTTTCCATATATCCATTTTAAATAAAACCGAGGATGACAACGATACTGAGGATGAGGTCCACGGGTAGGGGGGACGGTGGTAGGGGGAGGGGGCAAGGAAGCTGGACTGCGTCACTGCAGCTGACGGCAGCTGACGGCAGATCCGAAGAGGAAGCGGGTGATTCGCGCTTCTGGAAGCTCGGAGAATTTCCCAATGCCTGAATTCGGGCTCATTGGATGGCGTGGCTATACCTACTCGCGTTCTCCTGCCAGAGAGCCTCCGCAGCAGTATCGCAGGCAGCATCGTACCATAACATAGATGCGAGAACTGATTTGATGTTGGCCCATGAGTTCAAACCAGTCTTGTGGGCGATATCTCCTAGAGCAGAGGCGAACCAGGCGCGGTTTGGGGTATCGTTCGCTGCGATACCGCCGAGGGTTAAGACCCAGATTAGAGGGAGACGCGTGGATGAGGAAGTCCATAGGCCTGTGGAGGAAGGTTGGAGGAGGACAGACTTAATAAGGCCCGCCAGAGTACTGAGGGGTGTATTCTGTGCAGGGATTGGGAAGAGCACGCCTACCCCGAAGATTAGCGCCGCTAGACGACAGGCTTCGTAGGTGGCGGCGTGTGTGGGATGGGAGAAGAAGGCATGGAGTTCCGAGCCCGGAGCGAGACAGAGGAGAGTATGTTGGGTCAGGTTCCGCTGGTCGACAAGCAAGGGGACATCATGTGTGACATTCGGGCTCGCTTTGATGATCCCGATATAAGTGTGCACCGCCTGGAAAGCTTCTGCCATTTGGGGGGTGGCACCAATTTCCTGCAAACGGGCGAATCCCTGGTCAACGTCTGATGGACCGAAGCCTAGTAGTTCTTGGATGGACAAGCCTAATCGGTGATCGGCGAGGGGCCAGAATTCAAAGCACGGGTGGATACAGAGGACGCTGCAGCTCATGATATCCGAGCTGTGGGTGGTCAGTATGGGTAGTCAATACGAAGCAAAACAAACAAATAAATAACCGAGACATACAAGGAAATTGTCGCGGCTAGACCATCTGTGTGAATATTTACTAAGCCCCCACGCATTTTGATCAATTGCAACAATCCTTTGATATGGATCATATTCGGTGGCAGACACCCGTAGACATCGATCCATTGTAGTCGCGGGAAAGGTGGATTAAATGGTGTTCTGCGGTGCTGTTGCACCGATTTCTCCTCTGCCTGATGATGAGCCATGCAAATAACACTGAGGAGAACAGCATCGCTGACCGCTCGATCTGGATCGCGAACAGCCTGGTTGATCAACTTGATGGATTCCATTTCACATAGCTGCAGCGCACGACGTTCCCTCGGACCAAATACCGTACCGGGTACCCAGTTATTCTGCCATTGTACACGGAGGTGACACAGTGAACCAAACATGAACGCTGTGAACAAAGCCGGGTCCGCCATGGACAGATCGAACCACTTATCCGCCGTAGCTCTGACATTCCGTGGGCGTGGCGCGAGCCCTGGCCACACCACCCCTGTGAGATAGCGCTCCGACAGATTGATCATTTCTGGCTCGAAGCTCCTCGGAGCGGGGTATGTGGCGAATGGGTCGAATACTCCGGAGAGATTGCGTTCAAGCCGCTCAGGAGAAGAGCGATCATTGAACCGGATGACCGCGAGGGCCTGGGAGGATAACACAGTCACGGAACTCGCATCGTCGCTGCTACTGCTATCGCTGCTATCGCTAGCCTGCGACGGCGGAAACGACGAGTCTCGGTATCCAGCCTGGTTGGGGCGGGAGTCGTTCGCAAAGATGAAGCTTTGGCCGATATTGCTCCCACGATGAGCACTTGAGGGTCGCGAGACGATGCTAAAAGAGGATGGACCGGGACGGACGCGGTCAATGGCGGGTAAGGGGGGAACGACGTTGCGGACAGGTCGGGCGCGTGTATTGGAGGATTCGCCTGCTGATCGGTCCTTTGTTTGATCTGAAATCCACCGTCCAACGTGTGCACGCACCTGACGCTGGGCATTCAATCGTTCGGTCTCAGATGCAGGTCTGGCATTGACGAAATGGATGCCATCCTTCTTCGGGGCAGGTTGTTTCTTTCTTGATGCCATCTCAGATCATATCACCAGCTCGGTAAGCGGTGAGAGATGTATGTGATAGCTTGATCATGCATGATCTTTCCGAAGAGGAGAGGTTTGTAACAGAGTTTTGAACAAGATATTGGAGGTATTGATATTAACAAGCCTTTATATGGATCATCCCATTTCTGACATCTGATATTTCTTTTTTTTTTTCTTTGGTTTGACAGCTCTGAAGGTATTGGAGTGGAGGGGGGAGGGGAGGGTAAAGAAGGAAGAAGCTCGGAACCCCCCGTGACCGCAGATCATTCGTACTTTTTTATACTCCCTTTTGTTCTTCTCGACTATTTCGACTATTTCGACTATTTCTACTATAATTTATTTAATTAATTGGCTTTTATTTCATTCAAATCCTCCACGTATCCCTATTACGTTCATTTCTAATTATCTAGTGGAGAAGTGTCTATTTTAGGCCAATAATGAGTGTTATGCATGTACATTACAATGGCACAAGACTATTTGGAATATGAGATCTACGGAGTAGAGTAGACTCAACTCGGAGAATCTTCAAACCTTCTGACCTTCTAAGGTTCTAGGAAAAGAACTCCGTATGGTATAAATACATCCATAGATGTTAGTAAGATTATCAACCTACATAAGGTACCGGAGGCTCCTTTCAATGTTCTTGTATGGCCCAGACCGAGTAATATCCCCTCATTCCCCGGGAATCCCAGTATCGTGGACACATAATGGCTAGTCCCAGAGGAAATCATCCAGAATACCAGACTATTACACATAGATTGTATTACAGGACTGTCAGTTCCCGTTGGAATCCTCTGACCCCAGATGTGAAACCACCTGGGCTTGGCAGTGGTATTAGGGGGCCTGACTATCTATACCTGACTATACTATTCCACTATTATATGTATATGCCTCCAAAGCTTGACGGAAATAGCACTCCGACGGGCTTTAGCCTTTAGTCTTTTCTGATAGAGCCTATGAGAAAACAAGAAGAAAAAAAAGTGGTTCTGATAGGTGGAACCCCGTCGATCGCGAGGGGCAAATCTAGTAGGTGGACTCGAGAGGGTCTTTGAATATATAGTTACAACATAGTGTTGATACTTAGAAACACTTTTATATTTGATATACTCCGTAGTTGTATTTATCTTGTTACAATTAGCCTCTTTATCCAGCTAATCTTAATTCACCCAGTCTTTGAACCTCTCATTTCCTTTCCGGACTTCTTTTTTTCCACTTTTATTATAGAGCTTGATAGGTCCTCTCTATAATGCAAGCTAACCAGAATATGAGACAATATGTACGGAGTACTTCTCACCTGGATCGAATCTAGTTATCTACACGGACCTTAAACCAGCCCCGTCGCCCGAACCCCCCGACAAGTACTATACATACCTTGCGAGTCATGCACCGACTTCTTCAGCTATTTTTCCACCTGTAAGCATCGAGACCAAAGACAAGGCCTTTCCTCGGGATCTGCCAACCTTGCAGCACACATCAATCAACCACGGCTAACTCCGATCCGCAATGCGTAAATGGCGCTGAATATCTCCCAGTTTCGTCCTGCAACACCGAAGATTAGCGGGAATAATAGACGAATAAACGAATATCCCCAAGCGGAATACGTAACGGCCAATTAATGGGCGAGTCTAGACAATGAACGGTGAATAATGGGCGTTGGTTTTGAAAGCCTGACACGATGAAATGTACAGGGGGGTTAGGGTTAGCGCTGACAGGTCTGCATTGACTAAGACAAAGAGGAGATGATAGGCTCACTGGGCATTGACTGATTTCGAATATATCTTTTAAATTGATTATTTATTTATATTTATATGTAGTTAGTACCGAAGATGGAGTGTTTTAGGTACATAGTTATGATATATGTACTCCGTAGTTACTCCGTAGACGTGTCCACGATACAAAGTGGTTTCCGGGATCGACGAGAAACTCGTAAAAGCTGCAGATCGACAAACCCCAATAGTAATCCCCCGCATGCCGATCACTCAATTATAGCCCCAATATCATAGGTTACACCACATTTAGACCGTGACAGGAGTAGTTAGAGGGGGAAAAAAAAAGAAGTCAGGGGTTTAAATTAGAGAGAGCTCGAATTCCATTTCCCAATCAATGAGTATATGCAAACCATAACAAATAAGATCTAGCTTCACATCTGCATGCATGTACTAACGAAGAATCAAGGGATACTGAAATAGTCCGCAAGAACTACCCGTCGAATCAACGCAATGCGAGCGACGGAGGAGACTTAATCAATTTCCAACAGGGTATACCGAGAGCTCTCACCGGTTTGTGGATCATTGTATTGCTCAAGCGCATTCTCCACAGCAGCCATGTAACCAAGCACGTGCTCCTCCTGCCATCGGCGACCGACGACCTGCACGGCGGTGGGGAGACCAGCCATCTTGGCCGAGTCATAGTGTTTCCACGCACCGCGAGCAATGCCATGGTCACAGCCGAGACGCTTGAGGGCGGTTTTATAAGGTGCGGCGAGGGCGTCGCGGATTGGATCTACGTGACCGACGGGGAGAACACCGGCGGAGTAATCGAGCAAGTTCCACAGGAAGGTGTAACCGCACGCGGAGACGGCATCGTGCATGGCCTTGTGCGGGAGAGCCGGGGTAGCGTTGACGGGACACAGGATGAAATCGAATTGCTGGGGCGCAGCGTCCCACCACTTGTGCCAGACGGCACGGAAGACTTCGCGCTGGGCGGTTAGGGTCCACAGCTGAGCGGCGGACTTGGGGCCGAAGTCGCGGATCAGAGTGGCGGAGGTTTGGTCGCGACGGATGTAACGAACGTAGAGGTAGTAGAGGTACCGGAGCGGGCGGGGGAGGTGGGCGATGCGGGTGAGTTGGATGGCGCCTGGGTCGGAGGGTTCGAAGCTCTTGAGGTTGGCGTTAAAGTGGTGGCAGCCGTCTGCGTTGAGGAGTTGTGAGGCGAGGTTTAGGCCTGTGAAGGGGTCTGCGTTGGGTGGGGTGGTGATTTCTGAGACTGTGTGGCCGGATTCGGTGAGGGCGGCTACTGTTGTTGCGATGGCACGCTCAATGGCTGGGGTTGGGGGGACGACACCTAGGGATGGGTAAGTGGCTGGCGTTTATTGTCGAGGTGAGGTGATTGACACATACCATCGGAGGTCATCAGACCAATGCGAAGAGGCCTATTTTGAGCTTCGGACTCCACCTCGCTGCGCCAGGCAATGGGGTGCACTGAGTGCTCATATCTCCAGGGCTCCATGCCGATAATAGCACGAGTGAAATATGTCAAATCGTTCAAGGTCCGGGCCATAGGACTAAACACACTAGGAATACCTTCCTGTCCAGGCATGCTGGTGTTCACGCCGCCCTTAGGCCAGCGGCCAGTGCTGCAGCGGAGTGAATAGATACCACTCCAGGCGGCGGGCACGCGCACAGAGCCAGCAACATCGGATCCAATACCAATACGGCCACCCTGCGCCAGCAACGCTGCCTCTCCACCGGTTGAGCCACCGGGCGAGTATGCTGGGACATGGGGGTTGCGACACTGGCCCCATAGGCCGTTATCTGACTCAAAAGAGAGCAGGGTGATTGGCAGCGCAGTCTTAGCATATGGGACAGCGCCTGTCAAAATCAGTATGCAACCCAGCTATCGAAAACTTTTCTTAAGAATCATGATCTTACCGGCGTCTTTCAAGAGCTTCACCATAGGCCCATCTTCCAAGATAGGCTTTCCAGCCAGAGCAGCATACCCAACACTTGCATCGAATCCCTTGACATGAATAGAGTCTTTCAAAGAGACCGGAATACCAGCCAACGGGCCCTTCAAGTTGATTTCTGACTCCAGCCACGACTCAGCCTCGGGTAGCAGCAGCTCGGTAATGCAGTTCGTCCGCTCCTGAGCCCTCTTGGCTACCTTTCCATAGGTGCGGAGGATATCGAGCGGCGAAACAGCCGAGTCTTGCACATCGTGAACAAGCTCCTCAATAGGCTGGTCGATGATCTTTCGGTCTCGGTCGACAATGTGGAGGTGATAGTTGTGCGGAAGACCTGTAAAGCGGAGTTCTCGTTCGGCTTGTTTTTGGTTGCTGTAGATATTAGCTCCAGATCAAGTGTACATAAGAGAATAAAGACAAGCTTACCGTATGCGCCGATAGTTAAAGTAGTCGAATGGAGGAAGCATAATGGCGGTGGTTGTGCAAGAAGACAAGGGAAGGGAAATCAAGGTTCTTATACGATGCGGGGAATTGGAGAAGTGGAGAAGTGGGGAAATACGATATGACCCGGCTAGACGGGTAACACCGAGGTTAGCCGTGGATACACAGTCCTCCTTGATTGTGGCTATATTTGTATATATTAAGGTATGTAAAAGACAATTTGTATTTGGGCTGATGCGTGTATCTGTGTTTTTGTGTTTTTATGTTCGAAACAAGCAAAATGTTGAACAAAATCACTAAATTCTGGCAAACACAACGCTGGCGGGGATTTGTCCGCAGTAGAGATAAGAAGATAGACCCCAGACACACTATGCCTGTTACGGCAAGTGTATGCGCTAGATAGAGCAGGTGAAGTATACTATAGGTCCGCGGGTACATCCATAGATAAACGAGGTAGATAGAGATGTATGGTTTAAATTATCTATTGTATGTAGTTCTATGTAAAAGCTATCTAAACAAAATGCCAAACGCCGTGTGCAGACGCCGCGGGTATATCTCCAATGCCATGCAAACCCCAAATAAACGCCAAAGGTCAAATCAAAACTAACCCCCGTACCGTAGCAAAAGTCCGGGAATCAAGTGTTATCCAGACGAGGTTGGAGCCAGTTGTTCTTAGAAAGCCACCATAGAACCACGCTGATAATGATGACGAGCACAACGCCGAAGAAAATGACAAAGCCCCAGATGATTGATCGCCTGCTTTTTCGTCGTTCGCGGTCAAGCCATGATGCTCTATAGGGGTGAGTTAAGATTCATTCAAAGACATGGTAGATGGGGGTTCTTACTCGTCTTGTTTTGCTTGGCCTCCCTGGTCAACTGCTCTAGACTCTTCGTCCATGTGGACCGCAGTTGAGAACCGTTTCCAGAAATATGGGTCCCGAACAAGAGCCATAATGATGTGTGCTATCGATCCGAGGTGGACGCGTTGGTTCCAATGTTGTTGTGTTATGGTCGGTAGGTTGATTCAAGGGATAGTCGCGTGACGTGACCGGCTCACAATAGACCAACCACCGATGTATGAGGATGCAATAGTAAAACAATTGATCGAATTGATGTCGATGTGTTCGATTGATGTAGTGAGGTGAAGGTGGACGAGACACGCCAACTGTGAGAAGACAGGCTAGGGGTAACAGCTGCACTTATCCTCTAGCTAGATGGGCCTTAGCGATCAAATCCCGCGTGTGGAATTCTACCCGCTGACACATGTACATACTCCCCTGACGACTGAAATGCGAATCAAAACATGATCGGCGACATGTCCAGTTCTAATTTGTGTGAAAAGCACCCGAGCCTAGGCCATGGACAAGGAACCAAGGCAGGCAGGCAGATACTGCGAGGGAATGGGGTACTCGTATTGGTTATTGTTGTGGCTGAATGTCAGTTCAAGGGAAGGATGGCATGTCGATCGCGGAATGTTGGAAACTCAAATGCAAGATTCGTCGGTGACAAAATTGTTGATCGCTGACATTCAAGCAATGATATTGGTAGATAAAGGGTTTAGGAATGTGGGCCTGAATTTGGCTTACGACGGGATTAACTAGGAGTCTCGGCCGACGAGGGCGTTGGGGTAGAGACCGAAGAACGAATTTTAGCTGATGTCACTTCCCGAAGCTGGTCAGCGTGGATAGATAAATAGACATTGGACCGCGTGGCAGCTTGACTGGATTGCCTGAATGGAATTATATTGTGAACGGTCCATAATGCGTAACATTTTATCGTCGCTGGAATATCTCATGTTGCACAAATCTCGAGTGGAACAGAAACAGATATGGATGATCTCCCCCGACCCTGTCCATGTAATCGATAGAACACCGTCGCCTTCAGGGCATAAACCCGAGACACTAAACAGGAATGGAAAGTTGGTGGATAGCGCCGATGGGTAGGCAGTGAAACGCAAGCCTTGATCGATCCCGTGAAGATCGTGTGATCCCCTTCTTCTTCAGCCTTCCAGTCCAATTTGATTTCGTTGTTCAGTGTTAATACCACATATTCAGACCAGAATTCTCGTCGAGAACCCCATGTAGAAATATCACTCAGATCTGGATAATCCTGCCATGGCTCAACCCCAAAGAAAGTCATTGCCCGCAACTGAAATTCGACAGCAAGAAGACTTGGTGGCAATTGAACCAAGTGAGAAGGGTCAAACCGAAGATCAATCTTTACGGAAGTTGACGCGTCTGTATTCCTTGGCTGGAGACTTTGCAACTGGATAACCGGTGGTTGAGTAGAGTAGGCAGCGAGTTTGCCTCGTGGATGTCGCAGTAACCCAGTGGATAACAACTTTTCTGCTCGCTGTCGATAATAATTATTCTTTCTTGGGACAAGAAGTGGGGGATGCTCATTTCGTGTTGGGAGGATGTGCACGGGATGTGTTGCTTCTTGGATTTTCTTTGACCTCCCTGCCTTGCCATTTCGCTGCCACAGTGCAAAGTTGATACTGTAGACTACTTCCGCCATTTCGGGTGACATGTCGTGAATTCCGTGGTATTGTGTGCCACGGTAGCTGAGACTCGCAGGTAGCTGCAGATGTTCTTGTTGGATTTGGTGATTGGCGCATTGGTGTTGACAAGCATGGATGGGAAGTTCCTCAGGGACGATGAACTTGAAGGGCATTCGATAACTCTTGCCAGGTTTGAGCGCGTTCGTATCCCAACAGTAATCGTAAATTGGCAACTCCATGCTTAGGAAGGGTTTCAGGAGCCGATTGGGGGGCAGAGCAACAGGTGTATTCATGTTGTTCAGTTCGATTCGTGTCCTGCCTATTCGCTGTGTTAATATTGCGAAAGCAGTGCTACTCCCATCCCTCACGTACCTTTAAGTGTGATTCTTATGTCTTCAATGTTGGTTTCTTGATGAGGTGTAAAAATGATCTCGCCATCTATAATGTCGTGGGTCTTGAAAATTGGCGAGTCAGACGAGCTATTAACCACGAATTCCACATTTGAGAACTTCATCATGCAGATATTTATGTTTATTTAATCTAATCCCTACATGGGGTATGCATCGTTTAAGTACTAATTGTTCGGCTGTAGTTCAGAGGAGGCGACGGCCAAATATCATTTTCCCGAACGGAGAATGATTCTGAATTTTCTTTCTGTATTCTATATTGTGGTCGGCAAATGCACATCTTGCCGTAATTAAGTACTGAAGGTTAAGAAGGCTTTATTTAGCCGGAATTTGATACCTACTATACCTACTAGGTAGGAAAGGTAATCCGATGCTCGGCCTTTCTTGGCCATTTCAGCATTTGTATATTGCATTTCTACCGTCCATAAGTATACACTTAACCTCCAAGGTATAAAGATAAATTAAAAGATATTGTCCAACTCTCGAATACGGACATATAATAGCGACCCCCTAAAAGGATATGTCAGAACAACTCAAGGAAGAATATTGGTGAGGTGTTGGGCTTGCATATATGAACCATCCACATCAAGCAGCGAGATCACCCCTACCAATGAGGGGCAGCATGTACCCTAACGAATTCTCATCCTTGATTATTATTACATTGGCCCATGCAGGCCTGCAGTCCGCTGTCGTTTAAGGAAACTCCATATCATTGTAAGGGGACCGAGCGAAATGATACAACTGTGCTACCCTCAACACTAGATACTCTGCGGAGATAAAAAGTTTGTTACCTGCAATGCAGAAACAGGTAAATATCTTTTCCTTTCTGGGTGCAGTGACATGTAGATCAGTCATCCATCATTGCGCCAATTCCTTGAAGAAGCGCACAAGACTGCGTCCGGGCGGCATGTGATTAGCAGACGAAGCAGAAGGCCAAAGGGAGCCATTGGTATCCCTGCCAATGCTAGAAAACCTGATAAAGGGATGCTGATGAGGTTCCAACTACTTAGGTATGTATAGGTTAATCTTACCTATGATTGGTGCATCTATGTACTACATAGAGTATCATTTGTGCTTTTAGCGCCTCCTATCTGTCAAGGAGACGAAAAGAAAGAGAATGAAACAGCGGCTTAAAGCAGCGAAAGAAACCTTTTCTTCTTCTGAACACCTAGGTACCTTTATGTATCGAAATCCAATCAATCTAACACGCTTCCGATCCACCGGGGGGACACAGAAGAGACAAAATGGGGGTTACAACAGATGTCAGCTGGATGGAAGCATCTATAATCAAACTCGGTAAGAATAATGCGGTTAAGGCCTGATAGCCTTGAAAATAACCTGATGTTCCCGCCTTAGCGCACAGTCTCACACTAATCGAACAATCATGCCAGTCTAATGCAGGTAATGCAGAATAGTCAGAAGAACTTGTCCTCCCCCAAATGTCGATCTATCCCCTCAAGAGGTTAGCATACGCATGATCCCAGGCCTCCCGTATCGTCAAGGTTATGTAAGAGGCAACCATGCTTGTTAACTACCTGTTAGTTTATATCCGCCGCAACCATTTAACAGCCTCGATCTATAGGTAATGAAATGTCGCAGTTCCGGATATACTATCCGTAGTCAATGGTAGTTGTAGATGGTGACCACCACCCACCACTACATGACGTGTGTAGCAACTGAAAGAAGTGGTCTGCAGCTAGTCAGTGGCGCAAGGATGCAATCCCCCAATTTGAGCTCAAGTTCTAAGTATATATATCTATTAGTTCTCTTTGAACATAGGAAAAGAGTCAAAGGAAACAACTAAGTCTACATACATCGAGTATTTGAAGACCAAGACCAATATTTGACCATGGATCATGTGGTAAGGGATTTCTCGAGTGATATAGAATACTCCTCTGAATCATTTATCGTGACTCTATTACATGGGAAGCCAGAGCATAAACACTTGGATGTGTTGACCGACCTTTTGACAAAAGGTTCCGAAATAGATGAGCGTGTCGCTTCATCTATCAGTGCCGCATGGCACTGGATATGCCAGAATGATCTTTGGTCTACGAGGTATGAGAGCCTCAGTGACTACCGGAAGGCTATAGGATATATGGAAACGGTACGGCCGATTGTACAGCGACATAAGAAGTCAGAGCTAGCGAAACGATCAAGTACCGAAACAATATTTCGGTACTGGAAAGTTCCCTTCGATAAGGCTCTTCCAATTCATACTCGCCCCTTAACCTGGAGCAAACATTTGCTTTCATTGACAGCCTGTTTGAGCAAGCACCTAAATCATTTGGACTCCCTATCACTCCTTGAAAATAGCATGAAAAACAGACCAGAACGTGGACGCACTCGGACTCGACTCATGGCAAGTGATGTCCAACGGGCATTGGAAACTTTAGGCATACCGCAGACACTCTTGGCAGCACGGGGATGTAAGTCATGATAATTATCCAGTTGAACCTCCAAGAATGCGGCTTACGGTGTTTCAAGCAAGAAAATCCCGAACCTCCTCGAGCTCAGCTCAGAACCAAGGCACTGATAGTTGCGTTGAGGCTGACACTCCACCGTCCACCATCCATTCAGAAACATCATACCTCTTAAACACACAATCGCAAAGTCTGCTACCATTTGCAGCCTCGCCTACAGAAGGGCTGCCAACAAACAAAGACCCAAATGAGTGGCAGTGCTGCGGATGTATTCCTATATGCTTGCCACTGATCGCCCTAATTACTACCCCTCAAGCAAGGTTGGATACGAAGCTTCTGACGGCATTGGTGGAGTGGGCATACACAATATCATGGGGTAGCTTTTGCTCCGAGCATCTGATGCGTCTAGCCCACTTTATCCCCACAGAGGATCTATGTGACAGCACTAGAGCAGACGTAATTCACATATTGGAGGCATTCTGCTCTCGTGGATGCTACAGTTCCATAGCTACGGCCAATTCCCCCTTTATGACTGGTACGTGAGATGCTCAGTCGCTGTCGCATATTTGTTAACTTGCCTTTTATAATAGATGACCATACCTATCCCCCTCCCCCAATCTTTGTTTAAATACGGAGCTGCTATCTCGTTATACAGGGTCTGCCGATGCGTGGTGGCGTTGGAAAAGGGATGGATTTCTCCATATCCCTGGGTTCTTTTCCTACATGGAAGAGTTTGGTGTGTTCAGGCGGGTTCGGAAGTACCTTGGTAGAGGCACTACTAAAGAAGGTGCAACTTCGACATTCTATCGAAACTTCATCCAGCAATGCTACGAGATGATCTCTCAAATGGTACAACGGGATCCGGCATATTATGCTGTTCTAGTCGCATGCAGACCGGACCAAAACCAGAAACTCGTTCATCGCCCACGACAGTATCAACAAAGCACTGTTTCCCAGTGCGACGGTGTAGGGCTCGGTGTCCCAATTGACAGCACCAAGTTACTGGCCCAAGGGGAAGTCACGAGTGACATCCATAGTACTGTCATATTACCGACATGTGAGACTGCGCAAAAGATCCGACTAGTCCCAGTGTCGCATGGGCAATGCAACTCATGGTCACAGAGCCCGTTAGAAGCGGAGCATGGAGATGGATGCAAAGTACTTGGTGAAGCCCAGGAGATTTTGGTACTGCCAGGCGATTTGATTATGTGTCTCCCGCAAATTCTCAGATGGCCAGCAACCTTTCCGTCCTCAAACTTTCTCAACCTGTCACAGACTGGATTGGACAACAGATTCACCACACCCCCCGAACAACCCAGTGATAGTTGGGATACGGGCAGTTTCGACAAGGTCTGGGAGCAGCCAGAACCGCTGGTTCACGACAGCAAAAGTATACCGCACGAATATCATACCGCGAAAGCGGACCTTATTGAGGACAGCTGGTGTAGTTCCTCCAGTGCCATAGGCCAGGCATTGACAGGTCGTCTGGATTGGGGTACCGACAGAGTGAGAGAAGAAATGAACTATATTCTCGGTTCTGATGGAGCGACAGCAGTTGAATTTGTCACGAAGTCGCGAGCGCAGTTGGCGAAGCATTTTCACCACCTCTGTGATTCAATTGAGCGAGGCGAAGACCTGGACTCTGGTATGAAAAATCTTTCTCGGTTTACATGAAGCATATTTACTGATTTGGATTCAAGATTGCAGAATGAACAGATATGGAGAACGAGGTGTCTCACCGGACCTTTTCCAAGGTCAAAATGAATATCTTGAGACACCGGAATCTTTCACCGATCCTTTAACGTCAACCTCACCTACGTGGAACAACCCTTCTATAGATGATATGGTAGCAGACTTGAACCATACTTTTTCTCAACAGCCTATGTCTTTCGATTTACCTTGAGATGGAAAGGGTTGTTAGACATGATGATTTCTTTGGGCTCTTATTCTCAAAACGAAGGATATGATAACGATGTCAAGGGCCTAATATACCTGGTGTTGGTGTACCCATAAACGCAAGACTGTTATTTGAATGATCCCTATAACATTCAACTCACGTATCTTGGCTCGGGAAGCCATAATCTGTAGGAAGTTTTCGCCAGGGATCTCACACTAGGACGATCTTGCGCAAGGGGTTGTGAGTCGCTGACGATGGAAAAACTTGCTGTACGGAGTACATCTACATCCGTTTCCTTTCCTTACATATAATTATGCATAACTACAGTGAGGAAAGAGAGCATATTGACAGAGCTACTAGACCTCCGCAATGGGCTGGGTTGGTCCGGGACCTTAGACCCATAAACCAACCAGCAGTGGGCTATGGGCCCTACCTTCAAAGACCAACTAAGCCTATGGCCCATTAGTGGGGGCCTCATAGGCCCCCAACAAAGACCATTTCTATGCATAAACCCCGTCTTGGCGCTTATAAACCTGCTGAATAATGCCTGTTTTTTACGTATGTTCTGGTCTATAAGCTTACTCGGAAGATCTCGGCCCGTTGGCCTAATACGGGGGTTCAATAGGTGATAGGTTATCAATGTGAAGATATATATATTTCATATAGATAGAAGTAGGTGCATCTTCAATGCTTTAAATACCACTTTAAGGTTATTATGTAAATACCTTCTTCTTCTTCTTTTAATTACTCTTATTACTCTTATTGATTTTATAAGTCTTATCTATAGTCAATTCTACCAATTGATTGACTTAATTCCTATAAAGACTCGGTCAACTTAGGTCTTAGACGGTAATTTAAATACTCAAAAATACTAGAAGAATCTACATTACTTATAAATCTGCCAAGAATTGGCATTTTTGTATTGTTTGAGGCCCATTGGGCCCCTATAAAAGCCTAGTGGGCGTTTATCCTAGGCCCAAGACCTATCGATGGGCCTAAGGACTGGCCCAAAGACCAGCCTATTTGCGGGTTGGTCTGGGTTGGGCTATGGGCTTTGCGGGCCGGTGCGGAGGTCTAAGAGCTACGCATCCCCAAGATACCGCGAAATGGGCTATTACTTTCATTCGGCGTATAATAGTTGATCTTGACCCAAGAATTGTCACTCTGTGGAGTGTATGGGTAATTACAAATATTCTCATTCTTCTGCAAGGGTGGTGTGTAAAGCAGTGTCTGTTATAACCCTGGAGACGCTAGGAGATTTGGTTGGACGAATTTATCAAAGAGCAATTGTTAGTGAATCATGACGTAGCCGCTACCATCCCTTATGAAACTTGAATCATTGGGCATTTGAAATAGAATATAGGGTCGTTTACTAGTACTCTATATATATCAACGCTAATCCAAAATCTTGGAAAGGTGTCAAATTGCAAGGTTGCATACATGGGATGATACCATGGAGGATCATGTGACTTCGAGTCTTATGTAATCATACTTAGTCATTACCGCACAGAAACAGCAGTTTCTATTATGTAGAAAATGCAGAGTTCTCCATATCAGCCCTGAGGTCCATACATTTCAATACGTCAGATTTCTGTCAAAAGGAATAGGGTGATTTCCCACCGCCAACTATTAGTGATCTTTCAAGCCTCAATATTATGTAATTTATCTAGTTTTTGGATTTTAGTATATTCCAAGTTTGGATACAAAGTAGATTGATAGAATAAGAGAGTAAGAATAGCGAATTGATATATCGACACCTGCTAATTTGACACCCCCTGCCTGAAAGTTGAGGTGTCACTACCACCGCCTTCCTAATTGGATACCGCTTTTACCTTGATATCTATACCAACCTACCAACCTCCTCACCGCCTTCGAGATTTTACACCGCCTTCGTGTCAAACTCCCTCTAACACTATAGGACGACAGTAGATACCTACAATTTGTATACAAACACATAGTGAAAATAAGTCACTTTAGTCCCATACATATTATAGGACTCGTGTAGCAATCAACCTGATAATGCAATTCTGGTTTACATACATTAACCTGCCTTCTCCTAACTCATTTTTTTATCTGTATTTGCACTAAATCATCAGTTTTAATCCTTTTTTTTTTCATTATTTCCATCCAATTTTTGTCATTCTAGCAACCAAAATAGCGTCTTTAGGCCTGGCATACCTTGATTCGTCCGATTCGGACTATGAGATCGTCCCCGAGTCGGAGCAACTGTGACAGAGGGGAGTGAAACTGGCGCGCGGGGACCTAGTTGAGAAGCTCATTTAACCTGTATGTGTAAACAAATGCTTAATCCGACAGAAATATACTTTTTTTTCTGATCAAAATGCATGTTTTTTTACTATGTAAACCGGAATTCCTACAGTGTTGGCAGAATTATATGGCAGAAAACTCTGCACTGGCAGAAGACATGGCAGAATTTAGCAACGCACCCGATTAGGGAGGCGGTGACTGAATTTTCAGGCAGGGAGGGGTCAAATTAGCAGGGGGTGTCGATATATCAATTCCCTAAGAATATTAAACTTCAAGGTTTTGCAAGTTGGGGGGCCGGGCGGAATTACAGGCCGATTTTACCAGGCCTACAGTAATCCGGTGTCTGGCATGCATGTAAAGTAACCCTCCTCACATTCTATTTCAATAATTCACTAATTCAATCAATGATGTCAAATTGCAAGGTTGCATACATGGGATGATACAGATTATGTAATCTAGCTTAGTCATAAACCGCACAGAAACAGCAGTTTCTATTATGTAGAAAATGCAGAGTTCTCCATATCAGCCCTAAGGTCCATACATTTCAATACGTCAGATTTCTGTCAGTTATAAGCCCGGCTTTGTTCCATTAATCAATTCAAAGATCAACCCTGCTTCCAATCGATACTGAGGTAATTTACCTAGCGACGAAGCAACCCCTAAATCGAAAAAAATCGGAAATCTGTTAACAAATCATAGCCGATTATCTCTCCGCGGGTCCATCCTCCCGCGTTATCCTTAAGGACACCGAAACTTAGGATATATAGATCGCTAATATCGAATCGATTGTAGTACAATTTGATGTTTAGGAGCTATATAATCCTAGTAAGGAAAAAGAACCGGAGATACGGAAAGCTCCGGTAGAGATCATATCGATTAAAGAAGCGGAGAAGAAGTATAGCGATAAATAGGTCGATATTTATAAAGTAATTCAATCGAACTAGTCGATAAAGAATACGCTCTATACCTAGGAAAAGAAGGGGTTAAGTATAATTATAACGGTAATCCGGAATAGTATTTATATAAACTTCTAGCTATTTATTATAGACTATAAGACTCTATATAGTCTACTCCGAAACCTTCGAGAAAGGTTCGCCTCGGAGTATAATCCGACCTATTCTACTAGGCTCCGTTAATAATAGAGAAGCCTTAATAGAAGGTTAGATAAAAATACTAATATTAACAAATAATTATTAAATTAGGAGATAGTTTAATTAAGCTATAAAAGAGTAGGAATGCTAGAAGTAAATAACGCTTCGACTTAGTTCCTTAATACTATCTTAGTAATATTACCTAGATTCTACGAGATATAGACTCTAAGACTATAAGATAAAGAAGATATCGGATTTACTAAGCTTCTTAACCGGTATTAAGCCTACTAGAAAATCATCTATAGTAAGCTAGTTACTAATTAATAGGATATTTCTAAAGCTACTTTTTCGACTTAGTAAGGCTACGAAGAAGTAAAGCTAGCTAAGATAAAGTTAGCTAATATAAAGTTAGCTAGAGAAGAACTACTATTTAAATTAAAGCTATATCTATATAGATAGAACTATAGATAGTACCTATCTTAGAAGTATTAGGACGTCTTTAATAAGGATAAACCTTCTAGATATACTAGAAATAAAGAAGCTAAGTAGAAATAGGAGAAAGCTATAAAGGCTAACCCTACTTAGAAGGCCTAGGTTGATAAGAGACGTTAAGAAAACCTATAGGGGAAGGTAGCGTAGTAAGCAAATACCACCCTTAATAATAAAGAGGATGACTTATTATATAGGTTCTTCTCTATATAGGTAGGAAAACCCTAGGCCGGCGAGCTAAAGACAGCTAAGCTATAGGCCGGCGTACTAAAGGCAGGCAAGCTATAAGAAACTAAGCAATAGGCCGGCGAGCCTTAGGCAAGTAAGTAAGAAAGCAAGCCCTAGGTAGGCAAGCCGGCGGCTAGTAAGCAAATTCCAACCTCTACTACTATTATATCCACCCAAATCTACGAAGCCGAACCAATTAGATAGAGATAGGTAGTCGATACCGGCGCGTAGATATATATTTATAATAATCGGGAGTGGTTTAAAACTTTCGAAGATATATAGAGTAGCGTTAGGATAGGAGATATAGAAACGAGTATTAACAGGATAGGCACTATAGTAATCTATAGTATCAGCCCTATTAATAGAAAAGTAATTAAAATAAAGTTATATAACGCTAAGTACTCGCCTAATTTCTATAGTAATCTAATATCTAATAGATTAATAATAAAAGCGGGGCTAGTAATAAACTTCCGGAAGAACTATATTAAATCAACTAAGAAACCGGTATACTAAGTATATTAGGATTAGAAGTTAATATAGTTAAAATAACCTAAAGAATTAGCCTTTACTATAAAGAAGTTAGTAAGTAAGCTAAAGTCAGAAGCTTTAATCTAAACTTAGTATAGGCGCCTAGGCTATATTAGTCAGTAACGTCTTATTAAGCTAGTAGAGATAACAGAGGGGATTACTATTAAAAGCAACCCTAATAAGAACGAAAAGTAGGTATATAAAGCTTATTAATTAGTAGATACCCCGAAGTAAATCTCTCGCTAGAAAATAGGCTAAGTATATAGTATATTTAGATATATCTACTTTAATCTAGTATAGAATCAAACTACTTATAATAGATATATCTAGATAACGCATTTTTACCTTAATAGTATTAAGTACTACTTTATCTTTATATATATTAAAAAAAGTAAATACTAAATAGTGGTTAGGAAGTTCCTAGTATTAGTTAAGAACTAGCTAAAAATCGAGATTAGAGTATTCTATTATAATAATAAGCGGAGTACGGGTCTCGAGGTTAAAATAATAATAGAAGCCGAGGGATATATAATTAAGTATTTACTACCTAGCTTACCGGAGATAAATAGTCCTACCGAGAGATCTAGGGGGATAGTAATAAGAACTACTAGAGTTCTAATTAATAATATAGATCTCCCTAAGACTCTCTAGCCTAAGGCAATATATATAGCGGTATATATCCTAAATAGGACTCCTACGTAGATTAAGGATAATACCGGTAAGAATCAATAGATTATACCTTAGAAAGAACTGATAAAGCATGCCGTACTAGATAGTATCTATCACTAAGAGATCAACCTTTCAAATATAAGGTTATATAGCTGTCTAACGTACTCGAGAATCATCAAGAGAGTGCAATTAGACAAGATAGCACCTAGAGTAGAGATAGGATATCTCGTAGGGTATATCTCTAAGAACCTATATAAAGTATAGTTTCCCTATAAAGGACGTACTGGTATAGGAAGGGTAGACGTCGTTAGAGATACCGTTTTCGATGAATTAAGGAGGTATTCGAAGTCGATATCGATACCTAAGAAAGAAGATACTATTAGTACCATGATAGATAGACTAGGCATATAGCCATAGATACTTACTAATAATAAAGCACAGGCTAAGATCAGTACCTAGATAGAGATGCCCAGATCGATAGCCAGGATAGCACTATATGATAAAACTAAGCATACCGAGCAAGCTAGAGAAGAAGCAGCTAAGTCAGCTAATGATACAGTTGATATAGCTAATGATCTAGTTGATAGAAATGATAGAAATGATGATAAAGAAGAGGTTAGGCAGAGAACCCCACTATAGGTTAGAAAGGAAGCAGCTAGATTGCCTACCCCGTAGTCAATGATCAGACCAAGGGAGCAAACAATAGGAGAGCAAATAAATCCACAGAGAGGCCTACCAGGAAGCTTCCTAGATATGCCATCCTCCCTACTACTATCAAGATCATCGTTATCACCATCAAAACCAGCCTCAGTATCCCCAAATCCATCGAATCTAGAACCTAGAGGAGCACTATCATCGTCGCTAGATCCGATCTCCGTGATCCCGTCGATCGAAACTAGGGGGTGGATAGGGATATAGAAGTAAGAGATAATAAAGTAAGTGATAACGAAGTAGAGATAGAGAGATAGCTACAAAGGGAAATAGTATACTCGCTATCACCGGCACTATCACTATCCTACCGAGAACCGTCCCATCGAGGGTCCTCCTAAGTATTATTATTATCCTAACGAGCACTAAGAGATATATTAGGTAATATCGATATATCAAATATCATTACCGGTAGTAGATCTAGGAAACTAAGAACGGATCTAGATTATACCACCTACCTATCTCTTAAAGACTAAGCAGAACTACTAAGTCTACTTTATACCTTCTCTATAGGTATAAGCAAAAGATTCGATAAGAAACTTTACCGAGATAAACTTCCCCCGCCACTAGAGAACTAGGTATAGATCAAGAAGCATCGGTTCGGAGAAGGATTTATAGTAGCGGCAAGCTTCGAAGTCTAGACACTTAAAAAGAAAGAAACCTATACCAAAGTACCTATTCCGAATTAAAGTTAGAGAGGAATCTAGGTACTATCTTTAAAATAGGTCTTTACCTATAAATTCGATATAGATAGATTTCCCGAGAAGTTTAAAGCGAGAATCTACGTTAGAGGTGATCTTTAATAGATATCGATAGAAGAGAAAAGGGTAGCTACCCTAGCTATTAAAATAGTAAGAGCAATCTTTGCCTTAGTAGTAGTATTTGATCTTAATATAATATAGAGAGACGTAGTTACTATATTCCTAAACTTAGTACTCTAAAGTAAGGTTTATACTAAGTGTCTATAAGGATTCGAAGTATAAGGTTAATACTAGCTACTATATAAAGCTCTCTACGGCTTACGAATATTACTAAGATTATAGTAGTAAGAAGTAATAAGGATACTAGTAAAACTAGGCCTTACCCCGGTACCGGAAGATCCGTATATCTTTATTAAGAATAGTATTATCGTCTTCTTCTATATAGACGATATTATTATTATAAACTATCTAGATCCTTATTATACTAAGTAGGTAGCTAAGCTAGATAACGATATTAAGAAGTAATAGGAATTACGAGAACTAGAAGTAAACTAGTTCTTAAATATCCGTATTATTAGAGATAGAGATTAGATAAAACTCTAGCTATACTAAGATAGCTATATTAAAAGTATAGTAGCTAAGTATAGCTTAATTACTATTAGGAAGGTAGGGTCCCTAATAAGTATAGGGACGGGGATTAAACCCCTTCTTCTATTCGACGGAGTAGCTACTATAAGCTAGATTTATAGCTACTAGGCTAAGGTTAGATCTACTTAGTATACTACTACTATCTCTCGGCTAGATACTTTAAAGGCTATAGCTAAACTAGCTAAGTTCTTAATAAACCCCGGTCCGAAGTATATCGATACTATTAACCGAGTGATTTAATATCTCTATAAAACTAGGTTCTAGGCTATCGAGTATAGTACTAGATAATAAAATAAAAACCTCGGTTTAGACGAAACAAAGGGTCTCTAGTTTACTATAAAGTTAGTTAAATTTATAAGCGATACTTCGTTCGGAGATAATAAAGATAGGAAGAGTTCGGAAGGTTATATCTATAAGTTATATAGCGGTCTAATCGATTAGAAAGTATCGAAGTAAAAGATAGTAATAACGTCGATAACTAAGATAGAGCTTCTTACTCTAGTAGAAGCCGGAAAAACCGTCTAATAGTGGCGTAGAGTCCTTAAAGCACTTAGCTTCTAACTAGATCATCCCTTATCTATTATATACGACAATCAGTAGACAGTCGATCTACTTACGAAGGAAGGATCGACGATATATACGAAGCTATAGTATATAGATATCAATCGATCCTAGATAAAGCAGGAAGTTAGTATAGGCAGAGTCAAAGTGGACTAGGTTCCAACTATAGCGATGCCTACAGATAGACTTACAAAGGCGCTTCCAAGACAGAAGCAGCATCTCTTCCGAGAGATGATTGGGATGAGAGAAATCAGGCATCTGATTTATCCAAAAGAAGTGAAGAAATGAAGGATTTGGCAGCTCTGAAAGCCAGGAAATTGCAGGCTTTAAGAGCTGGGGGGGTGTGTCAAATTGCAAGGTTGCATACATGGGATGATACAGATTATGTAATCTAGCTTAGTCATAAACCGCACAGAAACAGCAGTTTCTATTATGTAGAAAATGCAGAGTTCTCCATATCAGCCCTGAGGTCCATACATTTCAATACGTCAGATTTCTGTCAAATGATTCAATGAAGGGTGGTGGCAGTTATATGATGTATCAAGTAACATAATTCCACCCTTCTTTGACATCATAAGAAGCAAGGAGTCAGAGACATACTACTATAGTACTGAAATAGAGGATATAAGTACCAGTTCTTACACTAATCCCGCCTCCCCTAGAACATTTTCATTCAAACTATTCATCTAAAACTTCCTCCTCATCGGACCTTCTAAGATTACAGGTTCTCAGCCTTTTCCTCATCTCAAAATGAAGCTCCAGATCTTGGCTATTAGCTTTGCAGCTCTTTCCTCGGGTGTGTCTGCAGGTTGTGCCTACAACGAGTATCACTGGAACTGTGAATGGCATGGCTCGTCACCATCATGTGGTGGAACAAGTCATGATCTTGGGTATACCGACGCGGATGGATGGGAGTTAGTTAAGTGGTCGAAGGATGCGGACATCAAACACCTCAGGTCGTCATTGGGTTATTGCGCTGGTTCTTATGGAAGTTCCTGTTGGTCTGGCTACAAACGACTGTGGTGCAAGTCAAGTAAGGGTCATTTGACACAAATCAGTTTAAACATTGATTAACCAATTTTAGACGTTCAAACGGATTACAGTGGACAGTACTACGACGAACCTATGTGAAAGGATGTCCCTAGACCTATTGTTCCCTATCTACTCGACCATATTTCTATCCGGGAAGCGAAACTCAACGCTGGCGACTGAATTGGAAAAGAATGAAGGTGATGGGGGAGGATATCTTGGTGCTTGTTTCTGAGAGAGAAAAAGAGGCAGTGACTGGAGGCAGACGGGAAGATATAGTGGCCACGTAGGTGACTACTAAAGACTAGCTTTGTCATTCATCTCGCTATTCAATTTCAGGAAAGTCATTTGCTCGCGTGAAGAGAGGCACAAAAGGTAAATAGGTATATTATGATGAGTAAAAGAGAAATATAGCCGATTTTATTATAACCTATCAATCAAAAGGTCGAAATAACTATAATAGGATTATATTCTAGTAGCTCTAAATAGTTAACCATAGTACCGTAAAACGTAGACTTCGCCATAAACAGTAATTGGGGCCAAACCTTCGCCCCAACCCCCAAAGCGCGTTGGGTGCGGTTTTTCGTGGGCTCCATTGGGGCCCCAAAAAAACCACTTAAAAACCATCTAATCCGGTGTTGTGTCTTATGGGTAGGTAAAAGGAGAGACATGGAGGGGACAATGATATGGACCATATTAAAGGGGGCAAATAAAACAAACAGAAGCCTAAGAGATCAGGTACGCATGGAACCTTTCAACTAATTATCTACGAGTCCAGCAAGGAGCGTATATTTATTCCCTTAGCTACAAAAGTAATCTTGGAACTCATGCCAAATATTAATTCTGTACAGAAGGAACGACTTGTACGAGCGACGAAAGGCCTTACAAACAGACCCATCTATACAGAGGGGAGACCTACAATTCGTTCCCATGCATACGTATATCATAGGTAGTGAAACGTAATTCAACATCTTTATCCAAGCCATAGCAATCTGCTAGTACTTGCAACTGATCTCCTGAGAGTATACCATCGAGCACACAGCCTAAAAAACCATATTAGTTATCAAAAAGCAGGGATAGACATCATATGATAGGCGATTCTTACCAAGATTGTTCTCGCGTCTTTTTCGCTATGCTCTAATCCGCTCCCTTAGTGGAGCAATTAGCTCCGAGTGTATTTGGGTATCATAAATACCTTAGCCAATCTGAGCGTTAAGTGAATGAAGGTCCTCTAGCATCTCCGAGGTGCTGTTATAGTGTCCAAGCCAAGCATTTCGAATAACCGCATCAATGCCTTGATGATTGGTCTGTATTGTAGGCAAAATCAACCCACCATCCCTACCAACAGAAAGACTAGGTTTGATTCTATACTCAACTTAGAATAGGAGCGAGCCCATTGCAAACATATCAGTTCCCTTAGACAGATTTGGCGAAGGACCGTTGACTAGAAGCGGAAGATCTGATATAACGAAATTTGATTGACCAAATGGGCTAGCGGCACTAAAATCACAAAGAACAGCAGCGCCCCGATTATCGAGAAGGATATTGTCAATCCTAACATCTCTATGAGCAATTCCAAGCTTATAAAGGTGGCAAAGAGCGTCGGCGATATCGCGATACTATCGAATTCGAGTGGGCTGCGCGGGTATCTTACCTTCCGTCAACGGCTGATATCTACGGAGAAAAATTCCCTCGGCTTGATCGGTATCGATAGCTTCGACGATATAAGGATGTGGCCGCCGTTGAAGTAGTCGTAAAATAAACCGTTCATCTTATAACAAGCTATAGCGAAAAATAGTGTCTGAGGCGTAGTGGTACCGGTCGCTATCAGGGGCCTCACTCCCGGGTTGTTCGAAAATACGACAACTCTTGAGGACTATCTCTTCATCAACCTCGTAGACTTGACCGGAAGCTCCTATACCCACTATGTTCAGATCAGACTGAAAAAGTGGCTGTATGGTATAGGTAACGACATCGACCGTATCATTGGACTCAAGATCATTCGGTTTCTTAGGGTTGGATGGATAGGCTTTTATGAATAGTGGAGATATACCAGACAAGATAGCGAAGGTGCCTTCAATAAATGATTTCCAGGCTACCCGCACGGCGGAGTAAAGATGCCAGAGGTAAAGCGACATTTTGACGGTACCATGAAATCAGGAGAGTCTAGAGAATGCACCCCCCCTGGAAGTTGCAGTAAATATAGAGATACATCACATGACCGGCATTGCCAGAACAACTCCTGCCTGATAGAATAGGCCTTGGGGGCCTTCACAGCCTCTTTGTATTTTGATCGACAGCTATGGCACGGTTAGCTCCTAGTTTACTAGTATTTCCTAGACCCTTACTAGAAGAAAAAAACCTGACAACCTGACAACCTGACAACCCCTCTATTCAGTTATGTTGTATGTCCCCGGTGGCAAGATTTAATCGGATATGCTGTGGCTCGGCAACATGAAATTTTGCCGATCAACCTCGTCCGGCGAAATTCCGAAATTCCAATTTTACTCCTTTCCGATCTCCTTAATAGCCCATCTGCTATATTTAAAATATGACATCCTCATCAAAGACATCGAGTGATGCAGCTATAAGAAAACAGAAAAAGAAGTCCATCGCGTAAGTTTTGGAGAACCTATCCCCGAGTCTAGCCGCTAATGTCCCGTCTCAAGGTGCCGGAGATGCCACTCACACAAAATAAAATGCACCGGTGGCCAGCCATGTCTTAAATGTCGGCAGGCTGGTTGTCCTACCGAGTGCCACTATGTCAATCGAGATCGTCAAGTTAAAGTGCACGAGAGGTATGCTCCACTAAGCTAAGCTTGCGCTGTTGCAACACTAAATAATCGACCAGTTATCTCGAGGAACTGGCTGCAGAGAATGAGCGCTTACGTAGTCAATTATCACAATCTCCTGGGCTCCTAACGCCAAGAGAACACCAAGGGCATGATCAAGGTACCTAAAGTTTCCTTGGTCTTTCCGGTAGCTCCACTTACGCCCTTTTCTAGATCTACCCGAACCAGACGCAGATACACATGTTCGAAATCCGATGCTCGGTGAACGGGCATGGTTCTTACCATACGACCCTTCTTTACCACCAATCCACGTCTGTGAAGCAGCATGCACGGCATTCGCCACCAGACTCCGAAAGGTTCTTACCAAAAGCGAGACCACTTCTCACATGCCTCGAACGCAATACACACCGGAAACTGCGTTGATGAAAATATGTAATCCCGCAATGAAATGGCCGAGTCTACCCAAAGCTCGGCTTTTGCTTCAGATTGTGTTCAGTCAGGTCACAAGGGTGTACCATTTGGTTCTTCGAAAGTCGACCATTGACGAGCTCGAGGATGCATATCGCAAGGACAACTTCGACGATCCTGTGCTGACGTGTAAATTATTTGCTCTCTTTGCTCTTGGAGAAGTATATTCTGCGCGATCAACCTCGAGCCTTGAATGCAATGTCCCCGGCGTGGCCTATTATGTCAATGCGATGACGATGACACCCATCTTGCCGGAGCGACCTAGCCTGGCACATATTGAAACTCTTTTACTTTTGGTAAGATATTTATCACTTCTATTGCACATGGCTTATATACTCACGATTGCAGTCACTATATTCGTTTTTCTTAAACCGACGCCATTCGGCATTTCTGTTGGTCGGCAGCGCTATGCGTCTAGGCTTGACTGTGGGGCTGAATCACAATATCCCAGAAAGCAAGTGCCCAGACCCTGTGCAGCGTGAGCATCGGACCAGACTATGGTGGGCAATATATGTATTCGACCGAATGTACGGCTCGAAGGTCGGGTGGCCGATTCAAATTTCCGACGCGGACATCTACGTTGACATGCCATCTAATGTGCCTGGTGACATCCACAACGACCACACATCCGACACTGAATTCCTCATCGCCAGTATTGAGTTAGCTAAGATCACAGGTCAAGTCATTGACCGTGTGTATAGCCGAAAACAGTTCTCAGAGTCTTTCTTGCAGCGGGAGCAAAAGTTACTCATCTCTCTCAAGGAGTGGTCCTGTGCTCTTCCTCCACAGATTCGGCTCAACCGCGACAGTCCGGTTCCGATGAATGTTATATCGCTGCACCTTCAATTCAACCAGGTAAGTAGACAGTCTAGGCAGCAATGGATTGTCGGCTAATCGAATGTAGTGTATAATGCTGGCCAGTCGGCCGATCCTTCTACACGCGTTGATCCAAGCCACATCCCCGGAGTCCATTACGGAGGATAACGCCCAGACGAACATTCGCCAGACTCTAAAAACACTTAGTGATGCGTGTATTCACGCTGCAAGACATACCCACTCGCTGATTGTGGAAGAATGGACCAACGGATCAGTCCCGATCTTCGGATATTTTTATGCTCACTATCTCTTCTCTTCGGCACTGATAATGGTTATTTCGAGCCTGGTATACCCGGAGAACAGCAATGACTTCGCGTTGTTCGAGGCAGCTTTCGAAATTCTCCAGGCGATGAGCAGCCACGGGAATCTAGCTGCGACCGAATTTTACGATAATTTGGAATGCGTGAAGCAGTGCTTGGATAAGCTTAGAACTTCAGAAGGCGGTCATTTCCAGAGTGATTTATCTCGTGTCGCAGAGAGCTCGACTGATTCTCTTGCTGTCATTGCCCCTAACCAGCTGGGGGTTTTTGGTAATCCCGCTGGGTCTGGTGTTACTGAACCGACTGTCCCGGCAAACTATGCTAACGACATGGCCTTCTTAGGAGAGAGCATGGAAGAGTTCCTAGCCCAGCCAGACGTTGATTTCTTGCTCGACCCCTCTCTTACTGATACTGTATACTCGTGGCCAAACCTTTCTTTATGGACCGCATGAAAGGATAAATATACCTATATAGGTATCATCAATGAACGCATGAATAAGCCATAAAGCAAGGTTACGGAAACAGATAGGAAGGATGTTATAGTTCTACCAAAATACACAATATTAGGTACTTTGTAGACCGATAGACCGAAGATGCAAACTCAAATCCAACGTTACGGTAGAACTTAGGCAGGGGATTATATAACAACCATAGACGACAAAGTATGAAATGTCTCATTCAATCTATGTAATGGGACGATGTGCTGTAAGCCATGAACGATACGAGTCCCAGCTAAATTTGAGGAGTCTGGGGAAATCACCTCAGGGGTTCCACGGGGGGCTGCATGTGTATATAGCCAGGTCTAGTCCTGTCCTAATCCCAAGATTCGATATTTCTGCAGCCTTTCCCAGTTCCACCTAAAAGCTGACGGCTTGCTACAGTACGATTCTGCTCCCTACTTCTTAACAGGTTAACTCGCCAAAAGTCATTGTGTTGCGCCAGTTTCCCTCTCTCCTTTTCAGTGCAAAGATCCAGCTCCTATCATATCTATCAACCACTCCATTTCATTTTTAATTCAGCTATGTATATGATTGTTTCATCTGTGACTGATGCCACCCAGATCCAGCTATTGCGGTTTAATATTAACCTTGCAGGGAGATCCATGGATGCCTGCAGTTATTATGTCATTACCCTATAGCCTTAAGCTAATAACATAGCTAGGAGTAACTAACTATCGGGTATGAAAGCGGGAAGTGTAGATTGGAAACCTGTCATTACAACCTAACAGTCGGCATATTGATTTTCTCTTTAGCAAACTTTGGATTAATCAATCCTTTGGGGAGTGAGAGGTGAGGGTATGGGATATCAAATATGAACATAATATAGGTATATTGCCCATGTCAAGCAAGGGGAGGGATATACAAAGTATTGGAAGAAAGATTTCAAAGTACTACTCTTCTTATTACTGCCATCTGGCTAATCCTTAGGGAAGTCTATATTGATTGCTATTATGTTAAACACCAACGAGGCCTCAATTAATTAAGACCTTTTGCTTTTTAAGTGGCTGCTGATTGGGTCATACGGCGCCACATCAGGCTTCACAGTCATGCAACATTGTATGTGAGTCACGGGTATAAATAACATCAAGTCACATGTATTTTGTTTGTAGTGAATTTAGATAGACATAGATGTGTTCTAATATCTTAATATTTTAAATGTTCTCTCTTTGTACTTGACTTATCAGATCTACATCTTTGAACTTTCATAGTTCGCAGTTCTTCGGTTCCCCCCCGCAGTGGGTCCCCCCATGTGTGCCTGACCGCTCTTGTCTTCGCTGTCACTCTCTTCCTCTTGATACGCGCCCAACCTCAAAGCCTGTGAGATGAAATGCTTTGATGCATCTGCTTGCATGCACTTCTCACTACCTTATACCCCACATTCATGGCTTCTGCGGATATACAATGGGGTACATTGATCAATCCAGACAAGAGCCCAGCCCCACTGCTGGAACAGCTATGCCTGGGGATCGCGCAGTTGATGGTCAGTTCTAATTCTACCTGTATTGGACACTACTCTGACATCTCTGCAGTCCTCCTTTGATACCAACGGCACCACTGATATCACCCCCGAACGACTCGCTACCTTTTACCGCAAAGTCGGCGGCAACTACGACCCCTTATTCCTTGAAACCAAGGGACAAGCCCTGTCATTCATCTACCAGTCACTAGGATGTTTCCACAGCCTCCAGCCCTCAGCAAACCCTTACGAACCCCCATCAGTTCCGTCTCTACTTCCGAATGGGTTCGTGCGGTGGCAGACAATACAACTGTTAATGGACCCAGATGAACACTCGGTGTATTTGCAAAACGCGGTCAAGCTTTGGGATATTGCAGACGTAACTGGCGAGATCTTTCCAAAGATCATTCCTCGTGACGCATTTCCTTCCGAGCCCGATCCAGAGATGCTAGAATGGCATGAAGGCGTGAGTCGGCGATTGGAGCGGGACTATTTAAAAAGACACACGAAGCGTGCGTCGCCACCAGACTTTGGGACATACCATTATCATTTTAGTGGCAAGGACCCTCTACCTGACGAAGATGATTACTTCTCCCGTCCACGCCGGGCGGCGTCAAAGCGTCATAGTCATGTGGAGCCTGATCGGCCCAGCGATCATCGCCACCACCGCCGAAATTACAGCGGGGAATATCCCGCATTTTCTGCCCGCAGACCTGGGACGAATCGACCGGGCTTTTCAACCCCGAGGGTTTCATCCCCTCCCCCATGGGGAGAGCGTCCAGCACGTTCATGTGGACGAGACCAAGGTGGCCGGCACGGCCATCCACTAAGCCCAGGGACAGGTGAGGTTCCAGATGTCTCTGATGTGTCTTCAGATGAGCTTGCACGCCGTCGCAAGGACCGTGCGAAACTCAATAAGCACCAAGAGCGACGTCATCTATCACCACCTTCCCACAATAGTGCCAGACGGCACTCCCACGAAGCCTACACCCGCAGACCATTCCGAGATCTGTCGCCCACCAGTCCTTCCCGACAGCGTCGCGGGCACGAAAGCCACCCTTCGCGATCTAGCAAATCCAACTCTGAGCCTTCGCCAAAGCTTCACCCGAGAAACTACTCCAGGGATCATCCGAGAGATAGGGATCCAAGAGATAGGGATCCGAGAGATTACCCAAAGGAGAATGCAAAAGATCGTTCTCGATCACGTACAGCAGGTGTCAAATTCCGTGAATTTATATTTGGCGACCCGGCCCCTGCTCCAGCCGCTCCAGAACCACCTTTCTACAGGCCACCAACCCCTCCACCACCACCAAGAGCGGTGCCGAGACATCTAGGCACTTACGCCGCAGATGACATGAGAAGAGGAAGCTACAGTGGCGGCAGTACAGGTAATAGTCGACCCAGTAGCGGAGGAAGTGGGTCTGAGCGGCCGCGATCATACAGCAGTGCCGGATTCCATCCTCGCACAACCGGGTGGGCCAGCCCTCGGAACTCTGCTTCAAAGCGATATACTCCGGAAACAGTGCCCGAGGATGGATACATTCCCTCGCGGAGGGTCCCGATTTACGAATAATTTCCACGACTGATGCACGTTGATACATTTAACGAATTTCTTTCCGCCATGTTTTTTCTCATTTTTGAGAATACAAGCATCTACCTTCTCTTGGCTCCACCGATCTATTTCATCGCCATGTCTCAGACCATTCCCTTTGGCATCTCATCTCTATCACGACAGACCTAGCTTTCCACCCTCGTTTCTTGGCCGGCCTCTTGATTTGGCATTCCGTTTCTTCTGGCTTTTTACCCTTCTTCGCACCAATGATACTCACGATTCCAATGAATTTTAAATGACAAGCCCAAATAATCAGGGCACATGAACTCAAGCTCAAAAGTGCATCGTGGAGAGATCCTAGCATGGTTGAAACTAAGCGCCGTAACTGAGGAATGATGAAATCTTGCAACGCTATGGTTTCAATGTGATATGGGCTGTACAAGCTTTAGTGTTTAGAGTAGGGAGTTGATCAACAACAGAAACAGAACTCCATATGTTTTAATCCGAGAGATGGGCCCTTTGAAAAGTAAATCCATAATCACTCAGCACAGGACAAATATCCTCGTTCACAAAATTAGCCGTACTAGACGGTGGCATCCCCAGAACCGTCATATTCCGCTCACCGGCCGTATACTGCTCAATAGAAAAGCCAAAATCCCCACCAAATATCGAAAGCGTACTCGCATACGCAGGACCACGAATCTTCAAGAACTCCAAATCCGGATTCGGGTTCCTCTCTCGGAAAAACGCACCAAATACATCGTGAAGGAGTTGCGAGTGAAGAATATCCCGATCATCGTAGTACGGTTTCACATCTTCCGTCTTGGTATTCAGGGTCCCCCACGCGAGCAAATTATCCGAGGTATGACAGGAAGCGTTGTATCCAGTATTCGGGTAACAGATATCGGGCATGTTTGACGTCTGTGCATGACCGTCTGTTATTTGGATTTCGTATAGTGAAGGGAAAGCAGAATTAGAGTTATCGAGAAGATAACCCTGCGGACAAGTCCACTGACTATGCGTCAGGACATCGGAAAGAGCGTTAAGGACGGCTCCGGTGTCCGAGTCATTGACGTTGTATGCTCCCGAGGCGATGATATTCTGAGCGAGAGTCTCGTCGAACGTGGCATTAAGCAATGTAGCGAGTGGGGCTTTTGTTGGGGCTAGAATTCTCAGAATGTCCATGTAGAGGCTTGCCTCGTCCCGGACGGTGGTGAACATGGTTGGGACGTTGTTGGGGAGGGTGTTATTGGCCAGCAGGGCGTTGAATTGGCCGTCGACTACGCCGGATCCGGTATCATCTACCATCGGCATGAATGGTTCATCTGCACCTGTTGCTTGTGTATTGTTGTAGAAGTGATTTGCGATGGCGGATGAGGAGGTCTTCGTAGCAGTCTGGAACTCGGTTGAGTTATCGAGATACATTGAAGCCGGGACGGAACGAAGGCACTTGACTAGACTTTCTTCCGACTCGTTGGCCTCACAGCCAACAGCGTTTGCGACTTCTGGGGCGATGTATTTGGAGTAAAGATCGCGGGGGAACCATGGGAGATCGAAATTTGCTGATTGCACCAGCGCGCCGGAGAAGAGACCCTTTGCCGCGGTGGAAGAGAGTAGAGCTACCACGCTTTGACCTCCAGAGGACTGTCCGAAGACAGTAACGCGCGATGGATCGCCTCCCAAGGCAGAAATGTGTTTTTGAACCCATTCCAAAGCCATGATTTGATCTTGGATACCGTAGCTTCCGGTTGTCAGACTCCCCGTCGAGAGAAAGCCCAATGCTCCGAGTCGATAGTTAAGCGTGACGACGACCACATCGCTGCGGCTAGCAAAGTTTCCACCGTCATAATCAACCATGGATGCGGTGCCCTTTATGAATCCACCGCCATACACATAAACAGCCACGGGGCGGAGCGCGGTGTTCTTTGTGTCATTGTGAGGGAGGAATGGAGTGAAGACGTTCAGGTTAAGACAGTCCTCGGACATTCCGGGAATAGGCACAGTGCTAAGAGGTGAGGGGGATTGAATGCATATATCCCCCATGCGAGTCGCATCGATGTTCTTCGGTCCTGTGTAGCCTTGGGGCGGGGCAAGTCGCAAGTCATCGATTGGGGGACTTGCAAAAGGCACGCCTAGGAAGCGGAAGGATCGTGCATCCCGATATCCAGTTAAGGTATAATCATTGGATGTCACAGTCAGCTTCGCAGTTTCCCTTGCGGCTGAGTCAAGATCGGTTGTTGCGGGCGGAGTTGAAGTACAGAGGGCTGGTAGCTTCTCTCTACATTGTTTCGGTACGATTTGGCGACGGGAGATCGAGAGGGCAAAACAGTTCTTGTGAGAGTCATGTTCTGTTGACAGCCACAGGTAATCATCGGCTTCTAGCTCCTTCTTAAAGACGAGGTAGTCTAGCTCATAGCCGAGTTCGGTTTGACTGTCGTTTTGCTTCGAGGACCACGGGAAGAGCTTCTCGCCAATGGCAGTGCATTTTGCAGTCGCATCGGCATAACTCGAGTGCTCATGTGCTAAAACGGCCGATGTGCCATTGTTCTGAGGGCCAAGGTTGTTGTAGTGCAATACGCGGAGAGCACCAAGGGATGTAACAAGGGGGTGGTGGCGTTCTTCAGCCAAGACCTGGCCGAAGAGCAAAGATAATGCGATCACGAACTTGGGCTTCATCTTCAAGTATATATATTTTCAAAGAGCTAGAGCCGCTGGATGAGTCTGTAAATAAATACTTCTCTAAAATATTATGGTAGAATTTCGCTGTAATATCACACACCGCATGCATTTATAGTTTTGCAGATTTTCCGGATTTGGCAATCCTCCTCATGTTCGCGATCGAGAGCGATGAACCAGATTGCAGCGGTGGGGATGTAAATTAAGCTTCGTTATTGGATATGTTTTAGAAATTATAATTGTTTCAATGATTTTGCAATTACTAGCCTTTAATCCCCAGAAGCCATTGCTCGGAAAATTCCATCCTTGTACTGCCCGACGGTGTACTCCATGACTCGACGAAGAGTTCTCAGAAGAGATCTGGTATGTTTCACACTTGTGGTACGACCATCAAGATCGGACAAAGGACCCCATATACGCTGTGGGACAAGAAGTTAGTTAGCTGTTGTAACCAAGTCAGTCACGGAAGTATAACCTACTACTTCTTTCAAGACACCGGACCCTTCAATTCCGATAGCAATATAGAATTTCCAGTCCTGTCCAACAGCAGTGTAACCAACAAGTGGAGGCAAGCCTTGCGTGGTCTTACGCTGTGCGAAAGCCCACATCAGGAGTCCTGTCATCCATACTCCGATCTGGACTTCCGCTTCTACCAAATTTCCATCCGCGGCTTTGACCTCAACCCCAGGGCCCAGAACACGTTTCCCGCTGTGTGGATGGGCCATATGGCTGAAAGATGTCCCGAGAGTATGGAGTCCCGCCTGTTCATATTCGACTTCCCAAGCGTTCACGGGAAGACCAACAACCAAGTCAATTTTGCGATTATATGTATCTCGGGCTGTGTATCGAGGTTGATACAGGGGGTCAACGGACTCGGTTTGGCTACTAGAAATTAGCAAGTGATAGGGATAGGGACACACGGGGTCTTCTTGAAACATACACGCTCCAACACTCTAACGATAGTTCTGCAACAGCGCCCTCCAAAAGTGGCAGTGCTACCTTGTTCACCCAGGAACCTTCACTACGCAATTCAGTGACACATTGGGACGAAGCATTGGAGACTTCCCGAGCCACATCGTCATTAACGCCAAACTCAGAATCTTGAGTTAGAGCTGCTAGTAATTGACTCGCAGCGACGCTTTTCGGGTCGGCAGATTCGGGTATGTACACAACCCTAGGACTAGCGGCTGCTAGTTCAGCTTTCACGCGTGATGGACTTGATGAACGTGATCTCCCACCGCGACTAGCTGCGGGACTTGAGGGGGCCAGCGAGATGATATCGTCAGGTAGACGGACAGAAACTGAGGATGCTGTTTCAGAAGCAGTTCGGTAGGGTCTCTTTAAAGGATCTGATTGCGACTTCGAATTCTCAGCTTCGAACACCGACCTCTTGCGTTTGTGTTGAGATGCTGGAGTTGAAGGGCTGCCCAACGGCTTTTCGAACCGATCGGTATTAGGCGGGGTTTTGGGCACGTTCCTCGCAACTTCTTCGACCCAAGACAAGATCGCAGGGGTTTGCCCAGCAGACATCAGGGCGAACTGACCGCAACATGTTATGCTGCAAAGTTGATATTTTTTTTTCGCGTGCTGGGGGGCTCGTGATAATGACAAGATCGGTTGACTTGTTTGGATTAGTCCCCCAGATTGATTGTTGTTGGAGCAACCGCTGATGATGGGATAGATTACGTGATCTTCTAGAAGTTCAAGTCACTCGGCCCTAGCCCTTTGAGTGAAGTTTTTGATGTCTCATTTGACCATCAATGGCCGTCGAACTCTCATTTGGTCGTGGTAAGGCTATGGGTACAAACCACTGATGTTGGTGACTTCTTGATCTCAAAGATACTTCTCATTGCTCTTCACAATCTCACGTCGCTGATCAGATCAGTTGATACCGAAAGAACTAGGTTAGGATATCGACTGGTATCTCATATAATAGTGCGCTGTTAGTCCCATAGAAATTGATAGAATTGGTTTCAAGGATAGCCTCACCACTAACTAACTCTACTCTAGTTCTAGTTCGTCCATCCATACGTATTGTACTCCTTCTATAATCTATTATGATATTGATGAAGCGATATATAATGTCAAAGCACAAATCAAATTGGTCCCTAGATTTCATGAATTAAACCACATCCTAGCCCAGCCACGGGTGTCTTACTGGCTACCGCGCGTGGACTAAACAATTCGTAGGATAGAATAAAAATAGTGGAGCGTAGCAAACACGATCACCATTTTACTCTAGGGTAATGTAGAAGCCTGTTAGGACGCAACATACAAGTGCACTAAAGGTTCCAGGGCGGAGCCTATCTACCACAAGCAATTCTATGGAGTACTATAGTGATATTATTCACGTACCGATGATTTTCTTGAAGTCACATATGTAGGCTCGAAGTTTAAAGCCCAGTTTTGATTTGATAGGCGAATCATTTCCCCAGTTTCCCCGCAATGGAGTTCGTATAGGCAAGCCCTATGGGTCTAGTGGTCAGCCTTGGTTTGGGTGAGTGTTGTTGGTGTGATATATCAGGCCATGTGCAGATGCCAAGGGGCCAAGGAGCCAAGGTAATCCAATCACGTTCAAATGTAGTTCAGCTGAGAAGGGTCGGTGAGAAGAAGATGTGCCTTTCAACTAAAAAAGGGGCTCTTATGGACTCCGGGCTGAACTCTCTTCGAAATATTAGCCTCCTTTAAACCCACTAGTATTGCGGTAACTTAGTTTATGTTGTAAAGCCCCATTCATTGTTGATAATATTTTTATTCTCGGCCTCTAAATCAACTATGTTAATTGCATGGCTGATCTTTTTATTCATGAAAGGCTCGCTGGCCTCTAACTCGACAGCTCTCGTTAGTTGGCAGTTGGAAGGGAATGGCCGCTCTACGTGGGACATCCTGTGGCCATGTTTGACAACGATCTTTGCTTGCACATGGACCATCCTCCACTTTGGTGTTTGGCCCCGAAATATGTCTAGCAGACGGATCTGGCTCTCACAATTACGGACTGCCATTCTTGCCATCTTAGCGCCAGAGATAATATTCTTGCTCGCAGCTGAACAACTCACTGATGCCAAGAGGGTGAGGGAATTATGCAACGCAGCTCAAAACGAAAGAGATGGCGAGGTAGCGGAGCCCAAGTCATGGCTTTCGAGGCACACCAGGCCCCTAGAACAACCACAAGATCAACATCTATACCATATTGATTTGAATCCAGTTAACACAGAATGGTCCCTTCCCCAGTGCTTCTGTATCGTTTCAAATGGGCTGGCTGTTCAAACGCAGGACGAATGGATTTACACTATACGATACGCGGAAATGAAGGCATTCATTCAAGCCGGCATTTTTCATCCCTCTGACTTCCGCGACCAAGATATCGCGGACCGCGCCAAAGCGGATCCCTTTGCTAAAGGATTTGCTATCCTCCAGAGCACCTGGTTTCTATGTAACGTCATTGCAAGATGGGTGTCCGCTCTACCGGTCTCGCCGATCGAAGTGTCGACCGTCGCCTACGTGGTCTGCGGTATCTTGACCTATGCCGCGTATTGGCATAAGCCCAAGAATATGGGCACGTCGATCAAGATCTATCTTCGGTATACCCGAGCCACCCTGCCGGCTGAGATACTCCGTTTGACCGAGTCCAACCCCAAGGGTTGGGTTCATCTCCGGGCACGCATCAAGAATGAAGGGTGGTTGTCGCTTATATGGAAGACCATAAAGCGCCCTTATATTTCAACAAATCGCGCGGCGAGCATGATAACTGGGGATGAGGAATATAATACTCATCTCGCGGCGGTACTAAGGAAGCGGGTTCTGTTCATTTTTATGGTTACTTTCGTCGCCAGTCTTTTCTGCGCTATCCACATTGCCGCGTAAGTTCCCCAATGTCGGTGCTTTTCGCTTTTCGTTTCCAAGCGTCAACTACATAAAAGCAAGAAAAGATAGACTAATTTCCTTTTTCTTCAACTCACACAGGTGGAAATTTGATTTCCCGTCCTATGTGGAACGAATAGCGTGGCGCGTCTCCTCGCTGTCTTCGGTTGCACTGGCGAATATCTTTAGCGCTGGGAGTAGCGTCCTTGTTTACGCTGGATTTCTAGATTCACACGGTCTGCTACCTCCATTTATGAGGGGTTTCACACGCCCAGGTAGCATTCACATTCGAATTAGCAGTGTGATTGTGATGATGAGCTTTCACTTGTATATCATTGCCCGTCTATGGATGATAGCTCTTGTCTTTTCGTCATTGAGGGCGCTTCCTGTAGGCTCTTATACGACTATTGAGTGGGTATCAACCATACCACATTTTTCATAAGTGTCAACACTACCATGTTGTCAATGAGGTTCAGACTCGAGGTCGAGTTCCGGGAACTGTATCTTGTTTCATTATATGATGCTTTCATGCGTGTAATATATCGTGGATTGTATGTAGTGGATCCATGAATGAAAATGCACAAAAGTGTCCGTAGCCTAAATACACCAGGCTCTTCACATATTTAAGGACAACGTTTATACACCGAATCGGCGACTTCAGCATATAGTACATCTCGTTCCTCACGAGACAACTGCAAGTTTGCTTCGAACAGGTTTGTTCTCTTCCATCCCAGGCTCTGGGAACCCAGACACATGAACATCCTTCCGGAAAAGAAGACAATGTGTCGAACCACCGAAATGGAACATACCAAGTTCATCTCCCTTCTCCAGTCTATCCCCCTCCTTGACAGTGATATCACAAGTCGACACCTCGGCCATACCAACTCCAATAAACGCCACCAACCCAATGGATGGTTCATCAGCTTCAATGAAAATCAGTGCCCGCGTCGCAGTTGAGGTAATATATCCCTGCGAAGTAACCTGAGCCGCCATATCAATATCCTTTTTCCCGACATCCGGGTCCACAACACCTTCAAACAGCGGCTCAGAATAGTAAGTACCATCAACAACATAAGCCTTGACGACCTTGCCACTAACAGGCGAATGCCAACGGTGATAACTCAAGGAATTAAGGAATGCCTGGTAGATAGTGCCGCCAACAAACTGCGACGCAAGTGGATCGTGGCCCAGCATGTCGAGCACCGAGTATGGCTGACTCTTAACCCAGAACTGGTCACGGGCATTAACATGGCGCGCAAACCTATAAGGTTTAGACTCGCAGGCATTAGCGATAACCTTTCCATCCTGGGGTTCCTCGACGGGACGTATTCCTGGTCTCAAAGTACGGGTGAAGAAGGCATCCCACGACTGGAACCCATGATTTGGCGCAGTCGGGTCACATTCGTAGATATCATGGAATTGCAAATCCGTCTCAGCCAGCACACCGATCTTTGCAACAGCTGTAAGATCCCGACGACCAGTCTCACCGAACCATCCATAAGAAGTATCATTCAGCACGTTGGCAGATTCGGGCGAGCGCAGGAACTCGCCCCACGCATTCAAAATCTTCTTGATCATCGCGTTGATCTCGGGATCTAGGAAGGCTGCGTGTCCGCTGGGTGTACCCATTGGCCAGTCAAGGACGGCATTAATAGGCAGCCCGACTAGCCCGACGCGGTTTGCCTTGTCGGTCCAGGAAGGCGCGGTGGTGAGGAGGTGGTTGATAACACGCAGGAAATGGGTATAGTTGCGGATTTCGGGGTTGCCTGTTGGGTCATGGCCGTAGCGGTTGTTTCGTGGGACTTCTTTGAACATTGAACTCAGGAGCATGTATATGCGTGTGTTGGATTCGATGAGTTCTTCGAATTCCTCTAGGACCGGGTGGAGGGATCGGTCATTGTCGTCGTCGACTTTCTTGATTATTCCACCAAGCCATTCTTCGTGGGCTTGGTGGTCTGCTGGCATCCAGTTGCCGATTCTTTTGGGATGTGAGTGGTATGTGATGGTTTGGGGGTAGGATGGATTCTTACCTGTGAAGGTGGTGTGAACCGCTTTGTGTCATATTTTTGAATAGTAGCAAAATTTTGACTGTGACTATCGTCTGGGTGGTTTGAGTATGTATTATTTATATACTTGTTCAATATAAATTCAAGTCCCATACGTTACATCAGTATGATGCTCTGGGGAAGAAACAAGCCGGACAAGGCTTCTAGATGATTAAAGAAATATTGAATATGGCTATATCCGAGAGTCAATGAAGTCATGATACTCTTAGCCAACAAGCCTGATAAATTTGTAGCTCCAGAGCTACATATTTGCAAGGTGAGTAGTAGATCATGGATGGACTTTCTGATGTCATAGCGTTCCTCAAGTGCGGTCAAAATGATGGACTTTGAGATAAATCCCCCATATGTGACCACTATAATTCTGGCTTTTTTCTTTTTTTTTTAAAAAAAAAAAAAGGTGATGCCAACGTAACAAAAGAGACGAAGAAAAAAAAAAAAAAAAAAGAAAAAGAAAAAAAGATAGACATAGCATGTCCTGGTTTCGATCCAGGGTCCTATTGTGATTGTTAGTTTGATGTTTGTGAATTAAATTTGGTTGCGGTGAAACGTACCTCCGGGTTATGAGCCCGGCGCTCTTCCCCTGAGCTAACATGCTGATTGGTTAGGAATTTATGTTTACAGTGAAATATATAGGATACTAGGATTATTTTACCTACAAAGTAACTTGGTTATTTTCTTGTGACATATGCCGAGGGGAAAGGCTCCTCAAAGTTGCCGTGTTATCTTTTACAAGGATAAATCTAACCTCCCTAGACTGCCCAAATGTGTCCCTTGGCTTCACTACACGCACTCAGGCTATTCTACAGCAACCTGTCCAACAGTTGGCTAACTGTACATTAGTTAGTTACATATAAAACGCTTAGAGTGTATGTCTCGATAGTATCAGCACATCCACCGCACGTTTATTGATCGAAGCACCGGCCCTCAAGCCACATTACCAATCTCATTGTTTCTGTCAAGGCGACGCAGACAACCTCTACACCACAACAGCTGAACCATCGACTGACACCCTGACCGACTATTCTCTTCCTCCAAAACAGTTGTGGAATGATGGATGAGGTCAACAAACCCCGCTTCTCTCATCCCACCGACGGCCCGAATTATGTGGTCGGCGTCATCTCGCAAGGTGTAACCCTTCGCAAGTCATTTAATCAAACATACCGGTTCTGTGGCGAAATCTTTTGGTCCAGTCCCGTAGACGCAAAAATCGACCGATATAAATCCTTTGTCACCCCATCTGCATGCCACTGCAGGCAATCGAGTTCGAGAAGCTCGCCACTAATTTATTCTACAATGAAGTATTATGCGCTCCGAACACACCGAAAATGGGATTATGTCCATACTGCACGAGACATGTCGTGTGATCTCGTCAGAGATCCCGATCACAGCACGTCTCGAATCCCAGCAACCAATTCGCAATCGATAAACTCCAGGCTACATCAAGTGCAATCAGAAGACCTCCCACCCTACTTGCTCCATGATGTGGGATTTGCGAGCTGTTCGGAAAACTGAAGTGAAGGGCAAAGACGGGGAAATAGAACCTTATTGCAACGCCCTCAATACGGATATGGTTAAAACGATCGTCAAAATTAATTGCGTCTGCAATATGATACACCATACGGAGTAGAGAGAGGTCTGATCGATGCAAAGATTGGGCAAGTTACGGAGTACATTGGATTTGGATTATGATGGGACACATTGCACCAGGATAACTGGCCTTCCGCGAGACACGAGACACGAGACACGTAGCATAAAGTGAGAAAAACACCGACCTACCCCCGAGCATCGACAACATGGCCGGATCGGCCGGTTAGCAAGTAAGTAAGCCAGTGGAGACACGATGGATTTTATTGCAGTTGAATTTTCGTGGGCTACCAGCTCGGGGGTACTCGAAAAAAAAGCTCCGGGGTACCCGCCAAGCCTGCTTATATCATCGTCTAATATTGAGTATCCCTGAGGTCCACGACCTGGGACGGACTAATTTATCAAATTTTGTGAGAAAAATAACATTATTTTGTTCTTTTTACTCTTATATACTAGTTATATACTACAACCCCATAATATAGGGGTTTTTAGTGTATAACTAGTATAGTAAGGCTATTAAAGCTACTACTATAAGTGGATGCCGCAAATTTTCAAAGGATGAATTCCTATATTTAATTAATAAAATCAGACGAAAAACCTTCCGGTTATATATAATTAAGCTTAGGTTTTAATTAATAGGCCTTTAGCCTATTAATCCTAAGCTAATTACCGATGAATTAGATTCATATAATCTATATTATAACAATCTACTACGGCCGGAGACCCTATCAACTTACTCTCAAAATACCGAATTTAGCACCCTAAAAACTACTGAGAAATTCCGGGAAATTAGCTATCGTCTTAATCAATATGATGATACTAATACTCAGCGGTTTAAAGATAGGCTAGCCAAGCTTATAAAGGGGGGAGGCCTAGGCAACCTTAGCCTACCAGCTACAGCGGGAGTTCGACTCTACAAAAGCTATTATAGGGGCACGCCACGCCAGATATGACAATTCCCGTCGTTATACCCAGATCACCGGCATCATCAACTCCGGCCAAGTCAAAAAAATGAAGTATAAAGAATATAAATTGACCGAGAAAAACGACCAAGAAAAAACGAAGCGGAAGTGGAAGAAGGTGTTGATTGAAATCCGGAAGCATGGAAGGGCCAAAAAGCGCAGTGTTAAATAAATTGATTTATATAGATTAGTAGTAAATTGATCAATTGATCTAAATCCGGGTTTAAATCAATTGATTTACTACGTGGTGGTGGTTTAAATGGTATTTTAATTGAAAGCTATAGAATAAATTGCATTTGGGGGATCCGTTGTGTTTGGCTGGCGGACCCTCGCTTGCGAGGGTCCGTTTTATTGCCTGGGAAATAAAAGTGGGCCGGTTAGTAAAAGGTAT